GGAACATATGCGCTGGCCCTGCGTCTTTTGGGGCTACGACCCTTTTTGAGTAAGGAAGAAGAATGCGTTGGCCGAATCCTTATCGAATGCATACATATTACTAGCTTGGGAGCTCGAACTGTAGTTTGGTGAGGCTTGTTTAAGGCATGTGTGCTTTATCAGAAAATGGCATGTTTTCTTCGCTGGCATGAGATGAGGCTTCTTTCTTATCACCTCGGTGTGCTGCCTTGGTATCATGGCTTGTGTGGACTTGTACCACCAAGTAGACCAAAGTCTTCTCATGGAAAGTACGTAGTTAGTTCGTACGCATTATATTAGGCGACTTGAAGCATTCTATTATAGGCAAGGTAGCTACCCAGATTAATCAATCGCTCATGTACGTACAATGCATATATGCAAGCTATTACCCAAATTCGTTACCTTGAACATCCAGCTCCAGTCCAGTTTCCGCACTTTTGATTAGAGAAAGATTCGTTTTCTAATCTCAACCCAAGACTTTTCACTTTCCTCTTTTATGACATTCCAACTCTTCAAGCGTCGTCATTGTCATCCTCTTGCCACACGGGCAAGAGTAAGTCCACCACGATGGGCTTGCTAAACAGCTTGCCCTCGCTGTGAGGATAGCTGCCCTTCATGATGGCCGCGTTCACAACACACGTCTCCTTGCGGCCGGTTCTCCCCGCCAATGCTTCATAATCACAGCTGCTATCGGATTCTGGATCACCCCCGTAGCCTACTGCGTGCTCGCTGCTGATGCTGTTGTCACCACTGGAGCTGTCGCGACCGCTTTTCTCTTGGGCAGCAACGCTAGAGCCCTGCTGAGCCGAGATATTCGAGAATGTCTCCGCGGACGCTGATGTCGTGTTGGCTGTTTGTTGGTCATTCTCATAGCTAGGCCGCCCCGGGTGAAGCCCGTCGTTTGAGAGGGCCGGCATCTTGCTCGTTTTGCCGGTGAGATCAACCAGGCTCATCTTGTTGCTACCCGCACCCGGGTCTTCCCAGCCGATGGAGACTCTCTCAGCATAGGGCTTGGTCTTGTTCTTTAGGTCCCAGAGCACTCGCTCGGCCCCCCGTCCATCGTGGATGTGACCGCAGACTGCCAGCTTGGGTCTCACTCTCCAGAGCGCCTGGCGTAGGGCCTCGCAGCCCGCAGGTCGCTCACCCTCTGGCGTATCGCAGTGTGTACGCGGTGGCGTGTGTGTCACTACAATGTCTGTCTCAAGCGGGATAAGTTCCCATAGCGAGGTGAGATCTGTGCTGTCGTCTTCCAGGCTTTTCGGAGCTTCATAATAGAACGCCCAGAGTCCGCTGCGAGGAGAGTATGGCGAGCCGAAGACGGTAAACTCCGTATGCGGCCCCGTGGGTGACTTGAGACGGATGGTTGCCGAGTCGTGGCACAGATAGGTGATGGAAGGCGATGAAGCCAGCAATTGGATACACTCGGACGGATCCTGCTTGATCTTGTTGTGGAAGCTGTCACCGTGATGAAAGTAAAAGTCCTCATCCAAAGTGACATCGTGGTTCCCTGAATTGCAGGCTTCACATCAGCACGGGATACACTTAATGATTCTTATTTCAAGAGGGACGGTGGACACTTACCTGCCACGACAATCTTGGCTTCAAAGTCAGCTTCTTCGAGCCATTTGACTGCCCTAGAGAGCTTCACGCCGTCGAAAGTCGCCTGGTGAGCTCGCTGCGCTGTGTAGGAAGATGACGTCAAAGGCGCTGCAGCAACTTACCTCTGACTTGCTCCCTTTGTTGGTGAGATCCCCAGCATGGATCAAGATGTCGCCGGGCGGCAGTTTGACAGTGCAGTTGTGAGTGTCCGAGATGCACACGATTCTCGTCTTCCGCAGCTTTGGGGTCGCCATACCGAATGAGTCGACACTGTTTATCGCCGCGTCTGTCCAAGTAAGAAAGGATAGATGAGTCACTGTCTGCTTTTCCAAGAAGAGAATGGCGGGCTAGAGTGGAGGTGGTGAGTCGGTTTTATACCCGTCCGTAGGATATTATGCATCGTCCTCAGGCGCGGTGTTGATGCCGACTTGCAGCGCTCGATGCTGTTAACCTGGACAGTTACCTGCTACCTTGGGCACCACAGCATCCAGCCGTGGCGCGTGATTGGCCGACCCGAAATGCCAGGGGCGCTGTTGTGTAACTCACCATCTACACCGGTTCTCTCAAAGTCTGGCTCCTGTTTGCTTTGCGTCGCAAGATGCTATTTGGCGAATTGGTGCATTTGAGCCCTCCATTCGCGCAGCCTTGTCCAAATATAGGCACGCAATTAGACTATGAGGTCATCATGCACGCGTACCACCGTCCGTAGGCCTCTAATGATTTCTCGTGTATGCTGTGCTCCTCGAGATGTTTTTAGTGGAAGAAGCATCTCGACTTTGCGATGAACAGGTAATTTACATCCTTCTGGTTTTCTTTGTCTCTTGTTCTTCCCTTGGTTGATTCTTGCTCTGCAGCCTTCGGGTTGACCAGCCCCGATTGACCAAGATCTATATCATATTAGCCTTTGAAATGTCCTGCAATCCCGCACCGTATCTTCCTCTCTCACGTCAAGGCTGGGATTGGCATCCTTGATAACGAGGCCAGCCACACCTCTGCACGGCTGCCGCACAATTTTCAGCTTTGCTAGCTTCAACGGCGTTTTGGAGTCGAATATGCATCCATTGGCCGGCTTCTCTTCCGCGGCGTGTAGGCCTTGATGTTTGTTGAACTATACTCAATGTTCTCCACTGCGGCTGGACCGAATGCCTTCACATGCTGGCGCTGGGCAATTGGTCAGAACCAACATTGAGCTGAAGTCTGGCTCCTTTTCCAAGCCTGCAATCGTATGATGCGTGCTGAGCGTGCTGAGCGTGCTGAGCGTGCTGTGAAATTGATGCATTGAGGGATGCTGTCATGGCTTTCGGTGAGCTTGACGGCAGCACGCAGAGCATCGAGGCAGTATGATAGCACAACCTGGCATTCGGGTTTGATGCCAAAGCTGCATGCTTTGAGACGCGCCTCGATGGTAGATGATAGAGTTGTAATGCACCAGCGTTAGATTACATAGGACGGCCCAACAACTGCATGATGACGACGGTAGGAATTGAAGATGGTGGTTGAGCTTTCATGTAGCCATCCGCTGCTTACTAACCCGACACGGACATGCAATGTATTCAGCTTGTGTCTTGCATCGAGTGAGGTGCTTTCCACGTTCTTGTTTTTCAAAAGACAGACCGCTATTTATTAGCGTACCTGCTCATGCCTATCATTGCCTCGATTTTGCTTGTTTTGCTGGCAATCTGGGGAGACAATGACGCATTCCGAGGCGGCTGTACATGAGCTTTTACGCGCTCTGTACCGATCGATCCAATATCATGAGTCCTCTTTCTCATTTCTCACAAATCTTACTATATAGTGCATTGGCTATAGAGGTACGTGGCAAATTGAGTACTATCACATATGCGCATTTGAGGGCATCGTGAGAATCCCAAAATAGAAGTTCAAGGCAGCCTCACATAGAGTAGCTCTTGTAACACTTGCACGGGCAGCCCCCTTTCTTCTCACCCCATTCATGAGCTGTCTTTGAGCTGGCAGTGCTTGTACCAGTACGATTAGCCCAGACAAAATTCCCCCTCCGCGACAGTATCTGATACCTCGCGGCTGTACTCCGTGCCACGGCCCAGGTCGGTTGCGGGTGAGAGTTTGCAAGGATGTGGCCTTGTTGTCTGGGGCAATACGGAGTGCAGGCCCGGGAGCCAAGCAGGCAGGGCGCTTTGTCCCAGGCAGAGGAGCCCACTCACCTCATCCAACGTAAACACTCAGTTATACTTTGCAAGCGCATGTATAGTATCATGTGTTGGTGCTTGGCTGTGACGGCGTCTGGCGGCATGGCGATGTGACCTTGGTGGTGTTGACTTGCAATATCCGGTCTCGCATCCAATTAATATCGGCAATGTGAGATAAGAAATAGGGAGGTGCAATGGCTGCTACGGCACTGCATACATCAGGTGAACGCCCAATTACAAGCGCCACCACTACGAGTGCCGCTGCATGCTACTGTAAATACACTGGCAGGGGTCTGTCGTCTACCTCACAGCGCTCCGTGTCCACTGGAAGCCGGGCTGTAGCGACATGCGAGCCCCGCCATCATTACATGTAGCGCAGCCCGTGCTCGGATCTTCCTCTGCGCTTCCATCTTTCCTTCACCCAACAGAGTGGGTTGTCGTTGCAAGGTTCATGAAAGAAAAAAGAAGAAAAAAAAATCAGAAAACCCGCTTGCTGAAAGTTTCTTCATGGTAATTAAACGCAGTCACCAGCAATAACTTTGAGTTCCACCAGATGCCCATCCATGTCGAGGAAATAGCCCAAACCGACCTGGCGTCATGACAGGCCCAGGCCTTGGTAAATTAGCGGGTGGGCCAGGCCTGCAAAGCCCGCCAAACCAACAGAACAAGAGCGGCGGTATGGCCGGGATGCACAGCCAAATCCTTGACCGCATTGGAGCCAGCAATTAACAGCCCGGCTGCGGCCAGAGGTACTGCTACTCGGCCGCTGCGAGCAATCCATGCAATGCGCCAGGTTCCGGCTACTTGCAGCGCCGCCTGTACATGCACTGCAGCAGCAGCACGGCACTGCGCTGCGTCCCCTTTAGCAGCGCCGCCAGTAGCGCTGCTCGCTAGAAGCCAGAGCGGTTAGCCAGCGGACCGGGCCAGCCAACCACGACACCTTTCCAACCTCCATCGCCAACTCGGCCTTCTAGCTCGCCTCTCCCCCTTCTCCAGCGAGATTGCAACGCTCGCAGCATCTTCTTTCGCCTTGCGGCTGGAGCTCCTGGACTTGTCGACGCTCATCTGGTTCTTTGTGGCGTGTGCATCGGCCGGCTTGATTCCCGTTGTGTTGTCAGGAGAGCTTCTTTGTTGCGTGAGACTTTTTACCTCGGATTCTTTCACTCGTTTATTACAGCTGGAAAAAAAGAAAAAGCAAAAAAAAAAAAAGTTACTGCATGTCTCAGGGGATCGCGACAGACCGACTTCACGATTCTTGGTGAACTTGGCGGCCGCGCGAATCAACCTCTTTGACCGCCACTACCAACCGCATTCTCCTTCTCAACTCCGTATTCGATCTACCATTTTTTTTTTCATTACTGCCGCATCACATTTACCGCACAGCTGTCATTTCCTGACCCGATTACGCATTCGCCGTATACACCATAAAGAGGAGAGCTGCTGGTATCGTTCGGTTCGACTACTGCTATGGCTGCCATTTCAGCGGCTCGGGGCGCTCCCACAGCCCTGACGCCACCGAGCAGCAGCCATGGAGACGAACCCTCATGGAGGTACCGGAACCAACACGAGGTAAGTTTACGACGACAGCCAAGTGTTTTTCTTTCACCGCCACGTACCTCTCGCTCGTGCCATCGCAACGCCCGCATCATATGGTCTGATAGGACCCTTTGGAATGCTTGGGGGTCACATGGACTAACTTGGCTGCGATTATTTAGGAGACCTATGACGAAAGTGGTGCTGGATATTTCGGCGACGAATCGATTCGCAATCCTCGCCAGAACGGAAACTTCGACTCAAGCTATGACGCCAAGACACGAAAGATGCATTCGGCGGACACTCTATCGAACAGCCAGTGGGATGCACATGCAGAGACTGGCGTCCAGTCGCCCCAATTCGACAACATCCGATCGGATTGGTCGACTGGCGAGCCTGAGACGGATGAGATGACCCGTGGGCGGGCTGACTCTACGGTCAACGGCGAGGTGGAATCCAAATGGATTCACCGAGACATACTGGCACAAATTGAAAGCGAGGAGCTGCAGGCAGCTGGCTTTATCCCCAGGTCACGCGCCCCCAGCAAGCAGCGACGAGACAAGAGTGCTCGGCGAGGCACCGACGCCGGCGAGCATCTCCGACTGAAGCAAGATCCGGGACTCGAGTCCGGGGAGGCCTCAAAATCTGCTTTGGATCTTAGAACTCAGGAAGAGGCGGCGGATGAACAGGAGAACAACTCTGCGCAAAACGCAAAGGGGGGATCTCGGATACCTGTTCCCAAGGTGAGTCAAGCAGCACAATTACCCACAGGAGCCATATAGAGCCAGCATGGACCCCGTCTGCCAACATGAAACTAATGAATTTACAGACACGCTCTAGGAGTGCCAGTGCCACTCTCAGAGAACTGACCATCAACGTCCCTCCCGAGAAGCCCAAGCCAGCGCAGCGCTCTGCTACAGAAACTTCTCCCAAGAAGATTGGCGCCGCTGGCCGCAAGAACTCGGAGCCAGCAAACGCGAAGCCGAAGACAGCGGCTGGTAGACCCAAGACTCGCTCAGGGCCCAGCAAAGATTCTACAACTACACGACCTACAACACGCTCTGGAGAGGCTTCTCTGGGCAGTAGCCGTCAGCCCGAGGGCAACCCACCATGGATGGTTAACAGCTATAATCCCGATCCTCGTCTACCACCCGAAAAGCAACTCATTCCCACCGTTGCAAAGAGACTCCAGCAGGAGAAGTGGGAACAGGAGGGCACATTTGGTACTGCTTACGATAAGGACTTCCGGCCCTTGAATGACAGCGCGCTGGTGCGAGAGAATTCCGTGCCGCTGGAAGAGCGAGAACCCAAGCAGGAACAGGCTGCTCAAGAGGAGATGGAGATACGACCACAAACACCCGAAGCAGGGCCGTCGGATGAGTGGCCGCTCAAAGCGGATGCTCCTAAGAGCCCTCAGATCCGGTTGGGCTCATCCTATTCCGCGATGCCCAAGATCTCAGACATGCCAAAGAGCCCTCTGCCCGGCCAACGACCCCCAATGACACCCCAAGGAACTCAAGGAACAGGAACAGCTCAGTCGCAGAGCCAGCTCAGCGAGAAGCCCCAGACCCCCCAGAGGATCCCCGAAGTCTCCGACGACCAAGACCAGAAAGGCGGCTGCGGCTGCTGCGTCGTCATGTAAATCAAAACTATGCAAACGAGCTCAGCGATGCAGATTTATTTTCTTCTTCTTTCTCTCTCAAAACAACTGCGAAACAAACTTTTGGCATTCACAATGTTATTATAACTAGGCAACTACTACCAAAGAGCATAAATCAACTAATCCGTACATATCGAGAACATTCTTTTTCTCTTTCTTTCTTCAACATCCTTCTTCTCCCCTTTTTAACGACGTTACGAACTACCCCAAAAAAGCTGTTTGACTTAAGCTGGCAATGTTTTTCTACTTGTTAAACAGCAGCTATCTGTCGACCAGCTGATTACCAAAGCGACTTGATCGATTTTTCCTTTTGTCCCGTTTCTTATTCACACAACACCCTGGTCGAGCCCCGAGTTAGAATTTCAGAGAAAGCAGGATACAGCACATGCGTTGATTTTGGGGCCTCTTATCCAACAACGCTGGGGAGCTGCAGTAAGCCCTCGATGGGCCGTGGATACAAAATCATGCGGCAGGTGATGAGAGCAGACAGCAGAAGAGGACGAAAAAAAAATATACCACCACATCATCTATATACACAAGAGAGGAACCTGCTCGAGGCTACCCACCGCATTCTGTACTTGTTTGATCAGGCAGATTCTGGTTTGATTCCCATGGTTTTGACCCGCCAATCTTTATATAATACTCTCTTTTTCCTTTTTGTTTCTGTACCTTTGCGTTGCGTTTCTTCCTTTGCTTGTTTTGTTTTTTTTGCGTCGTTTGTGTTATTTGTTACAAGGAGGCGGCTTTATTGTTCTTTTTCAGCCTGTCTTGAATTTTCTCTCTCGCTTCTTATTGATACAAATTTTCTTAAGAGAAGGGTGTTTTGGGCGCTGGAGCGTTTTTTAGGTGGGAAGGGAGGAAAGGGGGGAGGGAAAGATGGAGGTTGGAGGGCCTCTTTTTTTGTGATTTTTTTCTTCTTCGCTTTTTTTAGGTATTTTTCTGAGAAAGATCGAAATACTCAAATCCTGGAGAAGAAAATGAGAATGGACTTGTCGAGGTTTTATATGGTGATGGTGATGTATGTGTTAAGATTAGGTGGAAATCATGTGAAGTACTGTAGATTGTCAATTTATGGAGCTATTCCCTCTTTTTTCATGTTAAGCGAGCGGGGATTAGGTAGATGAGATTGCTTGTACTACTGAGTAGTATCATATTAAACTTGAGATTTGTCTCTTAAAGAGATTGCAATCTGGTGATGGGATAAAAGGGGGGCATTGTGAAGGGGAGCCTTGAATAGCTTATTTTGCTTGTAAACAAGAAAGCGTAAACGCTAGCTGGTCTTTTACGCGTGTTGACGAAGTTAAGCTTTGTTATAGGGGCTTGTCATGTGCTAAAAACTGGAGTTGACGGATTGATGTTTATTTACTGACTAGACGAAATATATTCAATGACGCCTACTCAACAGCTTCATCTCCTTTACGCAATGAATTTCTATTCTGGGAGAGACATCCGCGGAACGCGTGTACGGACCATTCTGTCTCAGAATATCAAGGGAGGGAATTCTCGAATGGAAGGCTTCTAGAAAACCAGCCGACTCTTTCAGGGCTGTCCTACGAAAGAGGTACTAAAAAAATGAGGCTGCATTGTCCTAGACGGGGACGGGCAGGGCGCGCACTAATAAGGGCGTCAAATCAGCCCTTTCTTAAAGTGGGATTGGAAAGCTATTGTTTTAGCGTAGGCTGTCTCTAATTCACATGTGGCGTTTTTGACGAATACAATCAATGGAATGCTGCATCACAAGGACAGTGAGTTTGAGGATAGGCTATTCCAGCGAGGTATGAATAATGTCGATGCGAAAAAAAAGGGGTGCTAGGCATCAGCATAAAGCATAGGCTTCTATCTGGTATCTTCATTTCGCCTCCCTCTTCTTTCTCATGACTGATCTCAAGAGTAGGATTTAGGAGAGACGCTTCGACGTAACGATACCACGCAAATAGAGGCTGAGCAGCCCGAGTGAAAATGATAGGCGGCATTGATTAAATTTGCGGAGGCGGAGACTTTAGACCCCCCTGTAACTGGACTGCTGTAGGATTTCGATTGTAGTGCCGGTCAGCAGCCCCTCTTCCCAGCCCACCCCCTGGGCAGGCACCGCGGCACTTGCTGCTGCTCGCCCTGAGGGCCTGAGACAAGTTTCCAGCTTGTCCAGATTCGTGTGCCGTGGTCACTTTTTTTTTCTTTTTCAATCTGTTTTCTTTCTTTTCTTGCCCACAGCTGGCGGCAAGGTGCTTCGTTTGTCTCCGCCCTGCTCTTCCACAGACAAGTTAATTGTAAGTGCAGCTCTGCTTCCTCAATCCTTCTGGCCGGTATTGACATGACTGTCTCGTGCGTGTTTGTCTTAGTGACCTGTGGCGTTGTCATCGAATACACACACACCTACATACATACATACCCATACCCGGACGACGACGACTTTGCGAGCGAGGTGATAGCCTACGAGGATACAACGAGCTGAGATGATCGACTCGGTAATAGCATCGTAGCGGCGATTCCAACAGCATTAGCGGTAGCGACAGTATCAGCAATAGCAGCAATAACGGCGATTCCAGCAGCAGCGAACGTAGCAGCGATTAACAACGACACCGACAATTCCAGCACTAGCATCACTAGCAGCCAGACTAAGAAAGAAGAGGAAAAGGGGAACGAGCAGAATATGCGGTCGCGGGGCGGCTGTCTTATGACACGAAGACTCGGGATCGGGCGATGGATGTCGTTTATGTGCGATGGCATGCAGCGGGGCACCAAAAGGTAGCAGAGGCGGTAGCAGAGAGAGCAACTATATCAGAGGCAGTGGCTGTATCAGAGATAGCTGCTGTATCAGCTATGACAGCTATCTCAAATACAGCAGCTACATCAGATACTGCAGCTATATCAGCTACCAAGCGGACGTGGAAGGTGACAATACAGACAAACAACACAGCTATCACCACCACCATCGCAGACCCTTTCCCCGAACCAGAGTACAATGTATTTGAAGACTATCTTCGGAATTCGGACCGGCAGCACTGGAGTTTGCAGGAGCTTGAAGACGGCACGGACGATATGTCACGTGCGGAAGATCAGATGAAAACTTATGGGCAAATGTTGCTTGACCAGATAGGCCTCTTGAAGCCCGGAATGCTGCGTGAGGGCGTTGCTGAAGTGCAGCTTGTCATTGCCGAGCATCATGACGCCTCATCCGAGCAAGTGCCTGGCATCCACTGCCTCGCATGGGAACTTCTCGAATTTGCCAGATTTCCCCTGCCCGGCTTGCGTTTGAGGGTGACAAGAGTGAGCGACTTTACTAGCCGGCCACCTCTACCTCGGCCTCTAGGGCCGCCGCGATCGCTATCGAGCGTGCAAGCCAGCGTGAACGGGGTCTTCCACGTACTTCTGGTGATTGCCCGGGATTTTAGCCGCAGGGGTGCTGCTCGTGACCCTGAGCCGGATCTTGCGCAGTGGCCGCTGATGAGTGCGCAGAAGAAGCTGAAGAGCCGGCTGCTGCTGGAAGTGGTGCGGCCGGGCAGCATAGAGGAGCTGGATGAGCATCTGAGGGTGAGGGCAGGGCACGGAGTGCTCTTCAATCTGGTGCACTTTGACCTCCACGGAAGGATTACGCGTGACGAGCATGGCAAACAAGTCCCCGGACTTTTATTTGCCAAAGGCTATCAGGCATCCAGCCCGCACCGAAACCCAGTGCCGCCAACGCAGCTCGCCAGAGCAGCCGATGTTGCCAAAGTGCTGGCGGAACATCGTGTTGAAAACGTGGTTCTTAATGCGTGCCTCTCAGCATACAACCGAACGGGGTCGACAACGAATCTAGCCCATATCTTCCTTGAGCACGGCATTCTCAATGTGTCGGCCATGTGGTTCTATGTGCACTGGAAAACTGTGACGACCTATCTCGAGACATTCTACAACGAGCTTCTCATCAAGGGCACAGATTTCCACCTAGCCGCGCAGAAAGGCCGAGATGCCATCCGGAAGAACCCCACGTGCAGGACGGGCAAGGCGTATAAAGACTACTTTCTGTGTGTCAACTACACAAGAAGCTTTAGCATGCCGGGTGCGATTCAAAGGGAGCTAAGCCCGACGCCGTCCATGCACTCGGCAGATTCGTCGACGTCCAACGCATCGATGAAGAGCTTCATGAGCGGAAAGTGGCGAAAGTCGCCTCGTCTCAGTGACAGCTTTCTTGTTGCAGACGAGCCCATCATGCATTTGGAGCTCCACCTGCTGGAGCTGGAATACAAGCTCATGACCTCTCGGGTTGTGTATGCGAGCGACCTACGCAAGGCCTCGAACTCGGACCTAAATGTGACCATTGAGAGGATGGTGAGCATGTGGCTAAACACAAACCTGATTGACGAAGTGTTCTATTATAAGGCCAAAGATTTTGCCAAATCCAGGTTTCTGACGGTTTCACACCGAGAGAAGCGAACGCGGGCATCCAACGGAGGCTATCTGCAGCTGCTCTTCCCACGGCCGGTGCGGGCTCTCCGGCAAACGCTGCACATCATCCGGGATGTGGACCCGGTGGTGGACCCCGGCACGCAGGCCGATCCGCTGGAGAACCAGCGGAACGAGGAACGGCGCGCCTCGGTAGAAAAGGGCCTGGAGCAGTTCGCGGAGAGGCTGCACAAAGAGGGGCACAGCTATATGCTGTTCATTGGCGGCCGAGATGCGGCGTGGTGGCGTGAGCATCTACAACACCTGAGCGGCGAGTGGTGGTTGAACATGGCGTGGAAGTATACGGTGCATAGCCGATATGTAAGGGATGTGACGCTGCTGGCGGGAAATCGAAGGCCGATCTCACGAACTATGCAGTGACGTTTCTGACTCAGCGGAAACGCAGCCATGGATGCGCCGAGGCGGCTTTTGATGGAGCTTGTGTGGTTGATTCGGGAGGCTCGGCTTACGGTTGGAGCGCCATCTGACCCGGGAGTGGCGCGACTTTTCCGACTTGTTGGTATGGTTCAGAGTTTAGAGCGTGTATTCTTTCTTGCGCATGGAGCGTTGCATTTGCATACCTCGGCAGGTTCTTTGGGAAACAAGGCTAGAGGAGCATAAATCTGAGGGATTCATTATATGTGCGAAATAGAAGAGCATAGCATGGAGTTTTACGTTGGGTTTTATTTATCTACTTGAACATAATTAAGTGTGTCGATCTGGGCAGTATTTACTTACACATAATAAAGTGTACAATATGATAAGAGCTGCTAATTGTAATATAAGTCTACCTACTGTATCTACCAGGTATCTAGTATTCTTACTACCGCTGCTGCTGCGTCAACTGCTGCTACTACTGATGGTAATCTGCATCAAGTGTACTAGTTGGAAAAGAGATATAAGCTTAAATCAATTGATATCTGGTATTTAGTGTATATAGTCCCAGTTATATGTGCGTTAACCTCCGTATATCTCCGTATATACTTGCAATAATTGGACTGTCTTCTACATGAACTTGCCATGGAGCCAATATGGAATGCGGGTCACCCAAACTGAATAAGCCATGCATGTCGTACATTACATGATGCAGGCCAAGACAAGGATGATTTCAATGGAGCAGGGCAAATGCTACACAAAGGGGAAAAAAGGGTCTGCGGTAAGCAATGACTTCATCCTTTGCTGATCTTGTTCTCTTCTCCGGACTGTCTAGATAAAAGAAAGAGACTGTGTTCTTTTGGCTCGGATACTTATCTGTTGCGCTTTGCCGAGCAACACACCGCACAAGACCGCTGAGACATACCTCGGACTGTCGGAAGAGTCGGGTGGCTCTATTTGCTTTGGACTTGGGTGACGATGATTCAGCGTAAGGCTGATGGGCGCGGGTAGCTGCTACTTTGGCATGTCGCCGGACAGAGGCCAAATCCGCGGTTCCGGCAGCGAGAGAGCGACAAGGAGCAGGCGATAAAAGGGGAGTGTTCCGGTGAATTGGAGAGTGGCTTTGAATAAGTAAAACGATGCAGCCATTTGCAGAGTGGCTTTTCATTATTGCCGATATTAAACGCTTGACCGTTTGATATCAAGCCACACTCGCAGCGTGGCTGTAGCTCCAGCTGTCAATTCAATTTCAAGTTAAAGGCACCGCAGCAGGTACCGGGTACTTGCGCAACGTGCATTTCGTCGGCGTCAGAAGGTGGGGCGCTGCACCTTGGCGAGGGGAGGCGAGTGACGTACTGGTTACTTCGATCCAGCTTTTTCGCCTTCTCGGACAGCTCTTTTGCGTTCTAATCTCTTATGTTCTTTCACTCAAAGAGAATTTGATACCCACCGTCAGATCGTGTTCCTCCTAGCGAGCGCTTTTTTTTTTATTTCTTTTTTTTATTTTCTTCCCTTCTTCTACGGCACGCAAGAAAGAAAAGACCGATACGGGAAAAGCGGACTCGCCGGCGGGCAAGCGATCTCATAATATTCCAAGGACCTCCTAATCTGTTTTACCTGCCGACCTACCTATTCGTATACCTTGCCTCTATATCCACCCGCCTCCTGAGCAGATTTGCATTCAATTGTAGCAAAAGAAAGGAGACTTGTTTCGATCTCGATTGCTATTTTTGGAACTCGTTTCTTTTTTTATTGTCTTGCTGGCTTTCGGTTACTGCGCGCGCAACTTCGCATCCGAATATACATCTGCAGTCGACCTCGCAGCTCCGACCTATCAGAGACTGGTCTCGACAGCGAATGAGGACATCGCAGCCACTCTATTCCGGCGCAACATGAGCTCGACAGACGTCGTGGCCAATGGCCACAGCCACGACTTTGAATATACTTATAACCAAGATCACGTTCTGCGACCGCGGCCGCGGAAACCGCTGCATGCGCAGGTGTCGCAGCTTTCGGCGGCGTCATCCACCGATGGCGACAGCCAGCACCTGAACCTGCCGGGCGAGAATGGAGCGGGGAGTGCCACAACGAGGTGAGACTTGTCTGACTTGACTTGACCATGTCATCAATCTAACAGTTTCCTATAGCGGCCGTTCAACTCCCGTCCCGGAAAACGCTCCGCCATCGACCAAATCGCTCTCCTCTGCCCGCAAGCAGGTCCGCGCCGAGCAGCGCCGCCGCATCTTCCCTACCATCGAGTTCTCCTCGCGCGTCTCGCACTTCGACCCCGAGAGCGACTACCGCGACTTCCATGGCTTCTTCAACCTCTTCTGGATCGGCCTCGCCATCATGGGCATCACCACCATGCTGCGCAACATGAAGGACACGGGATATCCCATGCGCGTGCAGATCTGGGGCCTGTTCGCCGACAAGCTGTGGCATCTCGCCGTTGCCGACTTCCTCATGGTCGCCAGCACCGCCGTCAGCTTGCCGCTGCACCGCTGGGCCAGGACGATGCCGAGGGGTGGTGTCTGGGGCTGGAGCAGGGGCGGCATGGCGATCCAGAGCATCTACCAGGTCTTCTGGCTGGCGTTCTGGATCAGCGTGCCCTTTTTGCTGGAGTGGACGTGGACGGCGCAGGTCTGCCTGCTGCTGCACACCATGGTGCTGCTCATGAAGATGCACTCGTACGCCTTCTACAACGGCCACCTCTCCGAAACCGAGAAGCGCCTGCGCAGCCTCGACGAGCCCAACGCCTCCAGACAAGATCGCAGCCCCGCCTACGTCTACCCTAGCGCCGACCACCGCAAGGGCAGCGTGTCCGGCATCCCCATGCCCCGTCCCACCGAGCCCGCCGGCAACCAGGACGACAAGAAGGACCGCAAGGCCAAGAAGCAGCAGCAGCAGAACGGCACAAACGGCACAAATGGCCACGTCCACGCAGACCACGAGCCCACCAGCGCCGACGAGATCGACGAGCTGCGCGAGGACCTCGCCCGCGAGCTTACGAGCCCCATGGGCAACGTCACGTACCCGCGCAACCTCACCTGGCCCAACTACATCGACTTCCTGTGCTGCCCGACGCTCTGCTACGAGCTCGAGTACCCCCGCAACGCCACCATCAACTGGACCTCGCTCATCTCCAAGATCATCGCCACCTTTGGCTGCATCTTCCTCCTGACAATCACCTCCGAGGAGTACATCCTGCCCGTCCTCGTCGACGCCTCGCAGCGCCTCGAAGCCGCCTCCGCCTCGTCCTCCGTCGTCCTCGAATCATGCCTCATCCTCGCCGAGACAATCTCCTGGCTGCTCTTCCCCTTCATGCTCACCTTCCTGCTCGTCTTCCTCGTCATCTTCGAGTACGTCCTCGGCGCCTTTGCCGAAATCACTCGCTTCGCCGACCACTACTTCTACGCCGACTGGTGGAACTCGACCGACTGGATGGAGTTCTCGCGCGAGTGGAACGTCCCCGTGTATTCCTTCCTGCGGCGCCACGTCTACAGCGCTTCTCGCCCGCACACGGGCAAAGCGTTTGCCACTTTCATCACGTTCCTCATCTCCGCCGTCGGGCACGAGATTGTCATGGCGTGCATCACAAAGAAGATTCGCGGCTACGGCTTCGTTTGCCAGATGCTGCAGCTACCTATTGTCATGATGCAGCGCACCAAATGGGTCAGGGGCCGCAAGACGCTCAACAATGTCTGTTTTTGGTGTTCCATGATTTTGGGCCTCAGCTTGGTAAGTCACTGACCCCTTTATACATATATACACATATATATGTATATTTATACATATATACACATATATATGTATAAATGTTATTGGACGATTTGACTAATTAGACATAGATTTGCGCGCTCTACGTTCTCGTATAAAAGACACACATGATACCCCCCCTCGCGGGCAGACTCACCTCCCCACACCACACCACACTACACCACACTCATTAGCATGTCTTTTTCCTCATGTTTCCTTTTAACAGTTACATAGCATATACTATTATCCAGACTGGCTTTGGACCTTTTTTCTTTTTTTTTTTCCTTTGTAAACTCAATCGAATCAATAAATGGGCAGGTTAACTTGTGTTTTTATTTCTTGTTTTTTGCGCTTGGATATGTATACATATATCTTGTTGGCGGCATGGTTTCTTGTTACTTATAGCGTCAATATATCTCCATCTCACGATGGCTGTTACTTGATATCCTATTAGTACTTGTTCTATGCAGCATCACTGTATTTAGGTCGCATGATGGCCATTACTTGACAGTTTGATATTGAGCATTTGTATAAGTGTATTGCATTGGATAAACACGACTATACAACGTTCAACTCACTACGTCATCAGATCAAGCGGAACACATCGTATCACCGAACACATTGTATCACAAGAGACATTCTATATGATTGCATTCCATTTATTCATTTCTCGTAGAGATAGTAAGTTACTCCGTCCCTCGCCTCTCTTGGAGGGGATATCAAGGGGTTTTCATAGGGTAAACGCAACTCTGGCCCATTAAACCCAGGACCTCCTAAAATAGTAGACAAAGGAAAATAAAATAAAACCACGTCCAGACCTTATTTGCTCTAAAACCATTCAACTCCATGATGATAAATCAAACTTTTTGTCCCTGTATCCCGAATTCTTGATCCATGACAAAAACGCCGCTTAGTCGACCTCCTCCATGGCGCTGTCGCCAGTCTCGACGGCAGGGGTCTCCTCGGCGGGAGCGGCCTCAGCGGGGGCGGAGTCATCCTCCTCAATGTTCAGGCCGAGCTGGACGAGCTTGTGGATGCGCTCAGCGAAGCCAGCGGGCTCATCAATGGTGAAGCCAGAGACGAGCAGAGAGGTCTCGAACAGAAGCTGGGTAATGGACTTGACGGTGCGGTCGTTCTCGCCGTCAGTCTCAACCTTCTTCTTGAGCTCCTGGATGATGGGAGACTTGGGAGAGATCTCAAAGGTCTTCTTGGAAGACATGTAGCTGGACATGGAGGTGTCACGGAGGGCCTGGGCCTTCATGATACGCTCCATGTTGGCGGACCAACCGAACTGGCCGGTACGGATGGCGCAGGGGGAGAGGCCGAGCTTGTCGCTGACAACAACCTTCTCGACCTTGTCGCCGAGGACGTTCTTGAGAGCCTTGGCAACGCCCTCGTACTCCTTCTCCTCCTCCTCACGGGCCTTCTTCTCCTCCTCGGTCTCCTCGAGCTCAAAGTCCTTGGTGATGTCCACGAGCTTCTTGTCCTCAAACTCCTTGAGCTGAGTCATGGCGTACTCATCAATGGGGTCGACAAGGAAGAGAACCTCGAAGTTCTTGGCCTTGAGGGCATCAAGGAAAGGAGACTTCTGGACGGCCTTGAGAGACTCGCCAGTGATGTAGTAGATGTTCTTCTGGTGCTCGGGCATGCGAGTGACGTAGTCAGTGAGAGAAGTCAGCTCATCACCAGACTTGGTGGAGTTGAAGCGGAGGAGCTTGGCCAGGATGCCACGGTTCTGGGAGTCCTCGTGGATACCCAGCTTGAGGTTCTTGGAGAAGGCGCTGTAGAACTTGTCGAACTGCTCCTTGTCCTCAGCAATCTCCTGGAAGAGCTCAAGAGCCTTCTTGACAATGTTCTTCTTGATGACCTTCATGATCTTGTTCTGCTGGAGGGTCTCACGAGACAGGTTGAGAGGGAGATCCTCAGAGTCGACAACACCCTTGATGAAGCCCAGCCACTCGGGAATGAGCTCGGTGGCGTCATCGGTGATGAAGACACGGCGGACGTACAGCTTGATGTTGTTCTTGGTCTTCTTGGTCTCGAACAGGTCAAAGGGAGCACGCTTGGGGACGAAGAGGATGGCACGGAACTCGAGCTGACCCTCGACGGAGAAGTGCTTGACACCAAGGTGGTCCTCCCAGTCGTTGGAGAGAGACTTGTAGAAGGAAGCATACTCCTCCTGGGTGATGTCCTGGGGGTTGCGAGTCCAGATGGGCTTCTGCTTGTTGAGCTCCTCCTCCTCAATGGTGGTCTCCTTGATCTTCTTGGTCTTGGGCTTCTTCTCCTTGTCCTCCTCCTCGTCATCAACTTCCTCAATCTTGGGCTTCTTGTCATCGCCCTCCTCCTCCTTGACCTCCTCAACCTCAGCGGCATCCTCATCGGGAACCTCCTTCTCGGTCTCCTTGGTGACGTGGAGGTAGATGGGGTAGCTGATGAACTCAGAGTGCTTCTTGATGACCTCCTTGATGCGGCTCTCGTTCAGGTAGTCAGCCTGCTCGTCCTTGAGGTGGAGGACAATGGCGGTACCGCGGCCGAGCTGCTCGCCCTCGGTGTCGGCGATGATGTTGAAAGTGCCACCGGCGCTGGACTCCCAGATGTACTGCTCGTCATCGTTGTGCTTGGAGATGACGGTGACACGGTCGGCGACCAGGTAGGCGGAGTAGAAACCAACACCGAACTGACCAATCATGGAAACATCGGCACCAGCGGTCAGGGCCTCCATGAACTGCTTGGTACCGGATCGGGCAATAGTACCCAGGTTGTTGACAAGGTCCTAGCAATGTATGTTAGCAAAACTGTTGCAGTGCGCGTAGGATTTTGAGAGAAATCTAAAAACTTACAGCCTTGGTCATACCAATACCGGTATCACGGATGGTGAGGGTCTTGGCCTCCTTGTTGGGGATGATGTCAATGCGCAGGTCCTTGCCAGAGTCGAGCTGGCTGGGGTCGGACAGCGACTTGTAGCGGATCTTGTCCAAGGCATCGGAGGCGTTGGAGACAAGTTCTCGCAGGAAGATCTCCTTGTTGGAGTAGACGGTGTTGATGATGAGGGAGAGAAGCTGAGAGATCTCGGCCTGGAACTCGAAAGTCTCAGACATGATTGCGGCGGGTATCAACGGAAAACTTGAGAATCTAGATGAAAGATGGATGTTAGTTTCGTGTTCGAGCGGTTGAGTCTTTCTTAGAGGGGTTGCTGGTAGAACAAATGGCTGTGAAAGTGAAGGAGACAGAAAGAGAGCCAAACACAGAGAAACAGCGATCCCAGTTTAACTTGATCTTGATTTGCAAAATCCGCAAAGATTGGATTTCTCTTCAAGAATTCGCAAACCGCATCAAATCTCCCAGGCAAGGCTGAAGCTCTCGTTTTCTCCCAAATGGCGGGGTGATAAGGCGGGAAAAAAGCACGGGGCTCTAACAGGAAAGTGGGATGATAAGCTTGCTGCTGGGCTGTTTACTAACCTCGATGGTTTAAAAGGAAAAAAAGGACAGGCTCAAATTGAGGCACTGGGGGGTATTGCGAGAGGGAAGAAAAAAGTTGTTTTGTCAAACAGAAAAAAGAAGAGAATGGATGTAGAGAGGAAAGAAGAAAAAGAGATCGAGGAGGAGAAGGAGCAGCCGCAAGTCCTAAAAAAGGCTTGCTGCCAGTTGCGCTGCTCGCCTATCCAGAGATTCCATGAGATTCTATGGCCGGTGCCCGTCGCCTGCGCGGCGCTGATTGGCCCAGAGGCCGCTGCTGGAGCCTTCTAGACAGCCCGAGCCGGGTCTCAGAAGGGACCAGAAAAAAAAAATCAATTGGGCTCAAGCTTCAAGTGTTTTCCTTTCAGGCGGCACAAGGCAGCGACCCCTCCAAGCCCGCCTTTTTTGTTGTTAGTGAGGGGATGCTGGCGCGTGCTAGCACCTGTAGATTCTCTGCGATTCTGTCCACCACGGTGTTTTGATGCATATGATGTTCCTTGTCTACTCTATTATGTGGTTTACAGGTTATTTCTATTATTTTCTTTCATCAAGCATCAATACAAAGAGTCTGATTTGATAAACGCAATGGCATCTACGTACATTCCTCCTATCTGCTTTGATTCAAACCCCCTGTCTCATCCGCCTCTTTCTGCTAGAAGCTTCCAATGTCCCGTCTCATCCCTTCACTGACGAGGCTGACGATGAGGGGAAACAGCCCAGCCGCAGCCAGCGCCCCCCAATTTATTTCCCCCCCTCCAGATGTAACTGGGCACCGCTGCAGCGACCCGACAGGGGCAGCGACCGCCACTGGTAAAAATCTCAGCCCAGCTATCTATCGAGCGGAGCTAAACATCCCACCTGCAGCAATTAGCATGTGGCTGGCTTGCCACTAGTAGTTTACCTTCAAAGCTGGAGGCAACAAAGGCAAACGAAAGCGTGCTGAAGGCGTTCTGATAGCCTGATCCTGAGATCTGGAACGTAGCAAGCACGTTGCAGCTCGTGCAAAGACTGAAGTCAATAACCACGATCGCCAGGATCGCTGAGGGTTTTGCTTAGCGCCCATCACTCCGCCTAGCAGGCAGCTGTAACCCCGCTATGGCTGAGTCCCGAGACCCCTCCCTTGCATGTTGCGTGAGAGTCAGTTATCGTGCAAAGTAAAGAGTTGGCCAACCCCCTTGTGATACTTCTGGACCAAGACATGGATGCTGTTCACGCATCCGATCCGACGCCTTGCATTTGTTCTCGTTACATGTAATCTTACAGTTTCCATCCATCTATCCGTTTCTATCCAATTCCATTGTACTCGCTTTCTCATGCAGCAAACCCTGGCTTTTGTTTCATCCCCTTCACTCAGTCTTGTGAAATCACCCTTCCGACCTGGCGATACTTTCGATCCGCATACGACAGCCCAAACGCGCTCTTGTTTGCGTGGCTCCCGGATATGAACTCCACCACTTCTCCCACGACAATGACATGATCCCTCACTTTCATCAGTCCCCTTGTCGGCTCGTCAGGTAGTAACCTGCACCTGAGTGCGTACATGACTCCCTCTTCCTTTAACAGAGGAGCCCCCCCGTCGTCCGTCTTGTTCGCATCGAATTCAATCCCATCAAACACATCGTCCGTGTTTCCTTTTGTAAACCTATTTGCTACTTCCACGCCCAATTCGTCCCCGGACATGACGTGTATGTTGAAGTGACGGCTCGCTATTATGGCGTCTAGCGTTCGGCTCGGCGTGGCGATGTTGAATGATATTAGCGGAGTGGGAGAGAGAGTGAGTGATGTAAACGATGACATTGTCATTGCCCTTGGTGTATCCCCGTGTGTTGATGTGCAGACGACGACGGAGTGTGGTAATAGTCGCATAACAGAGCGTATTTGTTCTGGGAGATCGGCTGGAGTGGTAGGGTCTGTGGTCGGAGCTATAGGAGGAGAGGTATGCCATGAATGAGGGCTATGGCTCGTGTTTTGGAGAGTCGTCTTCTTTTCATCTGTTATCGATGTCAGTTAGCAAGAAAAGGACCCAAACAGAGTCGCATTCCGGCATCCTCACATGTAGTATTCTGTGCGGCTAAGCTTGACGTTTCACCCGCCCGAGCTGACCGCACACCCGTCGCGTATTCCCCCAGCGATATCGCATGCCCAACAACATCATGAACGCCTCTCATCAGCCGTATAGCCCAGAAACCTCTTCTCTGCACGTCCCAGGCACATCCCAAGCCGTGGCTCACACCCAGCCTTACGCCCGAGCATCCAAGCTGCGACAGCTGTCGCACCGCCCTAGCAGCTCTCATCGAATCCCATGCGGTCTTGACTGTTATTATTCTTCTACTTAGGAAGTATAAAGAAGGCCTAATTGAAGAACAAAACTCAAGTATATAGAGTTAGTAGCTCGTCTGTCTTCGCTCGACGTTACCGGCGCTGCAAGAACCAGTTTCTTATCGATAAGCATCTCATTGTGCCGCCACTACGGCAAGCGGGCCGGAAATTTTGCGACACCAACACCAGCAAGATCACCACATGCGACATTGATACCAATAGCCCGCCGATCCTCCCCAATTGAACGTCCATTCTATTCTCAAATAAACAACTTCCAGGACAAAACAACAAAACCGCCAAAATGGGGAAACTCCCCACTCCCACCGCCAGCCTCCTCTCCTCTCCCCTCCGCCCATCATCCACAACCTCAACCTTCTCCGCCCACAGCAGCTGTCTCCGCACGCAAACCAGACACGCAACCTTCATCCCCCGACCACGACGGCCCTACACCTTCACCCAGCTCATCCAGCTCTCGGACGGATCCACCTACACCGCCCGAACCACCTCCCCGCTGCCACTCTACCGTGCCGCAAAGGACACGCGCAACACGCTCCTGTGGCAGCCCAGCGAGAAGAGCCTGCGCAACGTCGAGCTCGACGAGGCCGGTAAGCTGGCTGCCTTTAGAGAGCGATTCGGAAGGGCGTACGATGCTGCGGCGCAGGCTGTAGAGGGCGAGGCGAAGGGCGATGAGGCTGCTGTAGCTGCGGCCAAGGCGGCGGAGGAACAGGCTGCGGCGGAGGCTGCTGAGCAGGATGCTGGATTGAACTTTGAGGATTTGTTGGCGGAATATCAACCACAGGATACGAGCGCGTTGAAAGATTCAGGTCCGAAGAAATCCCCCACACGGAGAAAGTAATGAATGGGGTTATGATTTGAGGGAACAGAAGGACTGTATTATATACTTTGTACGAATGACAGGTGGAAAAAGGCTAGGCGCAGATAACGTCACAAAATTGGAGAGACATGGAAAGACAATAGACGGGAGGAGAGAGAACCGCATTGGATTAGAGAATCGACTCTGTTCAACTATGTACAGCACTTTGAGCCTGGCGGCCCGCAATGATATAGCAAAAAAAAAAGGGATTCATCTCCGAACTTTGAAACGAATATGAATACTACACCACGTCCGCTTTCTCCCTCCCGCTTATTGACGATTTAGCTCACAATCGTAGCATACTCGTAGAGATGGACTATTACAACATCAAACTCGCTCCTAGTCCGAATCCTCATCTATAGTAGCCCGGGCACGATCGATAGCAGTGTTACCGGGAGGCTTCGTCTGATAGACGGGCGGCCTATAGAAGGCAGATTCATCGTCTTGAGCATCCAGTTGCATGAGGAATGTCTCCCACTTTTCAATCAACTACACGCTTGTTAGCAATCTTAGAGTATCGCTGGTATATATATAGATTTCACTTACTTCCTTTTGTGCTTCAACAGCACCTTCAAGGAACGTCTCGACACCGCTCTTGAAATCCTCCACCTTCTCCTTCTCGAACCGATCCAGCTCAGCCCTCATGGAGCGGCCCATGTCTTCAAAGAGCAGGCGAGCTTGATGAACCTTTCTCTCCGACTCCTGAACCTCGGCATTCATCTGGTTGAGTCGGTCCTGCTGACTCTTACCCTGACGAAGCAGCTTGTCTTGTGTCGACTTCTTCTTCTGGAGCTCCGACTCGGCTGAATGCCAGGCGTAGAAGCCCTTTTGACGCTGGGTGAATGCCTGCTTAATTGACCCAATCAGACGAATGTATTCATCAATGATGATTCCAAATGTCAAGACGTCTTGCTGAGCCTGACGATCATACACATCGCGGATGGTAAGCTGCAGATCAGAGAGGGCGTCTAGCGGGCCAGATAGCGAGGGCGAAAGCTCAACCGTGGACAGCGCATGCAGAGAGGCAGAAAAGTCAGCCGCAGCCTCTGCCATCATCTTTCTCTGGCTGACCATAGCGTCCATTGCTTTCAGCAGCCCCTTGAGCTGATTCTCCAATGCATCAAGATACACCTTACGATCATGAAACCAATCATCTTGCTCCACAAACTTGCTTCCTCCTCCGACGTTAATGCCCAAAGATCCCAACACTCCCTTGCTCTCAGTAGGCAGCGGCTCTCGTCTTTCCTTGTGCTTAATATCAACGTTAAAGGCCTCACTCTCCAAGAAAAGCTTAAGATCAGCGTCATGCTGAAGAACAGGGTGCGCTGCCGTCTTGTTGAGCATCTTCTCCAGCGCGGCTCTTCTACTTTCCACAAAGTTGCTGTCGAAGCGGCCAACAGCCTGCTTCTCGGGAGGTGGCGGCACCACGTATCCGGGGTTGTTCCCATGCAAAGTATTATAGAGCCATAAGAAGTCTCGGTATCGACGCTTGACTTCAAATTCGGGCTGCTTGTATGCTCTAGAGGAAGTCTGAATAGAAAGGATGTCCTTTAGCGGGGCGAGTCTTTACTTATAAATGGAGAAACTAGGAATCGCTAACCTTGGTTCTCACAGAGTACACAATGTGAGAACTCGTCAAGTCTCCAATCTTGACCGGATCTCCAACCGTGATATAAAACGTGGGCTTCGCTGCCTCTTCCACGCTCACGCTCGGCTGCGTGTTGCTCCGCACACTACTCGGTCTCGCGGCATCTACCGGAGGTGGCACTCTCGGGCCTCTCGGGCTTTCCAAGTCGTCTTCGTCGTCAACATGGTGAGGGTCGGCAATCCTCCTCGCCGCCTGCTGCTGCTGGAGCGGCGCCATCGTCGTCCGAATCACCATCTGCTCCTTCTGAGGCGGCACCGGCGGGGCATCCAGCGCAGCGGCATCTTGGGCTGGTCCAGCGCTCAGAGGCCCGAGGGGATCATCCACGGCCTCTAGCTTTGTAGGCTGGGCGACGATGCGGCGAGGAGCGCGCGAGGGCCGAGGCGCTGACGACGTCGAGGCCTGTGATGTCGCTGGCGGGGAAGCAGCAGGCTCGCTGTCGGTGGGCGGCTCAGGGGGGTTCTGGCTGGAATCAGCCCACGGCGATTCTTCGACGTCCATTGCGGTGCGGGAAATGGTCGCTACGGATGCGACGGGCGAGGTTTGGCGGAACGAGGGGAGGAATTGGACGCTGGTGTTGAGCTGCGAAGAAGGACAGAGCACATCAGCTTGCTCGACGCAGAGTGGCGTAGAGCGATTGGGGAATACCGGTACCCGGCCTTAGCGCCTGCTCAACGTCAGCGGTTGCGTACCTGTACGAGGCTGCCAGCGGCCAGCTATAGCGAGCCCCCACTAGCACTTTAACTGGATGGCCTCAGCCTTGAGGCATGAATTATTGTCTGGTCGATTAATTTGTATTCGGGGTGTTATCGAAGGCTCAAACAGGAAGCTGAAAAGGGATTTGAATGAGAATATATAGATATCAAGGCATATGAGAAGAAAAGAAAAGATCTCATTCTATCGTTATTCCCTATAACAGACCATCAAGAAATTCAAACAAACACCAGTTCCAAGTCTGTCCTCATAGCACGTATTATACCACCCCTTTCAATAGTCCTTTATCCCTTTGTAAGCGCTTGGCTTCCGTGCAACAATTTACCATTCCCCTAATTAGAGCTGCGCGCTTCCATTTTCTTCCTGCTGGGTATTTGCTTCACTGTTTGTTATTAAATCGAGTAAACCCCCCGCCAATCTATCGGTCAGCATCGTAGCATCCGCCAGCTATGACGAGATTCATTCGAGTGAACTTGACTTTTGTGACTGGAGTCTTCTTCGTCGGAAAGGCCGAGATTTGATCGGGAGTAATCATCACTTCCTTGCTCTTCTTCTTGGTGCCGGTCGTAGCACCTGTAGCAGCTGACTGACCCGAGGCCCCCCCGTTGATCCGTGGTGCCTCTCCGTTGGGGCCGTTGATCGCCATGTCAGCACCCGCAGTTGCAGCCTCGATACCAGCCTGTTGAGCTGCTTTATGCGGATCTGCTGGCGACTCGACGTCCCACAATCGAACAGTGCCGTCCTGGCCGCCAGATGCGAGTACGTTGGATTCAACACTAAAACTGAGAGACCAGATGCCTCCTTTTCCGTGCCCGCGAGAACGCTTGATGCGAGTTCCCTTGACTAGATCCCAGAAGAAAATGTTGCCCGCAATATCTGCGCTGGCCAGGATTTTACCATTGGGAGAGCACTCCAAAGCGCTTATATACTCTGTGTGGCCCGTGAACACTCTAACACACGCACCGGTCGTTACTGACCACATGCGGATCGACTTATCCGTCTCATCTGAGGCCGAAAAGACGTACATGCCGTTAGGGTGCCATACAATGGCCGAGATGGCGGTATCGTGGCCGACAAGGAGCCGTTGGGGTGATGCATGATCCTGCATCCAGACTCGAACAACCTTGTCATAACCACCAGTCAAGAAGTAATGTCCGTGAGGGCTCCATAGTGCCCTATGGACAGGCCCATCGTGCGACTTGTATACGCATAGGCAGGTCCAAGATTCCAGGGACCAGAGCCGAATTTGCCCGTCTCCTGAACATGATAGCAGTAGTTTTGGTCGTCCATCGATGGCTGCATTTTGTCGGCCCTCATCACCAAAGAGCTTTTGAGGGGGTCCCGAGGCTGAGTCTGAAAATGAAATATCATATACGGGTCCATAGTGTCCAATAAGTTTTCGGCTGTTGAACTTGGTGCCCTTTTCGTGGGCGTTTGAGCTTGGGAGGGCTTTGCCATCCAGAGACCAAACGCGAATGTAGGACTCACTGGTTCCGACAGCTGCGAGCTGACCATCATCAGAAAATTCCATGCATGAAACGCTACGTCTCAGTTAGTCTACGCGGCTCTTTTAGATGCTTGGAGAGCAAGGTTACTTACCTTCCAAAGGTGTTGTGAAACGTAAACATGCATGCGCTTACAGGGACACCGACGCCGCCTGTTCGCCCTTCGATCTTGAATCTGTCTCTGTTCTCTCGAAGCTTTTGCATTTCAAGCATGATATCGCGCGGTCGAGACGGTGGTAAGGGTAGGTCTGATCTGCTTGGAGCATCCGCACTCTCTTCCCTCTTGATTTTCCGGTCAAGTTCTTCTATCAGACTAGGTCCGCCAGGGGGCGGTGGAAGTCGCCGCTCCTCGTCTTCGATTTCAGCGCGGACGTCGTCGCGGAGATCTGCATCCATAGGCAGAGGGCCCAGGCTAAGGGGCGCAGCCGGGTCCAAGATATCCTTGTTGGACAATCCGATATTGACCCCAGGAATGCCTTCTCGGGCGTCGATCTCTTCGATGTCCAGATTCTTGGACTTTCTGAAAACCGCCTCGAAGCTGAAGGGGGTGATGGGTCCACGAGCGGTTGAATCGATTTGACAATACGTGACAAGAAGCTGTCGGATAACGGATCCACCGTGATCAGACTCTCGCTCAAGAAAATTAAAAAGATCGCCGGTGGCGTGCTGATTCAAGGGAATGCGGTACTTGTTCTCCTTGTACAGCTTGGTAACAGGATTCTCGTTTACATGCTGAGCGAGTGTGATTGTTGCGAATATTTTCAGATCATCAGCGTGTGACGCCTGGAAATGTTGGCCAATGTCTCTAAGAAATATTTTGCCCTCTTCTGTGTATCCATTTCCTACTAGTTCGATGAAGGAATACACGAATGTTGGCCAGAGAAGTTTGGATAGCTCAAACTGTATACAATCTGTTTAGTAGGTGGGTATAGACCGCTGATAGGGAGCATTGCTGACTTTGTAGATTTCAAGATTGTTTTCAACCCAATCTTTTAGTAATCGGAACGCTCTTGCATATTTTTTGGGGCCCAAGTTTGCTAGTTGTTGCACTGGTTTACCATCATTGCCGAGATGCTTTGACTCTTGTCGGAAAACTTCTTCGGTCCTGTTGAAACCCCTCTTGAGAAGATAGTCCGTGACCTAGCAAACATTGTTAGATGAGATCATTCGAAACCGCCAGAGACACGAGTTAGAGCAGAAGCAACAAAGATGGAGATGGAGGGATGGGGATGTCAAGGCAAGGATAATCAATGAAACAGCCATTGTGGAATGCTATGCTAGCCAGAAAGCTGCTGACCAAGTCTATGAGGATGCTTGAATGGTCTGCCATGATGTGGCATCATCATACGGCTCAAAGTGGTGGAAGCAATGGTGATAAGTGATGGGCTACAGGCACCTCGGCACAAATGACATGGATAATGGTATTAAGCAGAGGAGTGAAGATGTGTGGTCTCGGGCCAAGGCAGCCTTGAGACCTCAAATAGAGCATCAGCCTGAGGCTCAACAGAATACCACGTACAATCTGATTGAGATTCTGATTCGACATTGCGCCTCCAGTCGTGCCCGCTGTGGTGGTGGCTGCGGCAGGCGGCCCGGCTGGCGACGTGACTGGCTGTCCTCCATACGAGTTGGCCGCACCAGCTCCCTGGGCCGGTACTTGAGCTGCCATTGCGAGAAGACAGCAGGCGCCGCTGTTGTGTAGGAAGAAATGAAAAAGTCCACTGTGACTTTGGAAATGTGAAGTCTCAAAGTGAGAGTATCATATCAGAGCCTTGGCCAGCCGAGATGAAACGAAGCGCAAATTGGGCTAGCGATTCCAAGTGGGATGAGCTATGCCTGACTCTCAGGTTCTTGATCGTGTGGCGGTATGTTGATTGAACCTCTCCGGGCCAGCGCTCGGTGAGACACGTCAAGATCGCGAATTTCGCCTGATATATCGTTTATGTGATGTTCGGTGATAGTATTGGTGCTTCAGACGACCGAAAAGGCGTTTTGTGTGATGGTCAGGTCGCTGGGCTTGATGTGAAAGCATTAGAGTTGAGGTGACGGAGAGAAGTCGCGAATTGCTGGCCGGAGCGGGATAGCCGAAGTTTAAGCGGCATCTCTCTCAGATGCTGCTCAGCTGTGGCAAACGGAGAGCATAGCGCGTGTGTTTGCATGTAACTTTTGATGAATATGATAGATATAGTATTATAATGAAGGACATAAAACATCATCATCTTTACCACAAACGCATGAGCTACAATGGGTGAAAGTCTTATGCTGCGGACTAGCAGAGGATTCGCGACATCTTATCGGCGCGTTGGGCTGACCCACAGCGACTTGGCAGCACTCTTCTCTTTCAACGCATAGGTGCAACTAAGCTTCAGACTCAAACTACACCAGACCTCCATCAAGTTTAAGCTTGCAACTTCATCCAGCTCATTTTGGTTCAGAACATCACCGCCATAAGGCCTTTTACACCTCGAGGATCCTATCAAAGGGGTACACAGTTCTGCCGGATCTCATCCAACCGAGCCCATTCGCTCAATCTCACAGCCATGGCCTCACCAGAGGATATCGTTATGGGGGACGAGAGAGAAGAGGCCGCCCAGCCTCAAGTTCCTTTTACGTTGGAGGAAAATATTGCTCAGCTCAACGCCATTGACAAATCCATGGTTCAGCTTATGAACCACACTGCCGCTGCGCTCGGCGCCCTCACAACGCCAGAATCATCAGACGACAGCAACCCTCCAGCATCAGTAGACTCAGCGGCGCAAAAAGAGGTTTTTCGCCAAGCAACAGATACGTTTCTGAGCACGCTTCACAGCATCGATGTACGAATGAAGCGACAGATTCTTGCGCTTGAAGAGGCGGGCATCGTCAACCTTTCTTCTGGTGCACCTCGCCAGGGACCTAGTCCTGGGACCAAGCCGTCTCTCAAGCCTAATGGAGTTGGAGCCATTGGAAACCTTGATGTTGGATGGCTAAACAGTCGAGGTACCAAGGTAGAGCGAGATATGGAGCTGGAGCTGTGGAAACGAACTCGGGAGATTCTTGAAAAAGATGATGGCAATATCAAGAAGGAGTAACGAAAGACACGACACGATTTAATGAATAAAATTTTATTTCAAGCACCTAAGTATATATACACTTCATAGTATGTTATCCCATATGTCCATTTCAACAACGCTACTGACGCGATTTTGCAGATAACAGACCCTGTTTACTCGATGCCATAATGGTCTATGCTTTCTACTCAGATACCCTCCCATGATCACAAAGCCTATTATAGGCATGTGTAATCTCATCCGGCCCATTGGGCGGTCGTGGTATAATATTCTCTGGCTGGATGCTAATATGCGACGTCAGCTTGGGGCAATCCCCAGCATTTTGGACAGCATAGGTACCTACAGGGCATCAAAGAAATAGCAAGAAAATTCACCATTATTAGGCGTGGAGTGTTTGGCTAGAGAAGCAGAGTTAGACCTTGGAATGGCGAACTGAAAATAAAGCAATCTCACTCTGATATCCGGCAAAAGAAACGCAATCTTTTCGCGCGTTGCAGGTATACTGGCATCTATTCTCGGCCCATGGCACCCAGCTGGTACCCAAAGCGAAATGCTGGCTGTGTTAGGCGATGTTGTTTCCTTGGAAATATGGATGAGGCGGCACTTACATCCGTATCGCCGATGGTTTGATGGCGCTCTACCCACGCCGGATCGAGGATGAATTGGCTCGGAAACTGGGTGGAAGGCTTTACCTCGTGGTAGTGAATCGTCCACTGGTCGTACTTTTTGGGAGATCCGAAGACGCACGCCTTTAGGTGCTGTTGATCATTGGTGACGACCTCTTGGTTATGGCCCCAGGGGTTGCTGGCAACGGCGACATTGGATGAGGCAGCCACTAAGAGCAAGACAAGGCGAAATGCGACCGACAAACTCCATGGAGCAATCATTGTGGTGAGTGTGAGCTGGTTGGCAGCGAAGAATTGTCTCAATCAGCTTGATGCAGGGAAAAGCGGCTTCAAAATTATTTTGAGACAGGCAAGATGAGTGCAGCTGTTTGACCTGGCGTTTTCCCCTGAGAGCGATAGTTTGGCCTTGGCAATTAAGGGCTGCCCCTCAGGCATTTGCTCCCGTGTCATAGCATCATCATAGCCAGTTTTTATCAAAGGAAGTCGCTAAGAGAGCCACTCCCGCCTGGCAAATACCTTTGGTGCTTTTGGTGCCCAAGTTTATCACAGTCTTCTCTCCAAGTTGATCTGACCACAGCTTCCCTAATTGAAGGGACAGGTAATTCTGGCAAGCTGCACCCGCCCATTCCATGCGACATTCCGATTTTGACTTTACAGCTGCTGGATGGCGATGGCAATTGGCACCGTCTATTAATGGACACCAAATGGGCTACTTTGTGTCCAGGTTTCTATTATGCCTCTTTCCGTGCCCACGCCTCTGCTATTATAGCAGTTATTGGACAATGCCACTCGCTTATCGCGCTGCACTGGGCTCTTTACGCGAGTGGAGCGATAGCTATAATCCATGTCAACCTATGGAGCGCACCACTGTTTGACAGCATGTGGAGGGAGCCAGACTCCCTTGCTTTCGCGGCGCAGGCGCATCGCGATCATGTCTAGAATTATGAGGTCTATAGTATTTCAACATAGTGCTGCTTACCGGCGAATTGTTGGCCGTGAATAGTACAAATAGCCGCGCTTGGCATGGCATTTCCCGCCTATTTGGTGCCGACACTTCCTATTTCACATGCACCTCGCCCGATGGAGCTGCAGCGATTCTTTTTGCGGGGACGCATCCCTGCAACCGGTTTGTCATGGTGTAATGGTGGTACCTCGTTATAGTGCGTGCGTAACGGCAAATTGAAAGTCTCTTGGTTCGTCCGGAACAACGTCGGTGCCAGGCCCTCCCTGCGCGTCTCCATGGATTTCTTGGCTTTTCATCTCCGATCAAGCCGCTCGACTAATTGTTTCGATCTCCAGTAAACACCTGGCCGATGTTTTCTGGCGTCCGTTCGCGACGATTGCAAGGACGTCGAAGCATTGTACAATCGGACTGTAAGGATTGAGAGAGGGGAATCGCTTTTTTCTTCTCTTTCTTCTTCTCTTCTGTTGTTTATTGGAACCACGATGATGCAACCATTACGGCCAACGGCGATGGCCCTACTGTTGTCGATCGCATCCTTCGGAGCGCTTGTGCATGCTCACGACCACCATGGCGGCGAGAGTCACATCCCCGAGGGAGAGGCGATATCGTTTGATCCTATCGTGAGTCGCCCAAAGCAAATACTAATAACACAAAATTCAGAGAAAAAATCAGACGATATTAACACCAATTATAGGACAATATCCTCTGGGTCCACATCCTAATCCAGATGCTCGCATATGGCATTATATTCCCAATCGGCATGGTCTTTGGTGTAAGACTCAATGGCTCTGCTGCTGAGTGCTTTTGTATTAGCAGAACGTCTAATCCGATGTATTTATAGATAACCAAGTCTCGATGGCACGTCCCTACGCAAGTCCTCGGCTCTGTCCTCGCCGTCGTCGGGTTTTTTCTCGGGCATGCGCACAAGGGACGCGAGTTTGTCGAACACAATGTGCACTCGATATTTGCCAACATTTTGCAGCTCTTGCTCGTCGGCCAGGTCGTTCTCGGCCTATATTTGAAGCTTCACTGGGAGAAGGGCGTCCTGGGTGTGATTCGCAAGTTTGTCCGACCCTTCCACTCGGTCATCGGAAAAGCAATGCCTCTGCTGGCCTGGGTGCAGATGATCTTTGGAGGCATTACAACCCTCGGCTTCTGCCAGGGTGACCACGTCGGCCAATGCGCGGCTCATTTTATCATGGGTGGCGCATTTATCGCTTACGGCATCATCTTGACTATTATTCTGCTTGCGGGACAGGCTTGGGTCCGTCGCACTGGCCGATCTCAAGAGTTTTACGACAGCTCTATCATTGCTATCTGGGGCTGCATCAATACCTTTACGGAGCATCGCTGGGGCACCGCCTGGGTCAAAAATGATTGGCAGCACACTACAATGGGCGTCATATGGTGGTGTGCCGGCTTGGCCGGTATCTGGCTTAGCCGAGATCGCGACGGCAACCCAAAGCGCAACTTTATTCCTGGATTCGTCATTTTCATAACCGGCTGGGGCATGTCTGCTCACCCTCAAGAGCTGATGGTCAGCGCCATGACCCATTCCATGTTTGGCTATACTTTGATGGCTGCCGGTCTTACACGTATTATTGAAATTGCCTTTGTCCTGAAGGATGCTCAGTCTCTGGCTGACGATGGTCGTTCGTGGAACAGCTTTCAGTTCATCCCTGTTTTTGTAAGTGCATGATGCAGTGCTCGTATCGTACGACGCCATTTCTAATCTCTCATAGCTCTTGTACGCTGCCGGTTTCCTCTTCCAGGGTGCAACTGAACAACAGATGGCTCTCCTCGACGGCTCCAGCATGGACGTCATTTCTTATATCCTCATCCTATACTCTCTCGCATTTTTAATGTTTTTGTTCGTCAACATGCTCATCCACTTGCACGACCGCCTCTCCAACCCGCCATTGAATACCAAGGGGTTCACTAATGGCCATACCCACTTGAACGGGCGAGCGGTAGAAGACGGCCAAATCCAGGCGGCAGAGGAGTTTGAGCTTGATGGCTTAACATCCGATGATGAGGACGATGAGAGACAAGGAATGCTAGCAGGGGAGGGAAGCCATGCCCCGAAGCGCTCCGCTGCAGCTCATTCATAAGCTTCATATGAGATCTGGACTTAACGCTGAAGAGAAAAGCATGTTTTGGAGTAATTTGTTTACATAAAGAGTAAGTGTTTTAGAGTCTGCCTACGCATAACGTCTGTATACTACTGGGAGGCAAAGCTTGGGTCCGGAGTTATTGTTGCGGCTAGAAAAGCAACCCCATATAATGATATAATGGTATTGAATGTAGCAAATTTACTATGTTTTGTCCTCAAAATGATAGCTGGAGTTTTGTAATCTGCATCTGTGATCAGCGCATCGCATCGCATCTAAGAGACGAGGTACTCTCGTACCTCTTACAGGGTCCAGCCAAAAAAAGCTAGGCGGGTGGCTGTTTTCTGGTGGGGCAAAACTTTTTTTTTGAGTAGCACTTCTAAACCTCCAACTTTCGACGAACCAGCACAAGAAGCGAATCAACGTTATTTTCTTCCGGTCATATATATCAGTCGCAAAAACTCACAATGCCTTCCGTCAAGAACCCCAACCGCCCCTCCAAGAACCGCCTCGCCGCCCGCGCCGCCAAAGCAAAGAAGGCGAACCAGAAGCGCGCCGACCCAGCCAACCGAAGCAAGATCACAAAGGCGGACAAGACGAGAGGCGCACGACCGGGCCTGCTGCCGAATAGCGGACCGAGGGCTGCGGTTAGCGCCAAGAAGGCGAGGAAGCTGGAGAAGAAGATGGGGTATGCGCTGAAGAGGCAGATGGAGGCTGAGGGAGAGGCGGAGATGAAGGGTACGTTTGCTTTTTCGAAGACTTGGATGTTTATGATGTTGTGGGAAGGAGATGCTAATATGGGTATAGATGCTCCAGTTGTTGAGGAGAAGGCGGCGCAAGGGGCAGAGGATGTTGAGATTCAGTGATTTTGGTTTACTATGGAGATGCGACACATCGCACGTAAGTTGCTCTAGGGCTCTCGGGAGTATGTTCGTGTGGTCAACTGACGTTGGGTATAGATTCAAAAGTTAATGGCTACCTATCTAGTTTGGTTTCTATGGCATTATGGGACATACACATACATGGCGCAGGTTGGGTCTAGATTTTGAAACACTGTTTATTTGCTGGAAATGCTAAGTATGAGCATTGTCGAAAGGCTGTCTGGTGATGCTACAGTCCATCGAATACAATTTTTCCTTAATTCACCAGCAGATTTGAAAATCCAAAACTTCTATAAAAGTTTCCCTGGCAAAGGTAGGTGCCTAGTATCCCGCTTCAAAGCCTGGTACTATCAACTACTGTGAATGAAAAGCAAACGGATAAAATGTGTTCCAATTAGATAGGCCTTTCCTGATTCCCGAGCTCTAGTAATCCTCCTCGTCGTCGTCTGGCTTGCAAAACGCCTCAAAGTTGTGCTGCTGGGGGCGATGCTTCACTGGAGCAACTTGTCGAGCTGCGATATGATCATTGCTTCCAGCCTGGAGTAGCTGGGCGCGAGTCATCCGTGCCTAGAGAAGTTCTGAGCGTTGAGCTTCTGATAGAGCAAAAGACAGGTGCGTTATAGAAAAGAAAAGAAACTTACATTCCGAATTCTCATTCAATGGCTCCTGCGTAGCGCAAAATATTCCGCCGGGTAGTTGGACCCATTGTCAGCGGGTGTTGACAGGACGGTCGAGACATCGCCAAGGGTTGATGCGCCATTGCTGCGTTCAGAAGGGGTCGATTATATGTACTGTTTTATGTGAAGATGTGGGGGCAGATGTACTGGGAGCTGTGTCCGAAACGAATTGTGGGCGACCGTGTGAACGTAGAGAGGCGAGAGCCAGTTCCCTGGTGCGGTCTCCTGGTCAAATTACGAGGATGTCTTGTCAGAGTGCAAAAGAGTTGATTCTCCCAAGCCCAGAGGTGGGAGCTAGCTGTCTACCTAGGTACTTGTATATTCCCGCTATAATGAAGGGAATTTCCTTCCTTCTGGAGGAAGTTGGGCAAGTATCCCCCAACACAGATCCTGGCTGCTTTCCGTAGGTCATCTGACGTGCTCTCGTTTCCCCCGTTTCTACGAAAAGGTCTCCCAAAGACAGCGAGTCCGTAAGGGAATCCCACATGAACCTTTACTGCCGAACTATACAATGTCAAGGCGCAAATTATTGTATTCGAACCGGTTGGGATTTCTTTAGGCGAGTTCATCGTGACTTTTGGCCAATTCCTAAGTTAGTGGGTCAAGGGGCGGCCTTAGATCAGCCTCTGCTTCGTTGCGCCGAGGGCGAATAGAGTCTGGAAGAGGCGTCGACGTCGCCGTCGTCGTCACCCCTGGTTACAGAAGGTTTGAAGCATACCACCAATGACGAAACATAAGGTACGATTTTTGCATAGACGATCCTTGTTGCGAGGCTGAAGTCCAAAAAAGGCTATATAATGGGACGCTAGGAGTTCCCGGAAGAAGATAGGAGATGCTGGATATATCTGTGCCAGTGTGGGAGTACCTCTGGCGTCACTCATGTAGCCGAGCGTTTTGTTCCAGAGAGCTGGGCTGTATCTCCCCGATTTATATGCATTTGGAAGTGAGATTAGAATATGACATGCGCCTAGTCTTTCATAGCCAGATGTCTGATACCAGAGGCTGTATAAATCCTCACAAAGCAAAATGTATATACAGTTTTGGTAATGAAATATCCTGACGTTGCATCTTACCGTAAAGGCAAATAATCATGATTGCGTATTCTTGTTGTTTACCTACCTAGGTACTGTTTACTGTTTACTTTTTGCATTGGCTCAACGCCACAGAGTTGAGAAAATTTGCTGAATTTCCCTGTAGCAATATTCCTCGCTACTGTGGAAGTGGCTCATGGTAGGTTTCCGCCACGGCTTGATACTCAAGTCAACGCAGAGAGCAGATCGAGACCATAAACAAGTGAAAAGCTGTCCAGCACTCCAGCTATAGTGTGTTGATCCACGGCTTCTAGGTGTACCTGTACATCATGATCAAACAATTTCCTGTATAGACCAACTGCTTTTTTGAGCTATAGTAGGAGTGCTGCATACAACTGGGATACTGGAGATAGTTTTGCATTAAGAAAACTCTGCGACTCGGCTTTGGGAGCAGCCAACATATATGTGTGCCAGGTGAATACATGGGCTATCCGTATATTGTCAGCTGTTGGAAAAGCAGAGGGACAGACACTAGTGGTTTCGAACAACTGGCGCAAGAGCGTAAGAGCAATGGATACATGTGTCTTTGCAAAAGTTTAAACACAGGAGTTTATCTCTCAGTTAAGTGATAGGAGGTGGTAGAGGTACTAAGCAAGCCTATGTGGTTGAGGTAACTTTGCAGCAAAAGCGAACCCAAAGCGAAGAGTTTCTACCTCGACTGTACAAACGACTGGCACTTGTTGACCTGCTCACACAGCGCTTGCGCCAACTGACGACGCAATCTCCTCTTTTTCTCATTCAACGTTTTGCTTTTCGTGAAGCCACTCGCCAAAAGGGCCCTTCTGGCCACATCATAGTCTTTCTTACTCTTCCAACGATTCCCCCGGGTAACCAACGCCACCGATGGATGCGAGCTGTGAACCTATTTATTTACTATTTCCCTCCTGTTTGTTGTTTTGCTAACCCTTCTTCACTCATACCATCTTCGTCAGACAAGCGGCAATCTTCAGACAAGCGACCACTTTTCACAAACACAATCGTCTTCACACATACTATCGTCTTCACAGACAAGCGACCTTTTCTTCACAAACACCATCTTCTTCACATATACTATCGTCTTCATAGACACGCAACCGTGATCACACACGCAACTTTCGTCATAGACGCAATCTTTATCACACACACAATCTTTACACACACACAATCTTCATCACACATGCCAACACTTGATCCCACCGCAAACATGTATCATTACGAACATCAACCCCGGGTTGTGGAAGGCTACTCGGATTACCATGGTGTGTTTGTAACTCCTCCGGCTGATTGGGACAATTCGGTTGGTGGCACTTCGGTTGGTGGCAATCGGCATAATGACATTCAGTGGGCTACCGTTACGGGAACTGAATTTGAGCTTCTTGACGTTCCGGCTGGTGATGTTCCGGCTGGTGACGCTCCGGTTACTTACAAGCCCGCGGAACTTTTGGCCTCGGATGTCAGCCAGCATATCCGAGCTGAGTCCAACTCTCGTCTAAGAGATGCAGTCACGAAAGGTGTCCCCTTGGATGCTTTATACTTTACAGATGATTGTTATCCAGCCTGGGACAACATTTACGAGATGAATCCCGGACACAATCATCATGCGCGAGTCCAAAAAAAGCTGCTCAATCGCGAGGCCGCATCCCTCGTTGATTCCTTGATCATGAAGGAGCTCGTAGCTTCGGCCAATGAAAAACTTGAAGAGGCACGTCTACTTGGCGTTGCCCTCACGGACATTAGCATTGGAACAGATCTTGTGCCCAAGTGGGATCGACAGGCGGTCGATGTGGCAGCCCCCCCGCCTGAGCTTGTTAAGGATCACTGGGAGGATTCGCTTAAACGAAACATTGATACCTTTGGAGTCGATTTCATTATGGATGAAATCAGAGAGGCGGCTTCGGAAGACGACTCTATTACTCCGCTCAACTCAACTTCGGATCGTGAGGATTCAGCCCACTATGATACCGACTCATCTGCTAGCGATGACGGCATCCGCTATGGCAACAACCAACATGAAGAGCCCATTGACGACCGCTATGCCATGTTCTCTGGTGGCGACCCCCAGCCTCTGCCCTCTGGCTACAGGACCATTACGGAGAGCGATGATGAGGCTCCACACATTCTTCACGATGTCGAGATTCACGATGGCTCCAACGGCATCTACCACGTTGACATGGAGGTCTAGGAGGCCGAAACCGATTCCAACTTGGATGAACTGCCCGAAGTTGAGCTCGCAATCGACGCTACCGCGTACGAGTTCTTCTTCCCTACCGACGAGGCTGTGGACGCGAGCCTCCCTGGCATGGATTTGGAGTGCACCTTTGAAGATGGAGATGTCATAATGGAAGCTTAGGAGAGCTTCATTTTGCTCTTTTGGAGATATGGGAGGAAATTGGGTACTGTTGTGGGGGAAATGGAGTATGCTGGGACTATGGATTAAGCTGGAATTATGGATTACGCTGGAATTATGGATTTTGCAGGGAATTTGGATTTTTTGGTTTTCGGTTTGGATTTTGGGAGCCTCTTGGGGCCAAGCGGTAGATAGTAATAAAATACAGCGTTTGCTCAATCAGTGTCCGTTGCCATCGTGAATGTTTACTAGGCGACGGGGTTGCCGCCACTGAGGTTGTTAGTTTTCCGGTTTGGGCAATACGGGATGAGATTGGATGTAGTAAGGCTATCAGCTCACTAGAATTAAGCCACCACCACCACTGCTACTGCTACTACAGCTACTGCCACCACTACTGATACTACTGCTGTAGCGACTATCATAGGTGAAACCAAATGAACGCGGTAAGCTGTCTATATATACATATGTTCTTACTTAAGTTGCACGTAAAGTTACATCTTGATCTATAGATGTACTGCTGAAAGCTTGGCTGCAATTGATAATTTCCTGGACCTTGTGCTGCGCTTGGAACACCCTCTACCTGTCCTTTCATGTCTATAGATCTCCTCCGAGACAAGTGTCTTGCAGTTGTTTGTTAGAGAAGTGAACGGCATTAGGTTATTGGCTCATCAGAATCAAGGTTTCCACTGCAAATATCTGTTTATTCACACTGTAAAGAGGGAGACTATCCATTTTGACTAGCGGCATCTACCTCGTGTATAAGTCTGATGTCTATGAACTCAAACCCCTTTCTTTCATCTTCCATGGTCTTTGTTAGCAATATTCTGCCAAGAAATAAGCATCTTGTAATCATTATCAATATAGCTAGTTGGTAATGATCGAGATACTTGGCACTGGGATAGCCTAGGAGTTAGCGGAGACTAGTCGAAAGGAAGCAGCAGTCAGTTCATTATCATAAAGAGGCAGGCAGCCTACAACGCAAAATTGAAGAATATAAAGCAGCTGACATATAGAGACTGTCGGGTTTGCCATATATCGGATATATCAGTCCTCCGAAATAGATAGAAAGCCGAAGGTGGATGCTCAACACTCTCCGTAAGCGCCGATGTGGATCATCCAGTACGCGTAGAAGTAGGAGTATTTAGTGATTAGGCTCCAGGGGAATAATAGGCGACTCTAGTTAAGCTTGAACATTGCGCATGTCCCGGAATGAATCGTTGTGACAAGTCATGCCTACCGATGGAGCTGGGGGCTCGTTTCTTGGCATTAAAAGTAACAAACATTTCGGCATTGATGTGCGGCATCTTGATTCGTGTTTTACACAAGTCAACCCGGCTCGCTTGCTTCGCTTAAGCCCATAAAGCCGATGCTGATATACTATTTCTTAGTGACGCTCGTAAGGAAAAAGTTGCCAGTGATTATGCAAGGAATCTAAATCCGATTTCGAATCCAGAAGTGTTGCTGTTTAGGGGAAATGAGAGACAAGCTTGTGCCATTTTGGATTTGGATCCTTTTCGTCGGAAATGCAGTCACGATACTGAAGTGTGACGGGATGACGAGGCCTATGTGCTCTGAAATAGTTTGCACGGATATGTGAAGTTGAAAATGGTACAAATACCATCGAAAAGTCCACAGTAAAAGGCTGATTCTTTTTCCAACACAGTTCATCGTTCATTAGCCACTCATATCACTACAACAACAATATATCAAGACGCATTACAGCTTTGATATCACTCATCATGCCTTTTCTTACAGGTCCCAACGGCGAGCAAGTCGTCCCAATCAGAATCAACGGAGTCTCCGAGCCTCTGGATCCAAATCGTCTAATCGCAGTCGAGTCTAATGGTCAAGACAAGATCGTTCACTACGCTCAAAGCGCAACTCCTGAGATAGCCATCAAGGCCGTGGAAGCATCTCACCAAGCGTTTCTGAAGTGGAAGAACACTTCCTATGTTGAGCGTCGGGATTTGCTTCTTCGGGTGGCTGATGTGATTGACTCTTGGGTGGATCGTTTTGCTCAGCTGCAAGTAGAGGAGACGTCGAGCAGTCTGGCCTGGGGCCGGGCGAACACATTTCTGTTGACAAGATTCATCCGAGAGATAGCAACCAGTATCTCTAGTGCCACGACAGGCGAAATCCCGCCTTTAGAGAAGCCTGGAGCACTGGCTTTGGTGTACAAAGAACCAATCGGCACTGTTCTCACAATCACCCCGTGGAACGCCAGCATGATCCTTTGCGGGCGATCGTTGGCAGCTCCTATTGCTGCTGGCTGCTCTGTTGTGCTAAAGGCTTCGGAGATGTGCCCACAAACACATCATACTCTCGTCGAGGCATTCGAGGAGGCCGGTATGCCCAAGGGTCTCATCAACGTAGTTCAAGCCTCGCGTGAAGATGGACCTGCGACGACCGAAGCTTTGATTGCCCATCGAGCAATCCGCAAGGTTGCTTTCACTGGCAGCACTGCTGTAGGAAGAATCATTGGCCAAACTGCGTCCAAGTTCTTGAAGCCTGTACTGATGGAATTGGGAGGAAAGGCCCCAGCCATCGTTCTCAAAGATGCCGACGTTAAACTCGCTGCCGACAAGATCATCTTTGGTGCTTTTTTGCACCATGGGCAGATTTGCATGTCCACCGATCGCATTGTCGTGGTTCAAGAGGTTGCAGATGAGCTCATCCAGGAGATGAAGATTTCTCTCAAGACACACTTTCCTGACGGAGCAGGCTATGCTGGCAGCAAGAGACTGGCTAAGAGAACTTATGACCTCTTGCAAAAGGCTCACGCATCAGGAGCTCGCTTCGTTATTGGCGATGGAAGTCTCAGTGCAGATGGGTCCAGCTTGACACCGACCATCATCACCGACATAAAGCCCACGGACGACATCTTCCACGAGGAGATTTTCTCCCCCGCTGCAATTCTTAGTATTGTCAAAGATGAGGCTGAGGCTGTCCTCTTTGCCAACGATACTTTACACGGTCTCAATGCTTCGGTGCACAGTCGTGATATCCTTGCAGCGATCCGGGTCGCCAAGCAGATCGAGGCTGGGCAAGTTCATATTGGAAATCTGACAGAGTATGACGAGCCGAATGTGCCGTTTGGCGGAACCAAGGACAGCGGTTGGGGAAGAAACAATGGCAAATATGCCGTGAATGAGTTTCTGATGGAGAAGACGATTACGATCCTCGATCCAACCGCTAAGGCTCAATTTGGAAAATAGCCGTCAGCATCTGGCGATTCATGTTAGCACTGGGTGTATTACTCAAGCCCCAAAACGCCAACATACTGTGCCATTTATCATCTAGTAGAAACTCTATTGAGCCTTGGATCACAATATAACAACTATTTTAAGTTTAAACACAGTAGGCGAGTTCAATTCGTTAATTTCACATAATACTAAATGCCAACAAATGTACTGTGTTTGTATTGGGTCAAAGTTCCGTAATATGGACATCACCGACGTTTCGTAATGGGTAAGAAATGAGATATGTGTGCCTATAATGCTGATGAAAAAGTATAAGAAGACGTCGTAGACCACAGCAGGATGATTGAACGACGTTGGAAAGAAAATAAACAATATAGCATAAGAAATATTTAGCCTACTTCAATAAACAACTTTTCTGGTTATCATCATGCCTTACGTTCCAGAGCCTTGGGCGTTTGACGACGTCCTGAAGCTCACCAAGATCAGCCCAGCCTACTGGAGAGCAACTTATAATGCTCCGCCATTAAATCTCTTTACGCCGCGAACCTATAAGGCACTGCGGACGCTCGTCGAGCTGCTCGAAAACGACCCGGCTGTCAAAGTCGTGGTTTTCGATAGTTCCGTCCCGGACTACTTTATGGCCCATTATGATTTGCTAGTGAGGCAAGGCAAAGAAAACGCAGAAGGCGAAGACGCCGCTCCAGAAACCGAGTGGCCTGGATTTGTACTACGCTTTGCCCGCCTTTCCGCAGTTACAATTGCCGAAGTCCGTGGACGCGCCCGTGGTCTTGGCAGCGAATTCATTCTTGCGTGCGATATTCGTTATGCTAGCCTCGAGAAGGCTGTATTCTGTCAGCCAGAAGTCGGCGCTGGCCTTGTTTGCGGTGGTGGCGGGATCGAATGGCTTTCAAGGGTGGTGGGCCGCTCGCGAGCTTTGGAGATTCTGTTGAGCAGTCAAGATTTTGATGCTGCGACCGCTGCTCAATACGGGTACATTAATCGTGCCATTAAAGACTCGGAGTTGTCTGTCTTTGTAGACAACTTTGCCTTCCGGGTGGCTGGGTTTGATAAAAAGCCGTTGGTGGAAACCAAGCAAGCCGTCAACGATCGCGCCGGATTGCCTAGCCTGTCAGATCTCAAGGGGTCATTAAACATCTTTGCTAACTCTTGCAACTGGCCCGAGGCCACGAAGCGAGTCCAGACTCTGCTGGAGATGGGCTTGCAGCAAGATGGCCCTGTGGAGAGGGATCTGGGCCAACATGTTCATGAGGTATCGCTGAAGTTGCACGGAGAGACTGAAGATGCTCAATAGCATGGAGGTTCAATAAGTAATCTCTGGACTGAGGAGTATTAACATTAATAATTAAGCAAATACATTCATCACCTGGAATTATAAGATACCGGCGTTTAGTCATCTAAGAATGAGAAATCACCTTCTCCAAAACTCGTTACATGCGATACAAGCCATTTGTAAGCTCGGAAATATGTTCAGACATAAATCACACACGCTGCTGTCTAATTTTCTTTAAAGTTTGGAATCCAGAGAGTATGCAAAGCAACACAAACACAATCGGGGACTAGCTTCGGTACTTACCGCGAGTCCCGCTAGATTACTATAATTAATTTGACTGGGGATATCCTCCAATGGCCATGTTCTAACGCCTTATACTGTATAGAACGCTTCTTTTGTCAGAGTCTCGACATGAGAAGGGACGCAACTCGCTGACTGTCAACTATGGTATTCTCACCCATACGAGGGAAATCGAGAATAACGAGCCAGCCAAAGACCAAACCCTTTCGTCGATGGAGAGCCCTTCATCCTATTCACGGGAAGTGAATGAAGCGGGCGTATAGTAATCATCTAGTAAAAGCGCCGGAGCGTTGGCGTTGTTAGCTCGATTTATAAGTCCGCATATTCCCGCGCCCCTTTTTATAAGGCCGCGTATTCCCAATTTCTTACATCCCGCAAAGTCCGAAAGCCCGTCATCAGCACCTTCATCAGCGCCTTCATCATGACCACCAAAGACAGCATGGAAAGCTTGGCGTTGAAGTGGTCTTGCTCAGCGTGCCGCCTGTCGAAACGTAGATGCGATAAAGTATACCCCGAGTGCACGCTTTGCGCCCAGTAAGTCTATTTATTAGTTTTGCGCGCAGTCTCAATTAGTGACCTGGGGAACTGTATAGGAAAAATCTTACCTGCAACTACCCAGGTCGTCGGAGGAGAGGAAAGGCAAAGAATTATGCCAAGGCATTATCTCCCCCGCGAAAACCCGTCATCTACCAGGTTTCAGTACTTGCGACTGAGAAAGAGAAAGAAAAGCCATATCAGGCATCGTTCAGCTGTCCCAATTCCAGCTTCATCGCTGAGCGCTTTCTAGATCCCGTCGTCTTTGCTCGGGCGCAGTTATCGGTAGATCATGTGGATGTGGCAGTAACAGATGAAATAGCTGAACTGGTTGGGGGCGTACTGGACATTCAAGCCGTTTCCGATCGGTTCTTCAAATCTGTCTACATGTGGATGCCGATTATATCGAAGCCTCGATTTTCCAGTACGCTCCTGAGTCGATTGACTTATAAGAAAGCTGAGTTATACTTGCTGGTGCTGTCTATGAAACTCTGCTCCACACGCGCGACGCCTTTGAATACCGCTTTATACGAGGCGGTAAAGCTATTTCACTTTAAGCTGCAGAGTTCTGGGGTGTTATCAACCCTAGTCCTGCAGGCGGCCGTCCTCATTGCACTCTACGAACTGGGCCAGGCAATCTACCCTGCGGCGTTTCTGTCTATCGGATCATGCGCTCGCTACGCAGTAGCATTGGGGATTGACAAATCTATTCTTTTTCCAAGTACCCCAAATTCTCAGTGGATCGAAGAAGAGGAACGTCGCAGAGTTTGGTGGGCCATCTTGGTGCTTGATAGGTATGCATACGGATATGGTGGAGCACTTGCTTCTTTCTCAGCTTCGCTTCTTTTTCTGTTATTTATCGACTGAGTGTTAATGTTGCTTACAGATACCTCAACTTATGTGATCCTCAACGGCACTTGATGACGCCAGATGCGGGTCTGGATAGCTATTTACCTGTAAATGATGAGGCATGGGACAAGGGGGTAAGTGATTCGGCATATCAGTCTCTTCTTGTGGGGCATCGCTAAATAATCATTATAGGAACTTGACCCGGGTCATATATACACTCTGGCGACAGCCAATAGCTATCATCTGGGACTGTTTGCGCGATTCTCTCAAGCAGCCCATCTGCTCAGCCAAGTCCTACGCTACATATCTGAAAGGCGATCAAGCGAAACTTCTCAATTGCGACGCACGATATTTGCACTTGTAAATGTTTCCAACATTGAGGCATCAATGAGAAGGCTGGAATACTGCAGCCAGTCAGCGGTATGCTACAGGTAAGGCTGTTGACATTATGTTTCCTTGCTCTCTCAGATACGCTGCTAACGACGCAACGCAGTGGTATTATTGCGCTCGACGACTCATTTTGTGATAAACAGCCACAGAGCTCAGGCGCACCTCTCTCTGCGGAAAGCACTCTGATTTCAGAAGCAACCCTTCATATGATCTCAATTTTCAAGGACGAAGAAGTTGCACAGGAAATATGTGACGTCGCCAGCCCTTTTCTGGTGCATTTAGTATACAAAGTGGCTTCGATGCAGTTGAGAATTGCTCACCAGTCTCCGACGGCTACTGTTTTGGAAGATGTGAAGCTTCTAAAGCGCGCATTGAAGATGGTTGGGAGCCGATGGCGTTGCGCTTGTAAGTACCTGCCCAATAAATATTCGTTTGAGCTACGTTTTATGCTGATAAATACATAGACGCATATCTCTCGCTCTTGGAGAAGCAGGAAATCCTCTTAGTTGTGCAATAGAATCATGTTCATAGCCGTCCCATTGCGATTTCTATCAGTCTATAATTGGAGTATGAACATGACTTCGAAACAAAGTACACATAACTTTGTTTTTGCTAGCATTCTTATCTTGGTTATCTATTCGCCATTTAATAGCACTCCGCGGCGGTAGTTCTTTTGTCTGTGAATTGCCATGACAGCCGCAGGTGACTGCCAGGTGACGAGCAGCTGAAGAATTGTTGATGTCAAAGTCATCGGCTGTTTGTTGGGAGTCACTTGCCCAACGTCTGGGGAAGGTGCGTGAAGCCTTGCCTGCCACCTGCCCACATTTGACACACCATCTCCTTTGACTCCTACGTCCCCAACTCAACGTCAGAATGAGAACACATTTCTTTCATCACTTCTCTTCTGATCTCCTTGATCTGCGACGAAGAGCTCATACGAGATCGGCCCATTCTTTGAAGCGTTTGTCCCGATATAGGATTGATGCCGCTTTCAGACACTGTCACCTTCGACGATTGATTACCAACGCGAGATTACCCAAGGCAGCACGACTCAAACATCTGAAACATTCTCAAAGCGTATGATTGCCTTATGATCAGGTGTTGTCAGAACAGCCGTCATTAATACAAATCCACAGGCAAAACATCGACGATCCTCATTCGATCAAGCGCCAGACAGACCGACCGCCCAGAAAACAACCAGACCCAAGAAGCTATGCCGGCATCCTATTGCTTGGAGATACTTTGTCTAACATACATCTAGATTTATATACGTACCAGAGGAAAAGAGTTGCCAGGCAACTATAACGCTGCGTTTTTAGCAGAACTATTCCGAGAACAGTCGATTCTGTGGCCTGGTATTGCCACATCTCACATTCATAATGTCCTAAGGGCGGTGACACAATGGATCAAGCTTGCCGTGGAACGCTTAATTGTCGAAGACAGCATGCGTGACCAAATCCATATGATACTACTGGAATGGCTGGAGAATACAGGAACGAACGCGTTGGGAGAGCTAGAAAGATTGATTGAAGACGAGCAACGCGCTCCACTGACCTATAACCACTATTACACAGACAATGTCCAGAAAGCTCGAGCGGACATTGCAAAGGAGGCTATGGGGAAGGAAGTTCGAGCAGAGCTACGTAATCAAGGGACGAAAAATGGAGACGGCACCGTCATAGTTGGCATCGAGAAGATTATTGCTGCACTTGAGACTCATATCACGGTGGATATGGATGAACAGGCGTGCGGGAACGCTATTTTAGAGCTTCAATCTTACTACAAGGTGCGAACAGGTCCCATATTGATTCAGATTTACATAATGCTGACAGTAACTCTTAGGTCGCAATGAAGACGTTTGTTGACAACGTCGCTCGGCAAGTCATCGAGCGCCATATCATGGCGACACTCCCAAGTGCTTTCTGTCCGAATTCCGTGTCTCAGCTTTCAGATGAAGACTTGCTCCGGATTGGCTCCGAGTCAGAGAAACAGATTGCGAGACGAGCAAAGTTGACTGCGGAGGCTCAAGGCCTGAAGAAAAGTCTGAAAGATTTGCAGAAGCCAGTATGACTATACAATTGGCGGCTTTTGAGTGGATATTTTGTGCTTTTTTGGACTACACTTGCCGCATTCCTCTCTTCTCCTGTGCTAATATGGGGACGTTTATCAGCTAGTTGGTGATTTTCCGGCGTTGGACGACTGAGATATTGGACATTTAGGCGCCTCCTTCTCAGCTTTGGTTTTCCCACCGGGTTTTCCCAGAGCTTTAACGTGAATACGGAGTTGTGACAGCTATTTAGAGAGAATTTAAGACTAATTTTATCATTATATGTTCGATACTGTTCATTGGTTCATTGAGATGTATATTCGCTAAAGCATTATGCTGTATGGACTACGAATTACAAAGCGCAACAATATTCTCTGGCACGTAGACTTGAAGAATGTCAATCAACTGGTTCAGCGGTATCCAGTCCATATTGCCATGAATACTGCGCAAAGTGTGCCCCGAGTAGAGCACACGAGCATAGTAAGCCTTCTTCTGTTGGACAGTCGTCTCCCAAACTTCAATTGCAATGTTGGACGCCATGGCAGGCCACCTCAGCTGGTCGATCCCGAGAGCGCCTAAAATGGGACCAATGTCACCATCGTGGATGAACGTGTGCGCGTAGACGTATTTCTGCGTCTTGCCCGATACAGCCTGCAGACGACGAACAATTTCGCCAATGAAGAGGCCTTCGGTGACTTGGATGTATTTTGTTACCAAGCTATTGTTGCGCCAGTAATGATTCCACTCCCAATCGCCTGCACGGAAAACTTCTTCGGCTTGTTGTTGAGAAACGCACTTGGACGCGTCGGTAAAGCTGCATGGGAGCTCATATCCGTTGCAGAGGCGAGCCTGAAAGTTATCGGAAAAGTGGTCAAATGTGCTCTGCCAGGCGCTGCTGGTGGCGCCGAGGATGTCTCCTAGCGATTGCCTCAGCTCGGCGGTGACGCTGAGATGCTCGTTCCATTCATCGGTAGACTGAATTGATGAGAGAATAGAGCTTCTGGCATTGCAAGGATATCCGCTGTTGACAGTATCAACACCTGCTTGCTGGTGAAGAGGCGCAGAACCAGAGTAATGAGGCCAGAGGCCGCGCAATACACCTCCAGCGCTCTGCTGGGTAAGAGTAGCGGAGCTCGAACGTAGCCATACTTTATTGTTGGGGGAACTTGGGATGAGGCCAAGCTTTTCGCCATACAAGGCCCACAGATCTTTGCCGTGCTGGATGCCGTCGAGGAAGCCGCCAGTGGTCAACTGAGGGAAAAAGCAAGTTGAGTTGATGTACGGCAGAGCATCTACGAAAGGGTTGCTCGGGTCGGTGTAAACGCTTGCAAAGGCTTGGACGCCGTTGGCACCGTGGGCTTGGCTGCCGTATAAGTAGGCCTCAAAGGATGAGCAATCAAACGGTTGATTCTAAGATTGAGTTGTCAATTGAAGTTACTCAACGAGCATGTTCACAATACAGTTTCTTACCTCTCCGCCTGGGGCCAAGTTATACATGGTACGTCTCTGATGCCTCTGCATATACTCCAAGTACACCAGCTTGGCATGACGATCACTGGGCAACTCATAGCCGTTCACGCGTGGGTGTGGCATGGAGCAATAGTCGTACACTCCATACGGCGAGCCCTGTGAGGCCTCGTTGGCAGGGGCTGTGTAGATGCCTCCATATGTGCCCAGTCCGCTGCTGGTGATGTACGAAGTGCTATTGAGTCCAGGAGGGTAAAAGGTATCGACAGGTGAAAGATTCGCCCCGGCAACCAAGACGCCCTGGGCTACGATGCCGGCTGCCATTGCACGAGTCAGCATGATGTGAGTCGAAGCCATTGTCGGTGATGCTTAACCATCCGTACCTGGGTTCAACTGTGCCTGGGATCCATCGGCTGATATAGCTCCCAGGACGTGCTGCAGCCCGAGCACGTGGCTGTGTCCAGCCTTCATCTCATGCAGGAACAGCAAAAGGCACCAGACGGCTAAACGGTATCACCTGCTGTTGGTGTAAATTAGCGATCCATTGATAGATGCCGGTTATTGGAGGCGGTGGGAATGGTGGCAGTTGTGTAAGCACCTAGTTTTTAGACAACACAACTAACACTTATAAACGCTCTCTATGAGGCAAGAAACACAAAAAAAGATCTAGTTTAAAGAGACTTGTCTCCGTGTAAATGGGAAGCGCTGGTGGTGTCGCAAGCCACTGGTTGTAGATGAAGCACGCACGTGCCATCTGCTGGCGAAAATAAGTGGCGGGGAGATATAGCGCTATTGCCCACTAAAAAGTAGATCGCGGAACAGTCCCAAGCTCTCAACAGCTCCATTTCGTAGAGAGTAGAACTTTTGAACTTCATTATCGTATCGCCACGTACGCGGGCGTAGATTATCCATAATATCGCTTGATAAAAAGCGATCCGAGGCGGAATACTTGAATACTGTGCCTAATTATCTCATCTTAGACAATAATTAGAATATCATAGGTATAGGCACATGTAGCTGACATAAACCACATGCAGCTAGATGATGCGACTAGGCGACAGTTGACGTTTAACTCATCTCTAGCAGGATTTTCTTCCTAACCTAAAATCTGTGACAGATATATTTCTTCCACATATCCAAGCTCGTTGTGATACGGAGCAAGTAGCTAGCTTCTCATGGACGCTCTCAAAACATGTAGGCCTCGTCAGTTGCATGTCGACAACACTTACATCCTTACTGCATGTATTCTTCTTTTACCATGTGCGTGTAGTAGAGAAACAGTAACGATACCACTCTTTCCAGCTCTTTATTGTATATTATAAATAAGCCCTCTTGAAATAGTTCAGAAATCTTCTACAGTACGGAGGTTTCATCTCAATTCAAAGATTGTCATGCAAGCATGACTGTTGCCAATCGCCCAGACAAGTACATCTTTTTCTACCTTCAGTGTCTGCAGAAGGATGTCTGCGTTCCTCTCAAGCCAATTCATCCATCGACAATAGATGACAGTAGCTGCTCATATGCCAGCCAGAACACCACTGATCACCCAATCCATCTCAATTCTCCGGCTCGGCTCCCGTTGTTCAATCGTCTACGGCTCGTAACCTCCGTTCAGCCTTGTCTTTTCATTCTTAGCCACTCACTGAAATTATTTGAAACGGTAGCTGTCCCAAGTCCCGGGGCGCGCAAGATTTGTATTTACAACTGAGACATTCTGAAGATCACTAAGAAGCTAAGACAAGTTATTTCCAGAGCTGGGGGCTAAATTGATATGATTCGAGAGAATACGGCCTGAAGGCTGGGCTTTCTTGCGTGACTATTCTCCCTTGGGGTTCGGAGCATGGCATCGTGCGGTCCGTAATGACAAATAGCAATGTCTGACTATACGAAGGGCTGAATGGGGGCTCAGCAAAGTTGGGGGCTCATATATGCAAGGACTATCTGTCCAAGACAAGCATCTCGAATGTTATTCTCTTGGCAGCTCTGATGTGTACAATTCTTAAAACGTTCAAGTCAAACAGCCACGTCACCATTGAATTGCTCCGATTGGATATAATAGCTTGGCTTTTATACAAGTCAAGATATGATACATTTGCCAACATCTTCATAAAGCTCATTTCGCTGTGACTTGATCCCTTCGCTTATTAGCCACTGGAAGCTAGAGCTTCAGCTGCAAGGGGAGCCCGGCCTCCTCCACATCGGATCAACTCCTATACGTCGATCCAATCCACTCGCGAGGGATTACTATCTCTCAGATACCGAAATTGGGGAATAACAAAAATATCCCAATCATTATCCACCAGCTAACCGCGTCTGTCTCTACCGTTCCGCTCAGGGCAGCATGTGACCGTTGATTGTGGACAGAAGACGGAACGAAGACGCCGGATGTGGAGCCGCGGCTGGAGATGGGGATCGTCCAACGTACCTTAATATTGTGGACTACCTAATAAGCTGAAGAGGAGAATGGCCTCTCAAGACATGGTTTAGTGTTTAGTCACCGTAAACAAGACCCCGTACGATTCGAGTTATTTGTCATTGTGGCAATACCTGTAATACATACCCTCTGAGGGTGAATGTTGTCTTTTGCCCCAGACAAGTCAACCGATTGGACATGATTTACGCTTCTATTGGCCGTTTAAGGGAGCCGGTTTTAGACTAAGATCTAACCGCTTATCCGCCCTTGATTAGACGGTTCGTGTCAATTCTCCGGCTGCCGATATCGATTCCTGATCTGGGCGAGTGTTTACAAAGTTTGTTTACATTATTATGCACACACCGTAAGAGCCAAGGATCCCTCTTTTTAAAATAGATGAGACTCAATGTATTGATTCGCTGCCAGATGGGATAGTTGGAATAAATTTTACCGCTACTTTGACAAGCTACATCTACATCTTCAGCATCAAGAAGCTATTTTTAAGTTATTTGTACAAGTAGACAAAGAGTTCTTATGTCGTAAAATATCATGCTGCTCTCATGGTACATACAGATACCCTTGATTTACTGACTCGTAAGACACTGAACTTCTCTCCAAATCAGCAGTACATACTAAATCTTGCCCTATAAAAGCGGACTACAGATCCAACTGCGGCTCGCAGAATGACAAATTCAAAGCCCCAAACATTCAGGTGGATCGTTTAGATCGGAGAAAGATGAATCGGCCCAACTACCAAGTACAATTTGGCGTACGGTAGATATGAGCAGGCCGTTTTCCCAGGCCAAACGGGCGCCTGGATCGGGTGGATCGCGCTACTGCACCTCTAAACCCTTGAGCGTTGAGATGCAGAGGCTTTAAAAGAAGAAGCAAATTGCCTCCTTTCAAACGAGATGTCTCAGGAGAGAATCCCGAGTTTGCCGCGGGATGCAAGCTGACGGAGAGACACAACATCACGGGAACTAGCAACAGTAATGTTTTTCCCTTTTGATAGTTTGTTGGTTGATGGTGTTGTTTGGAGCTTTAAAAGGGCGAGGTCTCTCTCTCTCGAATTTGCGTTTTGTCTTTTTTGCAGATCTTCATTAGCTTCACTGACTCCGGTCTCATCTATATCATTATTGCCCGTTTGACCCATAGTAGTATTTGTTATGATGCTTTTCTTCGCTGCCATCTCGTTTGCTGCCCTTGCTACGGCATTGCCTGCCGGTGTTCAAGTCCAACCATGGACGCCGCCTGGGGATCACGATTCACGCGGCCCGTGTCCTATGCTAAACACTCTAGCAAACCACGGCTATTTGTAAGACCAGCTTTCACTCTATTTACGAACATCTATCTGGACGTTGAAACTAACAAACTGTCTCAAAAGGCCTCACAACGGCCGCAATCTTACGGCTACATTGATTGAAAACGTTTTTACTAGCTTCCTCAACGTTGAGGCGGGGTTTGCAGCCGCTGTCAAGGATTTTACTAACGCTTGGGGCCACGATGTGTTTAATCTCCATGATCTGAATGCGCCAGACATCTTGCAACATATCGCCTCTCTCACTCGCGATGACTACACATCTCAGAATCCACACATCAGGCCCAATGTGCATCGAATCGAGAGTCTCTTCGACGATAGTCCCGCAATGCACATCGACATTGACTCCATCGCAAAGTCTCGGCTGCGTGTCCAGGCAGAATCGCATCCCAACATGCTTTCCAAAGCCAGATTCGACGCAGCCCTCTTTGAGGCCGCAATGGTACTGGTGATGATGACGGACAACGTTCCCGATGCGACTAGCAACCCTCCTCTGTCAGCGTATCAAGCCCCCAAGGACCGTTTGCGAACGTGGTTTGAGCAGGAGAGGTTCCCTGTCGAGCTCGGATGGACGCCATCGAAGAGGGGTATCAAGTTGGCGGATTTGGATCCAGCAATCAAGGCGATTACTGAGTCGATGGAGCGACAGGAAAAGGAGCGTTCAAAGTCTCGTATTGCGGCAAAGGTAGATGCCGAGTGATTTGGCGTACTTTAGAGGTAGCACCAGTTTCATTCGTGTATATGGTTTAATGCTAAACCTATGTAATATCATCAGTTTTAGATGACCTTTTTACGGGACTATAAACATCTATATCACCAACGTTTTTTTTTTCTTTTGACTCTACATTGCTCGTGTGATATTTATGATATGTGTCTACGCCTTCCAAGGACTCCGCTCATGTGCATTTTGCCATTTGCTCATCAACTCCTCGTCAAAAGCAACAAGAACTTCTAGATCGCCATTTGGAAGTCTGGGAAATACAACCGGATACCGCTTCCCTTTCAACGATGATAGTCTCGCAGCTTCGCAGTGCCCCAGTTCAGCGCCCCAATCGAGCTCATATACTCCTTCATCTGCCCAAGAGACGATGGAAACGTCAGCAGCCTGTTCGCATAATTTGAGACTCGAGACGTCGTCCTGGGCAGCCAAATGGCTCACTATGCGGTTCATAGCTGGCTCGCTAATCACATTAATACTTTGCCGCACAGCTGCAGCCACATTTGCGATTTCTGGTGTAAAGACTTTCTGTTCGGTTGAGCTTCCAATGGCGACGAGATCAGCTTTCTTGGCGGTCACCAGCGTCACACCAAAAGACGAGCCGAGATATTCCTTGGGAAGTGGTGGCTCATAGCGACTGCGAGAATTAACTGCTATACGCATAAACAAGTTACCATCTGCAGTGGTATTATCATCTGAGAACTCAGAATGAATGATATAGCCCCAGAGGAGCGCAGTTAGTACGTCACTGGTGGAAACCCATGCGGTCCCATCAGGCAATTGTCTGTTTACTTCGGCTTTTAAACGCTTCAAATACTCTCCAGAGAATCTGAGATATTGAGTCTCCAGCTTGGCAGGTTTTGATGGTTGGCTAGAAGGAAGACTCTCCTCTTTATGGAGAAGCAGCGGCGTATCAGCGGGTGCATCGTGAGAGCTTCTCACAATCGCCGTGCGATCTAACCAGCTCGGGTCAAAACCAATACCCTCAGATGAGCCCGTCCTGCAATGAGATGCCCATATCTTCAACAATGAGCCGTATGCTGTGATGTCGGCCGTCTGGTGATGCAGGCTGACAGCAAGCAGACATCCTCCCTTAACCAGCGTCAAGACTGCGCGAAAGACCGGGCTAGGGGATGTATTGCCCGGGCCGACATCGGCAGAAAACCAGCTCCGACCATCAAAAACAGATGGTCGAAAAGCGCCAGTCTGAAGGGCATCATAGTCAACATCCGTGTAGGTATTGACGTGAAATAAGTCGCTCAGTGAGTCACACGGCGAGCTCAAGGCAACGGATCCCTTGGGATGAGCTCGGGCCATTATTCTGGAGGCTAGATAGGGGACATCTCCTAATGTGCCCGCGAGGCCATCTCGGAGGACTTCGGATATTCGAGGATTCGACGATGGGAAGCAGAGGATTTGGCTGATGTAGGAGCGTGGCATAATCCACTCCAGCGGGGATAGCTGGCTAGGCCCTTGTATAATGGCTTGTTCTCCCATTGCTAGAGGTAAGAAATTTATGAGAGCTTGTAATAGGAAAAAATGCTGCGCAATATTTGAGCGGTTAAAGGCTAGAGATAAATAATGTTATAATAGTTGCAAGAAGGATCGACATGGAGGGGATTATGAAGTGGGATCGGCATTTACTGTTAGTGCCGGATCAGTAACGTCAGCATCGCATATCGCAACTCAGCGCCCGACAATGATGTGACTCTAGAAGTAAAAATAGTATAAAGCTGTGACTCAATAAACTATAAAACGGAGTTTATAGAAAATCTTGTACATAACTATAGAAGCTTTTACGAGCGGCCCGCAGCAGCCGCAAATAGCACTAGAAGAGCAAACATTAAAGGGCTTCAGGAAACAGCTAGTATATGCGATAGGCCAGGCCGGTGCATGTGATACGGCAAAAGTAAATAAGGATTCGAGAGCCGTAGCTTTCGAAAAGATGGCAACTGTCGAATATAAGTTTTGATAGGGATCTATGTTGAGAGATCTAGCCCATCAAGCCAGCGGGTCGCTTCGTCTTGAGACGGAAATCATTATAGTCAACCGCAACTAGTTGACTATAACAACTTCTGTCTCAAAACAATGCAGTACAGCTACCGCTCCTCTAACCATTAGAAGGCCAGTAACTAGCAAACAAACTAAAGAATAGGGTGATTTTATTTCATGTTGACTTTAGTCTCATGTAGATATCCAACATGGCGTTGCGGTCCGCAATAGCCGCATAAAACATCAGGCACCAGCAAGATGAAGAATAAAACGGAAGCCGAAGTCAACGACCGAGCGACAGGAGATTTCAATAGCAGTAGTCCAGTGTGTAAGTTGCTCGACCGGACTTTCCACTCGACCGGACTTTATCGACCGGACTTTATATTGTTGGGTTCGTTGATAGTGATGTTTCCAATCTGATAAGGCATCTTTATATCTCATAGCCTTGGCCTCGGATTGAAGAGTCATTCCCAACTTCACTCCTCTTTAAAGACATCCATTCATCATGACAGCCCCCAAAGCAATCGCCGTCGTCATCTGCAGCACCCGCCCTCACCGCATCAACCCCTTCATCGCCGGCTACGTCGCCTCCATCATCCAATCCGTTCCTCAGACTACCGCCAAGGTGGAATTACTCGATTTGGCAACTCTAGACCTCCCGCTGTACAACGAGCCCGTCGTACCAAGCTACTTACCAGCTGATGATCCCACACCACACTATCAGTATGAACACACTCGCGCATGGTCAGCTCTTGTCCGCAAATACGACAGCTTCATTTTTGTCACGCCACAATACAACTGGTCTGTTCCGTCGAGTTTGAAGAATGCGCTCGACTATGTATTCCATGAATGGAGCGCGAAGCCCGCTGCAATCGTCACGTATGGAGCCAGAGGGGGTGGTAAAGCTGAGATTCATTTGCGGGAGATTTTGAAGGGTTTGAGGATGAATGTTGCTGAAGCAACTGTGGCATTGAAAATTCCCAGAGGCGATGCCAAGGGGGTAGTGGCGGAGACATTGATGAAGGAGGTTTGGGAGACTGAGGGCGCAGAAGAAGAAATCAAGTCATTGTTTGCTGGCGTATTGGAACTTTTCAGAATAGAGGCATAGAGAGGAAAATACCCATTAATGATGTGAGATGGATCTTTTATACAATTTGCGGATTTTCTTTGCGGGCTGAGGGGCCATTATGGCATGTCTCGATCTTGTTACGGAACTTTACTGCTGGTGCGCAGATCTAGAATTCTTCTTGGGACGAAGAGACAGTCCCTCTTCCTTGAATTGTATTTAAATTTGTATATCTTTAAGCATAATCATTTACTATCCAAATATCATCGCGCTACTTGTATTGCGTCTGTTCTGCTCTCGTTTAAATTCGCACCAGCCCACCCTGTAGCCAGTAAAGCGCCAGATTGGGCAATCTCAAACAACATCATTACCAACTTGGTATCAATCAACAACACTCTATCATATCTTTATGCAGTCTACAGCCTCTTTGTTTCAATCTTGATATCCATCCCAACGCAAAAAAATTCGATAAAAATCGCTCTGGTATCTCATCTCGTCTACACGCCCCCAAGGCCCTCCCCCCTCCGTCCCTTGCCCATCATCATCGTCTCAATCACATCGCTCGGCACAAGCTGCGGCTGCGCCTCTCCATATCGCTGATGCTCCATCTCCCGCGCATCGATTCCCTCCCTCGGCGGCGCATCTGCGCTGGATGATTTGGCGACACCTCGCTGCTGGTGTCTTGAATCCGTCTCTGGTTGCTGCAGCGGTCGCAGCATCGACTTCTCCTCTGGCATCGCCGGCATCGAAGCCTTGGCGTGACGACTAGACGCGTCCTCAAGATGGTTTCCGTCTCGAAAAGCGAATATTCTAAATGAGTGAAATCGATCAAATATTTGGCGCAGCCACCTGTGCACATAACATTTAATTAGCGTCAGCTTTACTGCATCTTCTCTCCCAAGCAGCAGCTTCTTACAACGTATTGGTCATTATCAGAAGCAAACCGCTCTCATAAACAGCGGTCGAAAGGATTAACCCCAAGGTGCATGCATCTGCATTACAGATACCACTATATAGCTAGACACGAAGAGAAGCTGAACAATCAATTTCGCCCCTGTTTTTTTCTTCTTGCGTCGTCCTCCAGGAAGGCTCGGCAAAGCTGGAAATGCTGGTGCCTAGCTTGCCCGTTTCACGATTCGCCGTCAGTGGCGGGAACTTGCATACACTAACACAAGGTTGCTGATCAGGCAGCCAAATACCGGCAATGCTGGAGATATCTAAAAAAAAATATGATATTTGCTGTACAGATACTTATGCTCAGATATCGTTTGTTGTTACTTTTTCTTGAATCATAATCTCCACGATGTCTTTGGTTGTTGCTGTTCCAACCTAGTCCAGATAAACTATCATCACTAATAAACACAATCTTTCAAACAACCATACTCATCTCTCCAGCATCAACTCACGAATCAACCTCATTCTTCAACACATCGTACCTCGTCTCCCCTGAAATCTCACTCTGCCTCGGCCCAGCTCCTCCCGCACTCATACTATTCCCCTGCAGCATCTGCCTCTCCGCCAACCGACTCGGATCATCCTCACTCCCCGGCTCGGCCCTCAACGCCCTCTGAAGCCCGTCACTGTCCTTGTTCTTGTCCTTCTTCGCATCAGCCTTGTCGTCGTAACTAATCCCTTCCTTAATGTTCTTCCCATGCGGGCGCTTTGTGTCTTTGACGGGCGCCGCGCCGGCAACAGCGCTCTTTGCCTGTTGTCGACCGCCAGACTTTTGCAGGTTGGCGGCATCTTCTAGAAAACTAGTATCTTTCTGACCGCTGGCTCCTTCGCTCTGACCAGAGCTCGACACGCCTTCAGGCTGGGCATTGCGATTCTGAACAAATTCGCCGCTTTCTTCATATGACTCTGCGGCGAGCGACTCCCCTTTCACAAGACCCGCGGCTTCCTGGTTAACTGGAGCGTCTTTGCCCAAGTCGACCTATTAAGAAAACACATTAATAAGGGATTCGTTAAATCTAATCAGGAGAGATGATGCACATACCTTGGTGCCTTTGCTAGGGTTAGGATTCTTGCGTTCTCGCAGAGTAGGCATCTTTGTAATATTTAACAATTTTGCTTTCAAAACCAGTGATTGATTGCAAGCAAATGTCTTTGTTGAATTGATTAATCTTTCAGCAGCCATCTTCCAGCAGCCTCCATTTAAATACTCAATTGCAATGGTAACTCAAAGTGCGGCGGCGGATGACATCACCACAGCGACTTCATGACACTCACGCAATAGTCACGTCAAAGCTTAAACCCCAACAGCGTCTAAGAGACACAGAATGCAAAGATCCCCGCCCCAAAAAGCGGCTCATTGCTTCGTATTATAATATTGCATCATAGAAGCCGCCATCTGGCTTAGAATTTGCTGATCCCGATTTTGGCAGGCGATGCAAACTCCAGACAACTCGCATTTCGTCAACTCGAGCAAAACCGAGCGGCGCATCAAGTTCTATCATCCGTGGATCAAAGAAGTTGTATAAAAAACGGCGCAAATGTCATCAACCATCTTTTTTTTCGTAAAAAATCATACCCTTTAACCATATATACCCTTGCCGTATGATATCCATTTGTCACAAGACCCTTCACAAGCCATTCCAAACACGCCGCCGAACCATGGTATAAAAGTAAACTCCCCAGGGCACATGCAAATGTGCCCACAAAAGCCAAAAAGTCAACCCGCGTTTTCCGCTGTATGAAACTAATTTACAATTTAAGACACTTGACTTTCGTTCATGCCTCTCCCTTCATCTTTTTGGTTGCTTTTGCGGTGCCAATGTGTGTGTTGTGTACCTTGACAATAGTTAGTCAAACAAGCTAGACGGGTTCCATAGTGAATTCAATTCTTACCTTTGTAGCAAATCTTAAGCTGGTCAACGTTTCCTTCAGATGGGTCTCTAGAGGTGATACCATGACAAACATGAGCGTCTTGCTGTTTCCACCCAGGCTGTATTGCAGCAAGTGTGTCAACTTAGAGTTTCGATAAGGAACATGGCCTGAGCCCCTTCCAAGTGCCTCTATCACGTCCCCAAGACAGCTCAAACTCTTGTTGATGTTTTGTGTCTCCTTCATCCTGTCGCCCTCGACTTGCGAATGCTTCAAGCGCTCTGAGCCCGCCAGGTCGACCAAGTTCAAAGTGCCCTCACACCGCTCGCCCGTTGCCGAATTCTCACCAATGAGCTTCAGGATGAAAACACTGTGAGACCGAGAAGACCGCTCATTGGCCTTGGTAGCTGCTACAGATCGATTCTTCTGTGCTTCTTCTAGCATCAACTCCACTGTATCGGCAGAGTTGAGTCGAACGGATTTGCAGTTCAGGATGGTAGTCTGCTTCCGGAGTTCGTCGTGTCGAATTTCCAACTTCTTTGATGGCCGACCATTTGTGGCATGCTCGTTGGGAGTCAAGAGATCATGTAGATCTTCATTGTAAACTTCGACAAAGGAGCCTTCCATGGTGTACTCCCACGACTTCTCCTTCAATTGCGTTACAGTATCGTAGATCATGTGCGTGGCTCGAGGAATCATGCCATCAGGAGACGACATTGTGTACGTCTTGCCTGATCCTGTTTGGCCGTAACAGAAAATGCACACGTTATAACCATCCAAGGCGCTCTGCACCAGCTGGGAGATTTCGTCGAATATCTCATCGTTTCGTACGCCAGGCGCAAATACTCGATCGAATTCGAATGGGTAATTCTTCCTCGAAACGACTCCGAAGCTGGACTTTTCTTCTGGTCCGGCCACCATAATCTCGGCAGAAGTCTTGTCATCAGGATACGACAGCTGGGCGACCTCACCTTCGCCATCTCCAAGAGGCGGTCGAACTCGGCACATGACGCGGATATTGCCCTTGAGCTCCTGGTATTTGTTGAAAAGAATGCGTCGTTCAGTTTCTTCCTTCATCAACTTTTGTCGTGCCTCCTCAGCGATTCGTAATGCGTCTTGAAGCCTAGACTCCATGGCAGAGAAAGCATCGGATTGCGCCTTGGTGTCGGATTCGAGGAACTCGACCTGGGATCGCAGGGAGTTGATCTTCGCTTCTAGTGTTGTGTTTGAAGCCGAAAGCTCGGATATGCTCGTTTGGAGGCTGCTGGTAAGCGCCTTCTCGCGCTGGAGATCCGACCGTGTGCCTTCTGTCTCTGTTCGGATTTCTCGCATCTCTCGATCTTTCTTTTGCAGGACAATCTCCATCTCCTGTTGGTCGTTGCCCACTTTGCTTCGTAAACTCTGGAGTTCTTGCTCTCTTTTTCGCTGCTCGTCTTGTAGCGCTTCTTGGTGCTGCTTTGTTAATATTTCAATCTTCTGCTGATGTTCGTTTGCCTCTTGCGTTTTTAAGCGTTCTAGCTCCCGAGTCAAGTCATCCATTGCGGTACAGTGCTGGCGTAAGAGATCTTCGAGTTCGGTCTTGTGTTTTCTGGTAAGGTCATCGATTTGCCGGGAGTGATCCCATTCCAATTTCTCAAGCTCGTGCTCAAGCTTTCGCTTGACTTCATTCGAAACGTCAAGATCTGTCCTCAGAGATTCGGCCTTGCCTTCCAATCTAGATTTTTCTCCTTCAAGCTCCGAAACTGCAACAAATATTAGCGCTGCCGCAAACTATTAGAAATCACCACCCTCGTACCTCGCTTCTTGGCCAAGTCTAGAGCATCATCCATGCCCTTTCTATCGAGCAGTGTGGTGTCCACCATTGCTTTTAGCTCTTTAAACTGCGACTCGATATCGCCGACTCGACCGTCCACATCAAAGGCTACAAATCCAGTCAAATTAGAATCCTTAGTTAAATAATTATTGCGCATGGGTGATTTGACAGGGGATTTGTTGGGAGAGTTGGCTTTGAAAAGAGCAATACAGCCTTGAAGTTTTTCAACCTGCCGCTTCACCTGCTTGTCGCTTGGCGTCATCGAGAGACCTCCCTAGGTTCCCTGTACGGCAGCCGAAGCGCAAGATGATTGCTTGTTGCTTCTCTTCTCATTGCCGGGACGGTGAATAGAAATGTTGTTCAAAGCAGATGCAATGTTCGGAGGCGAAGCTGTCACTTGACTTGTGCTGCGAAATGAGGCTTCCTCCTCAATACAAAGATTTTTGAGTCTCGTTGTCAGAGAACTTTCTCTTGAGGTTGACAAGGTCGATGTAGATTTGGTAGTTCTGATTTTGCGGTGGGAAAGGGCGTTGAAAGTGAAGCTTGTTGTTTGCTCGGATTTAGCCGTACCATTACTAGGCTTCGCATCTTGGTCTTGTTCTTCCTCCTCTCGATGACCATATGCCGAACGAGGCCGGCTAAGTTGGCTTACCGACCTCGCATGACTCGCACGTGTGTTCGGTCTAGGGATGGATGGTTTATCTAGAGCGCTGTTTCGTTCTGGGCCGATGCTCTTAGCAAAGTTGCTGATTGGTGTCGGGTTTGCGAGGGCTGAAGCTGGGCGCGGTCGCTTGAGCTATTGGATATCAGTATTGGTTCGCCAACAAGATGAAGTTGCTCTTGGGTTCCTCACTTGTGAGATGCTGGCTAACGTCTGGCCTTTGACTGTGGATCGTGGTATCTTTGGTGTGGCAATCGCAGAAGGCTTCGATGGATATTCAAGCGCACGTTCGGAGAGAGGTCGTCGCTTCGGCTCGGGTTGAGTTGCTGGGAAATGTTAGCATGCCGTAGCACTTGTGATCGTCGATTCTCTTTCTACCGGACTGAGGCAGCTCGCGCTTTAGGTTCTTCATCCCGGTGGGCGCGGGGATCGAAGACTGAGTGCGGGCATTCTGTTGAGACTCGCTCCATTCGGTCAAACTCCCAGCGTTCGTTATCGGCCCCGGCAAGCGACTGATCTTGGCGATCCGCGTGGTCTGTAGAATTAGCAACTGTTAGCCCCCGCGATTTTCTCCCTCTACCGTATTGATCCATGTGTGTGCGGAAGGGGGCGAACCTGGTTTTCTGCTGTATCCATTATAATGATGCCAAAAAATGAAACTCTGCTGTATCAAATCGTAACAAAAAACAATAGAACCCGGAAAAAAATCGGGAGTCGCGTCAAAACAGTAGGAGCATGCGCTCCAACGATCGAAAGTTTGTAGCAAAGTCGGCAAGAATGGTTCAAACGCTGGTGGAGGAAGGAGCGTGCAGAAGCGAAATGGTAGGTCTCACTGTTGACTTCGCCTTTGGACCCCCCCTGGTTCGAATGTTGACCATGCAGATGTATTCGCATGGAGCCACTGCGCTGCTTAGGCTTTGAGTTAACGGTGTGGAGAAGGCTCAAAATACAATTGTTTACTGCAAGACGCGTGGGCCGGGCAACAGTGGCTGAGGCGGTGTGGCTTGGCGGTGTGGCTTGACAGGCATGGGCGCAGCCGTATTACAGGCTGTTTTTATTTGTCGCCAGTGTCATGCGACACTACCGCTACTACTCTACTGCTGGAATAATTACTGCAGTAGCTCACACTAGCAAACGCCCTGTTGGGCGATGATCGAAGCGTGCATCGCACTTCAATGATGCTTAGTAGGAAGCGTGATAATAGGATAAATAGGTTCTCCAGCCAAGCCAAATTCACCACCACGTGCTTGGGCTTGTCAATTCCAGCGGGATCAAGCCAGAGCGGAGAATTGGCTGTAATAGAAGAATTGACAGCTCACAGATGGGGCAATTCCCCGTGTTAAATCCGCTGATTTCACATGTTAAAGGAGAATGACGTCTCCATCTCGCCGAGCTCAGTCGTTACATGAAGAGTACAAGGTTTAGTTGGGAGCTAGATGTTGCAAGAATGGCCTAGTGCCAGCGCTGCTATAAGGCGACCAAATGATATCAGTTGAAGCATCACATGCCAGCTTCTCTCCCACTTTCAGTAGATTTATAATGCGTATATTGATAGAAATAAACAGCCCAACAAATACAATCAATATATTAATGTGTAACAACTCGGGATATAGCAAATTCTTTAGAGACTTCAGTCGTGAACTTGGTTTGGCAAAGGATGTACAAGTAAGTAGCACATGCCAATTGCCCTCATCAGACACGGTGGTCAATAGCTCGGACTGAAATACTGATATATAAGCCAAATCACTAAATACCAACGTGTTTCACATATGAAACTCTCTAACCCATCCAATTGACAAACCCATCCAAGTCACCATCCTTCCAAGACACCTACCAAATACACCCCCACCACTTCCCTCTAAAAGCAGCGCTGCTGATGTAATCCCACACACTCTAAATTCAGGTTATGGAGACCTCTACCCAAGTACCAGCAGCTCTCTGTCCCACACAGAATCGCATCTCTGGTGATACTCCACCTAGCCTTGCTCCCCTCCTTCTTTGTTCTCTGTCGGCGTGATTCTGATCGTGCATCTCTTGTCGAGTGAAGAGGAGAGAAGAGGGTTCCGTCCTCTTCGGCTTTTTTGGGCGCCATTCAATGTCTCGATAGCAAACGCCACGGCCTTGTATCTACCCACGTCTAGACATAAGTCGCTTCTCTTATAACAGCACTCGAAGCATCATCTATCCAGCAAAGGACAACACTCAGCTGTATTCAACATGGAGAAGTACAGCCAGTATCGTGATAGAGGTACATTCCCACCATTCATCCTTTTTTCCATATTCCTCTGCGCATCGTCTTCAAACAATAACTGACTTATAAAAAAGCAACCGGCATCTCGCCCTTCCTCCCCGTCTCGTCCCCCAGCTCCGCCATCTCGACCCTCACCCACAGCCTCCTCTTCCTCCTCCGCCTGCCCTTCTTCCTCACCTACGCCTTCACCTACTTCCTCATCTTCCACCCGCTGCCGATCCTCCCCGTCTTCGTCCGCAAGATTGCGCTATGGGGCCTCATGGCCATTCCCGGAATATGGTGGATCGATCTCCAGCTCGACGGCGTCAAGCGCGGCACCTTGTCCGAGCAGCCGCGCGAGAGGGTGCCGCACCCGGGCTCCGTCATCGCTGCGAACTTTACGAGTCCGATTGATGCCATCTATCTGGCCGCCATCTTTGACCCGGTCTTTACAGTTTCGTACCCGCGAGAACGCAAGGTCAGGAGGATTGGGTTGCTGTCGGCTGTGATGATGGCGCTTGCGCCGGTGGCTACGGGACCTCCAGCGGGAGCCAAACTGGTCGATTTGAAGGATCTGGTCAGGGAGTTTCCAAACCGCGTCATCGCCGTGTTCCCCGAAGGCGGCACCACCAACGGCAAAGCTATCCTACCATTCAGCCCTAGCATTCTCCAAACTCCGGCCGACGTCCACATCTTCCCAGTCAGTATCCGCTATACGCCTTCCGATATCACCACCCCTGTGCCGGGACAGTGGCTGCGCTTTCTATGGACTTTGCTTTCTCGCCCCACGACTTGCATCCGCGTGCGCATCGCCGAGGGTCAGACGAACAAGGCTGCTGCAAAGATCAACGACGACAGCCCTAGCAGTGGATCTGGAGACTTGACCTATAGAGGTGCAACGAGCACTGGACTTAACGGAGAAGAGCAGAAATTACTGGACTGGATTGGAGAGGCTCTGGCAAGGTTGAGCAGAGTCAAAAGGGTAGGCTTGACGCTGGAAGACAAGGCTGCGTTTGTCAAGGCATGGAGCGGGAAAAGGGCATAAAGGAACAGGGACTCGGACTGTTCAGACATTTGTAGGCTAATAGGGCATTGTATATTGAGTTTTCAAGTGTATTGTGGAGGCTTGCATCATAGCATCAAAAATTATTAGCATTCAGGTCACGGCTGTATAATTATCTTTCGCTGCATGTGTTGTTTAGGAAACAGCTCATTTTGATTTGTCAACAAAACATCATCTACTATTACCGAAGCATTACATAACTTATACTTTCCAAGTCTGATTTTGACACTTTATTCATAATGAAACCTATTTTGGGCTCTCAATCCAATGCATCCGAATATCATGACAAAACTCCTCAGGCAACCAATTACCTAACCAAACATCATGCCAAATTCATTCCGCCTTTTTCTCTTGTCTTCTCGTTTCACCCATTTTACGCAATCGGACCATCTGTAACACATCCTGTGCTAGCATCGCTAACCATCTTAGCATACTTGGCCAACGTGCCCTTGGTATATCTCGGCTCAGGGCGCTTCCACTCCTTTCTTCGTTTCTCCATTTCGGCCTCGGAAATCTCCAAGTCAATGATGCGCTTCTCGGCGTCAATAGTGATTGTGTCACCGTCCTTGACAAGAGCAATAGGACCGCCCTCGAAAGCCTCAGGAACAATGTGTCCGATAATGAAGCCGTGAGAGCCACCAGAGAAACGTCCGTCAGTCAACAAAGCGACATCCTTGCCCAGGCCAGCGCCCATGATGGCTGAAGAGGGCTTCAACATCTCGGGCATGCCAGGGCCACCCTTGGGGCCGTCGTAGCGGATGATGACGACAGTCTTCTCGCCCTTCTTGATCTCGCCACGCTCCAGGCTGGCAATAAAGTCGGGTTCAGAATCGTAGGCGCGAGCCTTGCCGACGAACTGAAGGCCTTCCTTGCCAGTAATCTTTCCGACACAGCCGCCAGGGGCTAAAGAGCCACGCAGAATCTGGATGTGGCCAGTGGGCTTGATGGGGTTGGTGAGGGGTCGAATAATGTCCTGGTCGGCAGGGAAATCGGGGGCGCTCTCGACGTTCTGCTTCATGGTCTTTCCAGTCACGGTGACACCAGAGCCGTCAATGAGGCCCTCCTTGATGAGGTACTTGAGAAGACCAGGGGTACCGCCAATCTTGTGCATATCGGCCATGACATACTTGCCAGAGGGCTTGAGATCGGCAAGGAAGGGCATACGGTCAGAGACAGCCTGGAAGTCATCAATGGTCAACTTGACGCCGACAGCATCAGCAATTGCGATCAAGTGGAGAACGGCGTTGGTGCTTCCACCAAGAATAGTGGTGACAATCATGGCATTTTCAAAGGCCTGTCGCGTAAGAATATCGCGTGGTCGGATATCTTCCTTCAAAAGGGTCCGGATAGCATCGCCAACGCTTTGGCACTCAGCCTTCTTCAAAGCGCTCTCAGCAGGACTGCTGCTGCTGCCTGGCAGAGTCAGACCCATGGTTTCAATAGCTGTTGCCATGGTGTTGGCAGTGTACATGCCACCACAGGCACCGCTGCCGGGGCAGGCATGGCGAATGATGTCGTATCGCTGGTCCTCGGTGATCTCTCCAGATATGTACTGGCCATAGGCTTGGAAAGCAGAAACGATATCGATAGATTCGCCAGTCTTGGTGCAGCCGGGTTGGATAGTACCACCGTAGACCATGATGCTGGGCCGGTTGACACGACCCATGGCAATGACAACTCCAGGCATATTCTTGTCACATCCTGGCAAGCTGACGTTTGCGTCGTACCACTGTCCATTCATGACAGTCTCGACACTGTCGGCAATGATTTCTCTGCTCTGCAGCGAGTATCGCATGCCAGTGGTGCCCATGGAGATACCATCACTAACACCAATCGTGTTGAATCTGTAGGGGACAAGGCCGGCTTTGGCCACGGACTCCTTGACAAGACCAGCGAGGTCCATCAGGTGCATGTTGCAGGGGTTTCCCTCGTACCAGACGGAGGAAATTCCAACCTGCGCCTTGCTCAAATCGGCGTCTGTGAGGCCAGTGGCGTACAGCATAGCCTGGGAAGCGCCCTGGGACTTGGGCTGTGTGATGGTCGCGGAGACCTTGTTGAGCTTCTCGTCCGCATATCGGGCTGATGAAGTCGAGAGGAGACGACTGTATGTGCATGGCTGATTGTTAGCGAATGCGCCTGGCTGGGATGCATTGGCTGTTGTGCTTGGTATATTACTCACGCCTGATTCCTCGTAGAGAGGGTGCTGGCTCTTGACAGGGCATTCAAGGCCCTTGAAGGGTTCCGGAGCAGCGATCTGGAGAGCATCGTAACAACTGCACGGGAGTGTCGATTGGTCCTATTATCGGAGCAAGGTTAGAAGTTTGCAGACAGCCCAACGGTGATTGCTTCTGGCATTGATCATTGAACGAAGCAACTCTGCAGAAAATGTCTAGTGAATTGAAGCAAGAAACAGCAGCTCCCAACTGGTATATCGTGACAACAAGACGGAGAAAAGACAGAATGCGAAAATTAGGAATCCCTTGGCAAGCTGCTCTGACGTATGTACGCACCTATTCCCAAGCCCAATAATATCCCAAACTCTCGCGCGCCAATCTTTGCGCCGCGGTGATGCTGCTTTTCTACAAAGTGCGAAAACAGAATGGAGTTGGCGAATTGGTGTGACTCGACGCCCAGTTGATGTCCAAGTGGCCGGACCGCAATGGCTGACGTGAGTCTCCGATTTTTAGGTCTCTGTCCCTGTGATCTTCCCTGTGATCCGGGACAGCTCGCGCGGGAAGCTCTCACTAAAGTGACTGCATGTGGGAAAAAAATTGCCCCGCACTGGAGCTGCCAGCAGTAATTGGCGTCGCACCATTGGCTGGTTTGGATTTTAGAAGAGATGCTTCCTTGCTGGATTTTAGCAGCCCAGATTTCCAGTGGGCTGTATGATGTATCTCACTGAGCTATGGTGGGCGCTTCAACCCATTCCTGGGATATCACAAAGGGTTTTACTACTACCTGGTACTGTTCTTGCCTTGGTATTTGTAGTTATCTACTATAGAGCCCAAGAAGAAGACTGTTTTATAGAAATTCTCAAGGAAATAGCTTTCGGCCTTACTCTCGCCGTCCCGCTCAAGCAGAGCTGTCTGTGGAGATGCCCAATTTGAAGCTTGCCGATATCGGCATCGCAAGATCTCTGGTTGTTCAACACGAACGTCTGCTTTGTGATCTTGGACAAGAGCGTTTCCAAATTTTGAAACAATATTCATATTTCAAATATTATTACAGCAATAATTAACCGTGGCAGACCATTGATATTGACGGGCTTGTATGAGAGAAGCTAGAATGATTTCGACTGACATGTCCTCATAGATGGTCTACACATATTAACTGGATAGCATCACTAATGCCCAAGCAATTAGTTCCAGTTGGCACTCCGCGTTCATTGACAAGTAGGTAGAGATACGCTAAAACTCTAGTCAATATCACCGCTGCACTCACCTCAGTAGGAAAAAAATGCTGTGCAAAAGAAGATCACCCTTACGTATTAGTATTTCTTTTCTTCTTCCTCCCCCTCTTCCTTCATTGGCTTATCTTGATCTTTTCTCGTTGAAAAGATCTCGTCAATGACTCCAAGTTCCAATGCTTCCGTCACGCTTAGATACTTGTCTCTCTCCATCAGATCGTTAATCTCCTCTAGGCTGTACTTGTCGAATCCCTTTGCCTTGTTTAGATGATATTGCATGATTTGGTTGGACTGCTCTCGTATCTTTTGGATTTGATTTGCGTAGATCAAAATATCTGATGCCTGTCCTCTCGTGCCACCCAAAGGTTGATGAATCATTATGGAGCTGTGTGGAAGAGCGCAGCGTTTGCCTGGCGCACCGCCAGCAAGCAGGATGGCTGCCATGGACGCCGCACCTCCGATACACACCGTTGCGACGGGAGACTTGATATAAGACATCGTGTCGTATATCGCCATACCTAGGGCTACTGTGAGCTTTGATAACCGTACTGCGGAGAGGATGAAACGCACCTGATGTGACGGATCCACCTGGCGAATTAATGTACATCGTGATCGGCTTCTCAGGGGCGTCCGATTCTAGCCATAGAAGCTGTGCGACGATGGAGGCTGACATGTAGTCGTCGATTTCGCCATTTAGACATATTATTCGTTGCTAGGCACGTTAGTCCTTCTGTATTGGAAGCTTGCGACAGATGGTCATTGCCTAACCTGTAGAAGCTTTGAAAAGATGTCCCCTCGAAGACGTAAGTTTCCTATTCATCCGGCGCAAAATGATAAGTGTAGCGTACATGTTTTCCTGCCAGTTGCCTGTTCCCTTTTAGCCCATTGTCATGGCACCAGAGCTGACGCCGCCGCTTACTGATGTCTCTTCGATGTATGGCATTGGGATGTTCATCGACGGCGCACTGTTAGCAGGAGCAGCAGTGCTGGAGAAACCAAAGAATCTGGCATGTCGCGTTGGCACTGCCCGTAGGGCTGGTAGCAATCTGTGTCGTAGCATGTTTGGCAGATGGGCTGATGTCGTGACTAGAGGGAAGCTTGCAGCTTGGAGGTGGTGACAGCTTAGCATCGGTAATACCCTGGTACCAAAGCTTATCGCTATCGCGCGTCATCGAAAATTGGTCGCATGCAACATTCACAAACCACCAACACAATGCACACTCATTACTTGCAAACACAAATCATGTTTCTTTGGAAGTCAGCTGCCAGGCGATGAAACGATGCACTGCGCTCCGCCCAAGCAGCCTTAGGGCTTTGAATCTACCTCTGGGCCAAAGATGGTACTCCTACGATAAGGCGTCCTTGACCAAAGAGGCCCTCCTCCACAAAGTCGAAGCTGGGCTTGGACACGATGCGGACGGCAAATCACTAAAAATTAATCCAGAGGCGAAGACGGTATCTACTGCGGCAGGAGATCTTCCCATCTCGCCCATCTTTGATCCGGCATGGATGCAAGCCAGGCGAAAGACTGCAAAGGCCGCTCCTGGTCCACCACTAGGCAGATTTCGACGAAAGCTCGCAAACAACCCTTTCGGTAAAGCAAGCTTTTAAGCCACGGCGTGTCTGATGGAGAAGAGCTAACTTGGGAATGAATACAGCACAGGCCCTCGCTACGCCAATCCGAAGATGCCCAAACAGCGCCACCAGCCTACCGCGGTACTTTTTACAGGATTTTGAGATGATAAAACATCCGCAAACAGGTGCCGCATGGTGGGCTCCCGGCCCGCTGGCCTTTGAGCATGTCCTGCCTACGAAGCGACCAGACGAGTCACAAACGGATAGGAATAACGGAGGTGACAAAGCTGCTGCGGCGGCTGAGCTCGTGTCAGCTTCTGCGCCAGACTTGAGCGATACCACAACGGGCTCGGCCCGGCGACGGAGATCACCAATAACAAGCTACACGCTGAGTCGCAAGTCGCTGGTTGATATGGTTGGCGGATCAAACAAAAAGTATCTTGCCCTTTTGTCGGCGATCCGAACTGGCATGGCTGTAGCTCCGGATACTAGGGATGCGGTATGGAGAGAAGATATGGGGAGTTTACTGCTGGGGATGATGCGCACACACGCAACAGATGCGCTTATTGCTCGCGGCAATCGGCCACACGGCCCCAAGGACAGATTTATTCAACCTTGTGTGAATTGGAAGGACGTCGAAGGAATCAGAATGCGGGGTTGCGTTATTTGGCTGCCAGAGAACAGTGATGGTCCGAGACAATACGCTACACTGGACGTCGAGGGGGCCCAATACGGAAGGAAGATGGTGGTACATAATCTACGATGGCTGCTTGGCGATAACGAAGTGCAGCGGCTAAGGGACTCGGCTGAAGTGTTTCGGGAGGGAGAGATATTCGTGCTTAAGCAGTGGACGAGCACGAGCATGATGAGACTACATTTGTTACTGTGGAAGCTGCAAGGATATCTGGCGGAACCAGATACAGGCAGCAGTATAAAGCAGTGATAACGGGACGAGCACTGCCAGGTTAGGCAAGTAAACTTAATTCCGACGTGATTAAGTACCTGCATGACATGATCTTCTCCCGCCGTCGCAGTGGCAGCGGTTCAACGTGGTTGAAGGGAATGCATGTAAGCCATGTGCCACGTAGTTCAACGTGGTAGCATCCCTACTGCAGGCACTAGGATGCTTTGATAGTATTCATACAAATGCCTGCTTTTGTACATAGGACTATCGTTGACCTGATTTAGACAATGTCGGGCTCTCTCAGCGGCGAGGCCGAAGCTGGAGCCGAGATGGATTTTCAGAAGGACGGCAGAAATATGCCTCTCCTCAGGTAGCCATAGAATAGAATCTCTCTCTTGAGACGGCGATGACTCTATTCCCAATACATGACACTCCGGGGAAGGCTGATGCCTCTAATCCCGATACATGATACTCCGGGACGACAGGCCTCTGACCCTAGGTGATGCATGGCACTCCGGGATGTCTGATGTTTCTAATTCCAATACTTTGCAGTAAGACGGATTCCCAATCCCTGGATAGTCCTACTTGTTCATGAGCAGGTACGTAATAGAATTAAGATTTGCATGTGTCACGGCTGTTTTACACTGGGCAAGCATCTTTGTGCTACGTATTTCGGTACATCTGACCCATTTCACCACTCGTCTAAACGGAATGGATACAGTTATAGACTCGAATCAGCTGATAGTCTACAAATGCAGCATATTATGGTATGCTTGATAAGGGTTCATCTCCAGCACAAGGCCTATCTTGAGCTGTGATAGAGTTATAGGATAGTATTCACCATCTCAGGCCTTGTAAAGGACTTTTTCTCTGTTCTAGTATGATGCTTTGTCGCTATAGAACGAGGTACCTAGTGACTAGAATTTAATAAAGCAGATGCTGTCAACTGTACCAGATACTCGTCGGAGAGTTCTCAAAGCAGCAAAGCATATGTAAGCACCGAGATGGCCCAGGCACAGTGAAATCGGAGGGTTGAGTGTAAGTGGCTGATAATGGCTGATAACCCTCCGAGCGCCGTGCCTGGGTGTTTTCGTGCACTAACCGCTTCCATCGAGCTGCATTCCGGAATCCTGCAGGCTCCGCAGTTCCAAAGCGGCATGTCTCAGGGCCCACCCGCATTTTGTTGGGCGAATTGCATTCCATTGTAATGCAAGCACGGCGCCCAGGCTATATGCATGCGGATTCGACGATGTAAGTCTGCAGAGAATTGCAATGGTTGATGTCAAGGAGAGAACAAGCATAAGTCACGTAAAGCGCTGTTACAGGTACTAGCAGCAAGCCCACTACGTCGTAGACACGGCGCTGTGAACAGGATCCGCAAAGGACCGATTGCATGCGGCACAGATTCACTTACATGTCTTGCTCAAACACGCTCGTATAGGCCTCTTCGACTCATATCCCAGTCATCTGCATCCAGCCACGCTTGTCCACGGCCATCTGGCAATCTGCAGATTCGGGCACGGGTCACTCTGCCATTCCACATGGAGTCCCGTCAGCCAGATCCCTGAAGCGTTATCAGACAGGCGCATCGCTCCTCCGTCAGCCACATCCCTGGCCTGTTGCGCCCATTTGTCAGGGCTGGGCGATAAAGTCGTCCTTGGTGAAATATTCCTGCTTATACCTATATATGCCCTCCTTCTCCCTTGATGGTGTCTCTCCCCCATCTCTTGGGTCTGATCGATCTTATCGGCCGTTTGTGCGGAGAAAGAGGCTCATCTTGCATACCTAAATCGTGACGCTGCAGTGGGCCCAACAAAAAGCATCGCGGCTTAGAGTTTGACAATTTTGTTATCACCGACCAAGACGTCTATGAAGTCAGCGGCTGCAAGCTCTTTTCAGTCATAAATAAAGAGATTTCTCCTCTTCACTTTGGGAATTTATATCCCCAGATATTTACTCGAGAATTTCATACATCTATTCACCTATTGGACACCTGCTCGCTTAGATCGCCGTCGTCCATCCCTTGACCCGATCTAAAAGCTCCAACGGGCGAATGAGAAATCCGTTGGGTAGTCGCTTCGAGTAACTTTTTTTTTCACCCCAACAACGTCAGGGCAGAGCTCCACTGATTAGCGGAGCTAATTGCTGGAGAGCTTGGGGAAACCCGCGGGAACGTCTTCAGCTAAATAAGGGTTCCTTGTCTCCGGAGCTTCCAGTTTGACGGGGGTCTGGTTTTCTCTTTTCTTCTCTATTTATTGTTATTCTCTCCGACATCAACTACTCCATTGCACCATGTTATACACAAGCAAACGGAGCTTCGGCTCTGAAACACCGAGCTCGCACGACGCGCCGCAGCGAACAAGCCATACACCATCATCATCACATCGACAGCCGCTCACAATGCGGTCTCCGAGTCTGCAGCTCATCCAGCCCGAGAACTGGGCACAGCCAAACATGCCCACCTACAACACGCCCATCTTCCTCATCCACGACGGCAGCGGCACCACCTTGGCCTATCAATTCCTCGAGATCCTGGGTCGCTACACCTACGGCATCCGCAATCCCTACTACTACTCCGGCAAGGTCTTCGAGGGCGGCATCTCCGAGATGGCCTTTCTATACGCGTCGTGGATCCGAAAGACGGTGCAGGATAAGGACTTCCCGGCCAAGAAGAGGAATATGGATGGCAGCACGAGCATCTTCCTGGGCGGCTGGAGCTTGGGCGGCCTGCTCAGCATGGAGGTTGCGCGACAGCTGGCCGTGGACGATGTCGTGAGGGTCGCGGGCATCCTCATGATCGACAGCACCTTCCCTGGCGTGTCAAGGCCGTTACCTACAAGCTCTGTCCCTCTTGTTCCCTCCTTCGGAGTGCCTACGGCGAATAAGTTCTCTGGCGTTAGATTCCCTGATGTTTCTACGCGCAAGATGCTGTGCGACGACGACGTCTCCAGCGACGACGAATCGCTACCAGATTTGAGCGACGTCTCTTCAAGGGACGGCTCATCGGAGGATGAGTCATCAACCGACGAAGACGAAGCCATCATGAACAAGATCCGCTCCAAGACCTGTATGGCAGAGGCTGTGCGTATGATCCGGCAGTGGCGTCTTCCCCAGTGGTCAGGCAGACTCTACGACCGCCGACCAAAGGTGGTACTGCTGCGCGCGAAAAACTACGTGCCGACAAAAGAAGGCCGCACTGTCGGCATGGATCTGAACAGAGAGGATCCCCTGCTTGGTTGGGGCGACTACGACGAAGAGATGTTTAGTGATGTCTATGATGTTGACGGACACCACTTCAATTTGTTTGAGTATGACAAGATATCCAACATGACGAGGACAATCAAGAAGGGCTTAGATAGGCTGGAAGAGGCCTCCCAGATGATGATGTTTGAGAGTTGGTAGTGGAGTGTCTTTGCATGGGTTACGGGCGTTGAAAGTCATTTGCTCTTTTGTTTTCTTTTGGCAAGCTTGGAAAACTACGGATTTGTTTCATCACTGCATGGCTGGGAGCGTATTGCATGGTTGGGTCTCTTGTATTTTATTTTCACCCCTGCACATTTGCAGAGGTTGTATCCACTGAGGAGTTTGAGATTATCATAGCGTTCATTCATACGATACCAATACAAACAAATATCGCACAATAACTTATTGAGACTTGCATCTGTGATATTCTACACGTGAATTAGTGAATTCGCATCTTTCAAACTACTCCGTACATATGCTATGAGCATGCCGCCAAATACACTACTCCCAGCCTCTGCGCAAAAGATACCCAAGGCAGCCGACAATATGAAAACTTACATCAAAACAAAGCTCCAGAATCATCTCACCTACCCGAACTGCATCATATAGTCTCCAAGTTGGGATCATTCTTCAAAAGGACTTTGATAGCTTCCATACCTTTATTCGGCGCTGCAAAGTCCACCCAGTACCCTCCTTCACCCTTGGACATGATTGTCGCGCTTACTATCATGAGGTCAGAATAGTAATGAGAGTTGGAGTAGAAACTCCTTCACTTACATCGATTGGGATGGTTCCTCTCAAGCGCATGCCCAAATACAAGCGGCGCCCGAACAGCCTCATCCGGCTTTTCAGCAGCATCGTCTTCACTTCTTTTGATACTCGCTGCTGAGAAATCAATCCCATGCCACGCATTACACCAATTCGTCACGCCGTAGCTAAACTCCCACGGCTCGCAGATGTGCATCAGGATTTTCTGCAAGTAGAGCTCCCGCGCCACTGCAAGGCCGCGCTCCATGTTTGCCGGTTGGAGGCTGTCTAGTATCGCGAGTCGGGTTCTGTATGCGATTTCGGAGGCTGGTGGTTTGGAGCGGCTGATGGCTGCGTGGGTTGGGGCGAAGATGAGGGCGTTGTGTAGGTATTTGTGGGATTTGGGGAGTGAGGGGTGATGTCCGCGAACTAGGGGGAGGCGTTTTCGTGTTAGCCATGTAGATGTCGTTGCAGTTGAATAGATGATGGAAGCAGACTTACCATTTACTGCGCTTGTAAAGAGTTGTTTCTTGGGCCGTTTGCGATGCAGGTTACCGAGCTGATTAGCACATAGCAATCAGCATCAGATGGGGAAATAAAGAAGACATGGCTATAGTATATACCTTGACAATAATTCCAGCAATCGCATCTCCGTTTGTAATACTCGCTACCTTGGTACCGAATTTCGCCTGAATCTCCTCCTGCCATCGCTCACGTATTCCAGCAATCATTTCCAGAGGAAAATAGAGAGTGCATCTTGTCTCTTTCGGACGTATAACAAGCTCTGGTACAATCCCCATCAGAACTCCTGCTCGGTCTGCCTTTGTCTTCAATCGATATTCGTATTTCTTATGCAGCTCCTTTTTGGATATTGTCTTGTTGCCCTCGAGAGCACCCTCTGGAAGATCAATAAATGGCAAAGGTTCTTTGCCCTTAATAATATCTGTCCAGGAGCTGAGGACACTGCCAAGGCCCAATTGATCGCTCACGCAGTGCGGCAAGCTAACAGCTACTATTGTGGCATCGGTGTAGTATGTGAGATGAACGAGCAAGAGAGGTGTTTCTGGCTTGTCCTGGTTGCGCAGAATGGGCCAGTTGGCGGGGATCCAGCACGATTCCAAGGCTGTCACATCTGGGAGAATGGTGATTCCCTTTTGTGAGTCCGGTCCTGGCACAAGCTTCGATTCTCCGATAGTTGACCCAACATTGCTAACAGACCATCCAAATAACTTATAGTTGTCGGGCGGCGGTGAGATTAAATGGTATTGCAGCCAGCCATCTGTTCCACTAGGTTTTATCCGCGAGCCTAGAAGAGGGATATGCTCGGTGATCAACTTATCCAGAGATTCTCTCATGAAATCTTCGTCGAGGATGTCTCGGACGACAATAAATGCTAGAGAGCGGATGTTGCTAATGGGCCGCCATTGGTCTTTCGCACAGAGAGAGATGACTTTCTCAGAGGATTTTGTTTCGACGCTCATGATGTCGCTCGTGTATACACTACAAAACCACCCAATTTGCCATGGAGATGAAATAACATTGCTAAGAAGTGAATCATATTAACTCCCTAGCGGTGGCTTGCTGTATATATGCTAATTCTTTAGCTGCTATCAATTCGCGGAACTCGTGAAGAGAGTTTCGTGTCAATCCCGTTTATACAGTTAGCGCTTAGGAGGCTTGGTTCTACCACTAGCAGTGCGCCGACGACAGTCTAACTGGTCTTTAGTATCTTGAACGATAATGCCAGCGTCAGAACTAACAGCTACTTGATTGATGCTGAGAAAAAATTGCCTACTCTGTATTAGGAATCTTGACTGCGCGAGTCAGCTATAGGTGAGATCTCATCACAACCTACCCCTCGAACCACTCCGTGGTACAACCCTTAGCATAACAACTCGAAAACGATCAGCGAAGCGTTTGATCTTTAATAGCTTCATGTTGCTAACTGTGGGCTCTTCCCATGGTAACCAGTTTCCCTGATCACCTTCGCCAGAGCGACAAGATGTCACCTATCTCGGAGTTATGAGACGAGGCTTGCTGAGAAATGACCACGTAAAAAGGACGCAGAAACAGCAAATGTGAATGAAAGCTCTTTTTTCGAAAGCGCCAAGCTATCAAGCATAAGTTGCCAAGATATGTGCAGGAAAGAAATTTGGTTTCGTCTAGATACTTGCTCGGTCAACTATAGGTGCGCTCGTCTTTTTCTGTAAATACTGTTAGAAAAGGTGACCGGGAAATAAAAGATGGTTTAACAAAGGATAACTTAAAATGCAGCCTTAATTAATTGTTCAGAACTCGAAATTGTAGATTACTTGTAATACTCAGATTATAAAACAATTCCCCATTACAAGACATGTATAATGCGTTTTTCTCCTTCCCTTGAAATAGTAAGAGTGCCGTTCCAGTAAAAGGCTGATTATTACATAGTTTAACCATAGTCGCGGGCTTTTTTATTTCAAAAGCTGCATCTATTTCATTGTGACATAACGCTACTACCTTATCACTACGTCCTATAATTTTCAAATCTTGTACAAAAACGAATACATCATCTTCAAATTGCTAAGCAGCTTCGACATCTCTCGTAGGTAAGACTTTAGCATTACTCTAGGAGTAAGGGTCTTCAAATCGCCATTGTTGGGTTTGTAATGCCGACTGCTTCGTTTTTAGAGTACGCAAACTGCCTATACTACGTGCTGAAGCGCGATCTTGATAGGTTGGGTGGGTAGAGTATAGTCCTCCGGCTCATGCCCAGAGAAGCAATAAGAGAGCCCCGAATAAAGTTTCTAGTCTCCTTCCATGGCGATCTCTATTCTTTCGTCGATCTCGATTAGATCTGATCTACACTATTAGGCAGTAAACTACATGTACTATCGCCGGCAGACTGCGCCAGCGTGCAGTCGGCAAACGACCATTGCCGGCAAACAAAAACGACTAGGGTGTATATTGGACACCTGCGCGAAAGTAACCCAACGACATGGAAATGAGAGAAAACCATGGCTTTTGTTCCATTCAGCCAGCTCAATGATTCTTAGCGAATAAAAAACTGTCCGTTTCAAATGAATCAGGCATTTCAAATTGCCCTCGTTCTACATCGGCTGTTTGATTATGAATCTGCTCAAGTACATGCTCCACTCCATAGGCGAGATAAGCAGAAAAGGCGACATACGCGAGCAGGAATATATCCATCACTGGACTCGCTAACTTGATCGATCTTAGATGTAGTTGCGAATTAGTTTTCAGGATTTAATAATCTGTTATATCATTTATGATTGAACGCTGCCCACTGCCGAGGTAGTAGAGTTGGCACCAGAAGCATACATGCATTTCTCATTATGCGGCTATACTTGAGCCGCTTGCCTAAAGGATCTGATCCATGGGCACGTTCTATACATATATATATATATATCCAGTAGTGCAGCTCCAAGCTCTCATTCTATTGCATCATAACTACTACTTGTTGTCTGGAATGTGTTACAACATTTAGGGAAGACTTGAAACTATGGGTGAACTTCAGGAATTGAATGTCGAAGAAGACCAGGAATCGACGCAGTTGACGAGACCTCCGCCCAAGGCACCCGACGCGCCACCCAACGGGGGTCTTGTAGCATGGCTACAAGTGCTCGGAGGCTTCTTCATCTTCTTCAACTCATGGTTTGTAACTCAATGGCTCGCACACATGTTGCGGACGATCTAACGTGCAGGGATAGGGGCATCGTTAACACTTATGGCGCATTTCAATTTTTTTACGAAACAGAGCTTTTACAAAATGAGACCGGGTCAACGATATCCTGGATCGGAACATTCCAAGCATTTCTCCTCATTGCACTCAGCATTTTCTGTGGCCCAATATTCGACCGAGGCTATCTCCGCGAACTCTTCTGGGTTGGCTCCTTCTTGGTGGTGTTTGGCCTGATGATGAGCAGTCTGGCTACTAAATACTATCAACTCTTCTTGTCTCAGGGACTTTGCGTGGGAATCGGAGGCGGATGCCTCTTTCTACCATGCGTCGCTGTCGTGTCTACATATTTTACAACGAAAAGAGCGCTTGCTATTGGAATTGTAGCGTCCGGAGGAAGCGTTGGCAGTACGATTTATCCCATCGTCTTCCGCAGGCTCCAACCAGCGATTGGGTTTCCGTGGGCAATAAGGGTGATTGCCTTCATTGCTCTGGGCTGCCTTTTGGGGAGCATCAGCATTATGAAGAGCCGGCTGTCTCCCTCGAGACATGCGCGGAAATTGGTGGATCTGGCTGCCTTTAAGAATATGCCCTACACGGTGTTCACTGCTGGGCTGTTCTTTGTTTTCGTTGGTTTATATGTGCCGATTTTTGACGTTGTTGTTGACGCACAAATTGGGTCTCATGTCAAGGAAGACATGTCTTTTTACATCCTCTCCATTCTCAACGCAGCATCGGCATTCGGCAGGGTCATCCCAGGACAACTAGCAGACCTTTTTGGATCCATGGAAGTCATAATCGCTTGCACAGTCACCTCTGCTATTTTCGCATACGGTTGGATCGGGATCCATTCACTAGGCGGGTCTATCGCATTCGCAATAGTTTATGGATTTGTGTCCGGAGCGGTGGTGTCCGTCCAGGCGAGCGTTGTTGCGTCTCTGGTGCCTGATGTGCGCTACATTGGCACATGGATGGGCATGTCCCTGTTTGTGGCCGGTCTGGGGATCCTGATTGGCAGCCCTATTGCTGGAGTGCTCATCACGTCGGGCACTCGGGCGTTTGTAGATCCCTTTATCTTTTCTGGAACTTTTACAATTACGGGCGCAATCTTGTTTTGTATTGCGTGGGTGTACAAAAAGAGAATCGCTAAAGCTGGATGATGATACGCTATAGAGTCGTTTAGAAACTCGGACAGTTATGATAGACTCCATAAACTCATTTAATAACTCCAATAGTCATGATAGTGTAATCTAAGCTTTATTAACGCTCAGTGTGGAGAAGATTGTGATTTACATACCTAGAGATGGAGTCTAAAAGATTAGTCTTTATAGAGAAATCGCTGCAAAAGCAATCGCTACCAACTTTACAGGCCTCTGAGGACCGCTTTCTAAAGGTCAGTGACAAATCTAGGCCATTATATATAGTCTCAACCGGTAGCCACATGTAAAAATAAAGAGACCTTTTCTATTCGAATAAAAGTCAAGTCCAAGATTATGAGTGCTGCGACCTTAGTGAAGTAGGTGCATGTAGTACGTACTAGTAGTAGTTGTAAGTCTTAGGCATCAAGAGAAGAAAAGTTAGCCCAGATTGATGCCTTTTCTCTCCATTCCCCGTATGTACACCCTCATAAATACATTCATACCCGAAAAGTATTGCCAACCGGGCGGTACATTTTTGCTATTCAGGCGGAATTCCCACCTTGCCAAGCCTAACCAGGCCTAGGTTTTCGCATCTTAGCTTCTCGCACCAAATTACAACGTGAAGATGTTGAATAGACCACTTGGCAAAAGTCAAATGGCTATTTCTCTTGCTGAAGTGAGTACTGGCACCTAATTCTACCAGCTGATTTGGCATCCAAAATGATGTATAATGAGCCAGAAAGTGCAATTTGAAGCTACTTATGTGAGATTAGGAGGCGACCTGAATCACCCTGGGCAATCTTGAATACATGAATAGCTGTGACTAGACCAGGTGGCTTCATTCAAACTAACTACTGTATTTCAGTAGGCCAGCCGGAAAATACCGCCCAAATAGCAAAAACGTACCGCCCGAATGCCCTCACTCGGCATCCAATAAGGTGGGTCACCCGGCGGCGATCAGAGCGGCGACGCTAACGTCCGTCGCCGCCGCTAAGACCAAAGCGCCGATACAATCTCCACCCAAGGCACGTATAAGGCAACATAGAATATATAGATTCCTGTAATTAAGAGAAAAGTATATATAGAAGAAGAGATCCGGTCACTGTGAAGCTCTATTTCTCATCTATCACAGCAAATTTTCTTAGAATACACACCTTATCGCAGTCAATCCATCAAGCAACAACACTCCAGCCCTCACCATGTCTGCTCTCAAGTACACCAACAAACTTCAAGGCCGTCGCGTCCTCGTCGTCGGTGCCTCTTCCGGCGTAGGCTTCTGCGTTGCCGAAGCAGCTCTCGAGCACGGCGCACAAGTCATCATCAGCAGCTCCAACCAGACCAAGCTGGACGGCGCCCTCGCCCGTCTCCAAGAGCACGTCAAGGCGGCCAACCTCGGAGACGCCAGCAGGTTGGTATCAGCCAAGACCTGCGATCTTGCAAATGTCGATAAGCTTGAAGACAACATTGTTGAGCTCTTTGAGTTTGCCACCAAGGACGGAAAGCTCGACCACGTCGTTTATACGGCTGGCGATGCTCTCCGCACTCCTAAACTGGCGGACGTAACGGTCAAGGACATCCACGCCACTTTCCAGGTGCGCAACACAAGCGCCATCATCCTCGCCAAACACTTGGTCAAATACATCAACCCCAGCGTGAAAAGCTCATTCACCCTGACCGGCGGAACGAACACCCATCGCCCACTTCCCGGCTGGGGCATCCTGGCCTCTGGAGGAGGCGCCGGCGAGGGTCTGGTTCGCGGGCTCGCCGTGGACATGAGGCCCGTGAGATGCAACAGCGTCATGCTCGGCGCTATTCACACAGAGCTGTTTGGCATGTTTCCCCCGGACAAGCTCGAGCTGATATTGCAAAAGTTCAGGGACAACGCCATCACTGGCACTGTCGCGACGCCTGAGGAAGTTGCAGAGGCTTATATCTATTCGATGAAGGATTCGTTTGCCACGGGAGCGATTATTGAGACTCATGGAGGTCGTCTTGTTGGTGACAGCCAGGCCCTTGGCATTTGAGGTGATGAAGCCGTCATAGAGAGCGAACAGCATAGCGGGAATGATATTTAGCGTTCCAGAATAAATTCAAGTCGTATAAGAAATAGATGTTGTCCCTAATGCTTGTCCTGTTGTCTTTCCCTTGTCATTCAAATTCTATCAATCCAATTCGTAAAAGCTTTTTGTTAGACTCTTTTCTCAGCTTGGAATGTCCAGTTTATAGTCATCAGGAATAGTCCCCCAGTTGTCGCACACTCCAACTAGACTTCGAGCACCGGCAATCTTTGACTTTCGCGCAAATTCTGCCCCTTGATGCAGATAAAAGTACATTCCCTTGCCGAATTTCTTGCCCAGAGCCGGCCACTCCTCCTTCATTCTCGCATACGTCGAAGCAATGACTTGCAAGTCTTCTCGCACCTTGGGATCGTGACCCATAGGCGGCTGGCCACCGTCCCTAGCTTCTCTTTGATGCTTTGAGGGGCAAAAGTATTCATTCATCAGGATCCTGCAGCTGGAAAAGAGCAGACACGGAATATGCGCATTGCTCACGAAATCTATAGACACGCGAGAAGCATCTCGAAGGATGGCTATTGAGGCTCGAGCGGCGGCGACGCAGCGTGGCCAGTTGTTAGCCATTTCCGTTCCAGTATCGTCGAGGGTTTCGCCTTCGTGAAGAGGCCTCTGGTGTAAGAGGATAGTACAGGTGCTCAAGCCAATATTGAGCCAAAGGACCTGCGTAAATTCGTCATAGTTGGCAAATGAAAGCTCGGTGGCAGAGCGCGGAAGCATCAGGCGAATCTCAATGAGATTATTGCAAAGCGACTCTATTCGCTCCATTCGCTCCATTTGCTCTTCTTCATCGTTGGCAGCGTCAAGCGCTTCGCTGATGCGGCCAATTAAGGTATAAACCAGAATGATGTATTGCAGCTGATTTGCCACACCGTGCAAGCTGTTGTCTCGAATGGTTGAGATCAGCTTACTTAGGTTATGAGAGAAGCGACTAGAATGCCTTGAAACAGGCCCATTGGTGCTTTGAAAGTCATGCTCCGACATTGGAAGCTCAATCGTCATCCTCCGGTCGTCTATTGCATGCATCAATCCGATCGGAAAACACATGGCTCGATCCATAATAAAAAGCATCCATGCGGTTCTTACAAACTCCTCTCTCTCTACCCACGTCGCTTTTTCTTGGGTGCTTAATGACTCTACAATCATATTTCTCAAGGTAGCGCCATAGCTGTGGTGGTCGATGGCAACAGTCTTTCTCCAAGCCTCGCCGAGAATGACTATACACGGCGAATAATCCACCATTGCCAGTCCCAGATAGACGACCAGGACTGCGGCTTGCAAAGTTTGAAGAACATGGTGCGACAGTTGTATATCTTTGGAGACTCGGCTCTTTGCCTCTTCGTACCAGATTCTCTGAGATTCTCGTATCCGTAAGTCAGGGTGGGCGCTGGATGAAATAGCAATGATGGAGAAGAGCAAGACCGGCGGTACTCCCTGGATGCCTTGAGACTCAATAGCAGAGAGCAAGGCCTGTCGGTGAAATATGGGCACATAGTGATAGAACTTGTCAAAGAACAAGTCGATCAACTGCAGTATCTCTGGTAGCTCTGGCAGTTCTGGCGGTGACTTCAGAGGCGGAGGTACATGTGTCGTGTGTGAACCAATATTCTGAAGTATAGCGAGGTTCACATTAGCAGGGAAAGAATCTTGAACGGCAGTTCCTAGCAGCTCATTGTTGGACATCCACTCGTGAGAATCCTCCAGCTGTGACCCAGCCATACAAGATGGGATAGTCTCAATGGCATCTAATCCTAGAAGCGCGTCGATTTCGTCCACCGGCCATGAAGTCCAGTCCTGGAGAGCGGGATTCATCGCGATTCCTCCATTTACACGACCAGAAATTCGATGGCCAAGATTCTGCCTGTCGCTTCTTTCATAGTAGCAGAGCTGCCCTCTCACGGTGCATGATGAGCAAGACGGTCGATTACCCTATGAAGCATTAGGTAAGCCAGCCAGCGACTGTATCTGTTCGTCTCACATCGCATTTCTTCTTTCTTGATCTGCACCCTTTGCACACGTTATGGGGTTTTGCGGGAGTAGACATTTTGTGTCTCCTATACCTAAGATGTCGATTTCAAGAGGTCAAGGACCAGTTGAAGCGTCGGCAGCTTTACCCCGAAGGGTGGATCACGTAATGCTGCAGCCCGGATTGTTTGGCTCCTAACTCCGTCTGGTAAAGGTCCAAGCAAAAGATGGCCTTACAAACACGATTCTTTTTGAGATGAATAAGCAAATCTTTGCCACTTGTTCCGCAAGAGATTGCTAAGTGTGCACATGTATACACAGTAAATGAATTTCATGAATAAAAAGATGGGTATTCTTGCCAATGGTGAAATTCGCCCGTAAAGGTTCACGATAATGCCAGTTCCAGCGCTGGTTGGGCAAAGGAGTTCGGACATGAAACGGTCCGGCCCCGGCTCTTGGTCTCCTTTGAGCGTTGGCTTGGCGCAATTGCCATCATCATCTCGCATTTACAGACACAGCATCCAAGATAATTCACATTTATTCTCTGCTGCAGCTAAACCCTTAAACGCTCAAATTCGACGTAAATTCAATTCTCTTTGCAATTCTCTTTGCCTGTTAGTGCTCCAGCACCCCAGTACCCTCGCTAGATTGATGCCTGTCCTAATAACCGTTCCAGAGCCACGTTGCCGGGCCCGTCCGTGTATGCCTGTACTCCAGATTGCTGCCATAATTTCCCATCGCTAAATAAAAGATCCTTTCGCGCATTAGGTAAGATGTTTCGCTTTCAACTTCTCGTCCTCTAGATGCCGTTTTTTCCAGGGGTACCATCATGTCTTTTTCCTAGCCACCCATCAAGGCGCAAGTGCCCGCCTTGCACGACTCGCTTCCGCAGATATCGTCATCAGAACCTTGATGGCTCAGACATGATATTTCGTCTGCTAGTGGTAGAATGATTTGTCACGATGCATCATCTACAAGCATGGCTGTGCCCTGCTGAGGAAGTTGAATCCCACGATGCCCTCGGCCACCAGCCGGGTGGGGACAGAGCGAGAGTAAAGTGACACTCGCCGGCCGATGATTCCATCGTTTCCGACTTCAAGCGAAAGCGGTTTATCGAGAGGAAGCTCGATAAACGACGTGTTGCATGAGTTTGGTGCCGCAGGGAATCGGAACTGCTGGAAGGTGCCGCACTCCTCTGGTTTTCTGGACAAGTCTCCGCTAGAACTATGTCTCAAATGTTAGCTGCATGAGATTCATCTACGAGGGGATCTTGAAGTTGCCACGCACTGGATGACAATATGGAGATCTGATAAGATGCTGGAGTCATACTCAGCATCTGGCGTCAGTCTCGCATGTGTCGCTTCGTTGCTCTCCGGGTGGCCGGGAGTGTGAAAAGCGAGATCCGCGCAGAGGGATCGCAGCCGATCGGCATCGATTGGTGAGCTGAGGGCAGCAAGTGCGCCGCCGCGAGGCTTGTTGGTGAATTCTGGTCCGCACATGGTGATTTTTATGAAAGATTCTATGAAGAAAAGAATGATACAGTGTGATGTGTACTGTCTTTTTCTTTTCGATTATGGCTGGGAGAGGAACAATCGATGGAGAAGGGAAGAGAAGAGAAGAGAAAGGTGATTGCGTTGCTGCTTGTGGTTTGTTCTGTCTTGTGGCGTTGTATAACTTCTACAGCCGACTTTATATACACCAGCGCCGGCCCTGTTCAAATTACATGAGAGGCTCTGAGCGTGTTTGGCAGTGCTGCGCGTGTTTCATCGCCGCTGCGTGTCATTGAGTCGTGCCCGCGGCACTACCTGAAACGGCCCAATCACAGCGCCGCAACAGTCGCCCCCTTTCCCCATGCGGCAACCTCAAGTGAGCAAGTTTGAGAGGGAATGCTCACGAAAGTCGACCGCAGCAGAACCTTGATGGCGAGCCACCTGCGAAATTGCTGATTTAGCGGTTCATCACTTGTAGCTCACTTGTAGCTCACTTGTAGTTCACTTGCTGATCACGGCGTGCTGACCCTCCCTCTGGGGCCTAGAACAGCGTTAAAAAGAGACATGGCGCGGCTTATTCTTCTGACGGCGCTCTCCCTGCTGCCCCTGGCCTGTCATTCTTCATCCCACGACTCGAAGCCGGAATTTGCCAGCATCGAGATCAACTCCGCTTACGGCTCTGAATCACCGCTCGGCCACGCATCATTCGAAGCCACGATGTCTGTTGGCACCTTTTCGCTGCCGGCGCTGCCATACGCCTACGATGTGAGTTCTTCCCCGGCTCATCAAGGCTTCGCATCAGCTAAACAATAACCGGCCTCAAGGCTCTCGAGCCCAGCATCTCCGCACAGATCATGGAGCTTCACCACAGCAAGCATCACCAGGCCTATGTCACCAACCTGAACAGTGCTCTCAAGACCTACGCCACCGCCATTGCTGCCAACGACGTGCCCTCGCAGATTGCCTTGCAGGCTGCCATCAAGTTCAACGGCGGCGGCCACATCAACCACTCTCTGTTTTGGGAGAATTTGTCGCCCTCCTCGTCGCCGGATGCGGACTCTGCCAGCGCCCCTGCTCTAGCTGCTGAAATTGCCAAGACCTGGGGCAGCTTGGAGAAATTCCAGGAGGCCATGGTGAAGGCGCTTTTGGGCATTCAGGGGAGTGGCTGGGGCTGGCTGGTCAAGGACGGCAATGTGCTGCGAATCGTCACTACAAAGGACCAAGATCCCGTGGTGGGCGGAGAGGTTCCCATCTTTGGCATCGACATGTGGGAGCATGCATACTACTTGCAGGTGAGTCGCTTCTTCACCTCTAGTGTCTTAGAAAGCTCTTCCTCGGCTCACTCTATGATTGATTAGTACCTTAATGGCAAGGCTGCATACGTCGAGAATATCTGGAAGGTCATTAATTGGAAGACTGCTGAGCAGCGCTTCAAGGGCAACCGGGAGGACGCTTTCAAGATCCTCAAGGCGTCGTTGTAGAAACGATATGAATTGAGTAACTAGAATGAATTATGACACACACATAGGGTACAGGCCCTTGGGAGGATATCTGAGCAGACTTTCGCTGTTAGTGCTGTCGCTTCCGCTTATGCATGTGTAACGAGAGCATGTCGTGTCCCTTTTAAAGCTATATTGTATAATAGCGGATGGTGTACGCCTAGGTACGACTAAATGAAAGACTATGAAGTTGTGCCTCATTTCGCTACTTGATCGAATCTGAGATACTAAACCACATATCCCCCTCCTTTAGATGCATGTACATAAAGTTGTCTCCTCCGCTGGAACTTTCACCACTGTATCCAGAACACGTGGTACCAGTACGACCATGGCCTTCAGCCGTGCCATAGTATGACGTTTTCGAACCGGGTGTTGCTTCACTGCGCCACCAAGGCAGTTGCAAATTTGTCTGAGACCCCTCCATGTGTCTACCCGCCTCCAGCCATCTCTGTTAACGGGGGGTCGTACTTTGTGTTACCGAGATAATACTCGATTTTTTATCGTATAGCTTTTCTTGGCAGACGGGTAAGATATTCAGCCATTTTATATTTATCGAGGCTCTTGGCCATGGGGGCGATATCAGAAAGTATATATAACGAGGGAAATATGTTTAATATAGAGATAGAAGCCATTGCTCAATACGTTAGAGCAGTTCATGCTGTTCGTTTCAATCATTATTTCTGGTCTTATTTCATTAGTTCGTAAGAAGCGGAGTTAAATCTCGATGGCTGAGTTACCAAATCATGCAGGTACCCTAATCGAGGATACCTACACTGGGTAGGTAGCAACGAATGGAAACATGCATACACGTATCCTTCGCCAAATACCACCATTTGGCTGCCTGGTCGTTTCTATGTGCTGTATGTCTGCGCTCTTATGGACCTAAATTCTACTATAAGCTCGCACATTGGACGATGATAACAACAAGTGGTTTGAGACGTTCGTCGTACAACGAGAATTTCTGCTCCACAGCCCAGCTGAAAATTGACTCAAATACTGCTCACATATCCAACTGGATCGTGGCATCTCCGTGTTCCTAGTCAATATGTTGCGGAATGAAACAATAGCTTTGGATACACAGCAGCAGCGAGTGTTCTACTATTAGCAGAGATAAGAGTTGAGCACTGAAACCATTTATTCACAGGTAGACCACTTACTGCATGTATTCCGCAGCCACGCGAAGGGGAACTCTTTGAGCCACCTCCATCCATATTATCGAGCTTGATGACGAAAAGGCTAGACAATTGGGGTAACATGTAGCGGAAATTGAAGGAGCGGTACGATATCCGTCGGGACGGGAACACGCAGCACGCGATACGGACTCAGACGGGAGGATCTTATCGTTCATCATCTTGTGCCATGGTAGATGGGAGGCCGTAGGGGATGACTCACTAGGCTTCATGTATAAATGATGGGAAGAATTCAGCATTGCAAAATACAGAGATCTGATTCTAACAGCAAACATTGGCAGATCAAAGCATAGTCTCTCGTTAAAAGTCATTCATTCCCATACTCTCCTTGAATTTGGCTCAATTTTCATCACTGCCTCTAAAACACCATCAAGATGGTGAATAAAGCAATTATCTTATACCTTCTGGGAGTCGGGTAAGTTTACCACTAGTCCTACTAGATAGCCTTAAACGAAGAAATCTGGAATTGATATAAACTAACATGAGAGTAATAGGACCACTCTTGTCAGCGCAACAGAGAGTACCGTGACCGTCACGACAACCAAGACGGAAACAGTCACCGCTTGTGCCTCGTCCTGCTATTCAGTCTTGACTAGCTGCACTTCGACTGTGTCTTTGACTTCGTCCACCTTGGCTACTACATCCACTGAAACCACGTCTACCGCTGCTACTTCCACTCAGAGCCCCATCTCTTCTGCAAAAAGTTCCTCTCAGTCAACCTACTCTGTTCCATCGATAACTTTGAGCACGTATCAAACCAGCACAGCGACAGCTTCAATTGAAACTTCCCAATCTACCACTTCTACCGCTTCCGTGATTACTGATAGCCTTGTCTCGACTCAGCTTTCCAGCACTTCCACCAGTTCTGGCACCACTTCAACGTCATTAGAGACTAAGTCGTCCACGGAAAGCATTGTTTCTTTATCTACAGCCACTGCATCCGCTACTTCTAGTGTAGAGTCAAGCCAGCTCCCCGATACTTCTACCCTCTCTATTACAAAGTCATGCTCTCATCCCTATGGCTGTGAATCTTCCACCAGCACCGGGAGCACAGAATCGTCTGCTCTTGCTGGCACTGCATCGTCTACTGTACCATATTCCACTTCTGCTTCTTCCTCATCTACGACCTCATCTTCTAGTCGAGAGACCACTTTCGTGTTCCCAACTACAACTCAGGAACGAGCTCCTCCGGAATCATCCGAGAGCACAACAGAGACGACGTTAGAGTCTACCCTTACTCAGACTGTAACCTTTACGAAAAGTTCGCAATCTCAAGTCTCGAGCGAATCCTCGACAAAGACTTCTGCCAAAGCATCTTCTAAGTCTACGACAGGCTACAGTACTGAATCTGCCACTGGTGCTTCCGTCACTTTCACTGCAGAGACTACATCTTCATCTCTTACGGAGACTGTATCCAGATCCTCTACCGAAACTGGTTCCAAGTCCACTACAGAGAGTGGCTACTCCACCGGTTCCCTTACAGAATCTACAACCGAATCCTCCTCAACAACAACCGCCACAACATCTTCACAAACCGCATCCACAACGCCCTCAAGCTCACAATCCACTACTCCAACAAATACCTCCACCAAATACACCTCCACCCCATCCGAAACCCTCTCATCTTCATCAATCGCCACAAGCTCAGGCTCGACAGCTTCCTCCGCTTTAGCCGCCACCACCACGAAGAACAGCTACAGCTCCCTATACACGCCTTGTTCAGAATCAACTCTGAGCCATTCTCGCGTCTATACACTCACCAATTCTTCTACTTTTGCAACAAGCTCTTACCCGAGCACCGGAATGGGATACTCTACCACTCGGCCGTATACGTCTAGCACTGGCTCCTCTACGGTTCAAAGCTCAGTTATTACAGTCGAGTCTACTGCTGCGCCAGTTACTGCTTCTATTTTGACGAGCAGCTCGTACTATTCTGTTCCATCTGGCCAGGCGGCCACTTCTTCTTCTTCAATAATTTCTTCTTCTTTGCCTTCTTCCTCCTCTTCCTCTTCTCTGTCAGAATCATCACCTTCTTCGTCTTCGTCTTCGTCTTTATCATCTTCCTCATTTCCATCAACAACCCCAGTAACCTACACTTCATCAACCTCCACTTCCACCATATCATACGCATCCTCCGCCAACGCCGCCACGCAGCCCGCAACCACCTCTTCGTCTTCCACTGCCACCACTTTTTACACCGCCACCACAAGCAAGCCAACTTCAGCAACAGCCACTCCAAGTGCATCTGCAGCTTCAACTACCTATTCTACTCCTTCCACTCCGCCATCCTACAGCCCGCCGTCTTATGATCTCCCGTCGTATGGACCGCCGCCATCTTACGGCTTTAGGGGCCGTAGGGTATGGTAGGCGATGGAGTAGCAAGGGAAGAAAAGAAAAGCAAGAGAGAAATAAAACAAGGGAAATAAATGGGGGAAACAATTGGGAAGCATAGGAAATGATGAACATGTTCTTCTTTTCTTCTTCCTATAGGCTTGAGAAAAAGGTTTTAGGGTTATTATAATGCTATAAATTAGGATTGTTCGATATTTCGTAGTAGTTTGTAATGGTGTGTATTATTTCCTTGAATTTTATAAATTTTGCTTTATTGCCTTGAACAACAGCCTCATATAATGTATGAAAAGTAAAGCAGAACCTCTATGACATAATCCATCCTAGGCTGTAATAACTTCTAAAAGATCTATGAGTCCTCTTTTCCTTATAATTTTGCCCTTCCATAATTAAAAACGCTTCAATTTCATATCGCTTTTATTTGCCCTCAGACAAACTTACCACCGCCCACTTGCCGCCCCAAGCCCATTTTCTGGCACCGGAATCGCCACCACCTCCCTCAGTGGCTCTCAGCTCCTCGTCTTTGCCAGCAGGAAGGTCGACAACAACATCAGCTTTGCATGTTCTCAGAGACAAGACGTTGACGCCGGAGCCAGGGCCCATGGGACCAAGAGCCTCGGTGAATGGAGTGGTAGCATCCCACCAAGCCTAAACAGAGTTAGCAAAACAAGAAGAAACTCTTTGTGAGCCAAGTCACTTACATCGCCAACCAGCTTTCGGTAATTCAAATCTCCCTTAAAGATGACGAGCTCAGCCTGCTTCAAGTCTTCGTGCAGCTCGGGAGCTTCATGCGGCAACCGCCAGAAAGAGCCGCCAGCAGTCCAATATCTGTTGGGTCGGATAGCCAGCTGGCCCTCGCCATGCAGAGTAGCCCAATCCTGGAAGACGTATAGCAAATCTTCAACCTCCTTGGGCGCCAGAGGCGCAGGCGTCTTTTCAGAAACCTTTTCTTCCTCAGTCGGGCTCTCGAAGAAGCCCTTGGGGTTGGCGAGGGCGCTGAGGAGGGCAGCAAAGTCTGCCGGGAGAACATCAGAGACAAACCAAGGGATTGACTTGGGGCGAAGAACAACATGGGTGGCAAGGCCAGTGTTGAGAAGGAAGCCAGCCAGAACCAGGTCGACGTAGAGCTCGAAGCCGGCATTATCGAGGACAAAGTCTACACGGCGCTCCTTCTTGCCTTCTACCTGGGCCTTCTTGAGCAAAGCAAAGGCCTCGGGAAGGTTGTTAACGAGGATGTTCTGTTCGGCGGCCTTTCTAGCCTCGCTGCCCTGCAGCTTCTGGATGTCCTCGTAGGTCATGTTGGTAAGCAGCGACAGATCAGTCGCATTGCCCCACAGGCAGACCTCGCACATCTCGGTGAACAGAATTTTTTCAGCCTCGGAGTCATGTGTAATATCCTTATCAGAGCGGATCTTCTTGATAATGTCTGCATATCGGGCGGCAAGCTCTACGACAGCGTTACGAGAGGTTCGGAAAGTATCAGTCTTCTGGCGGGCAAAGAGATCGTAGCTCTTCCAGTGGTTGGTCAGGGTGAAGAAGGTGCTAAGGCGTCTAAACGCGGAATCAGTGTCAAATGTTGAAAGTACGGATGATCAATTGGATTTGTAGCGTACCGGTACATGTAGCACTCGGCAAAGAGCCAGGGGACTTGGAACCAGGTGGGATTGCCCAGCTGCTCCAGCTCCTTGTTGTAGGCGGCGGTCTCGTCGGGGAATCCATCCTCAGGAATAGGTCTGTATAATATTAGCTTCACGTCAACTTGAGTGAAACCAAGGACCAAAACCCATACGTTAGCTGGCGATCATGCAGCATCTCGTACTTGAGGGCGCCGAGCTGCTCGATAATTTTCTTGCCCTCGGCCTGCTTCTCGGCATCATCCGTGCTAGAGATGGCCCTGTAGACGTCGTCGACGGCGCCGGTCTATAGAATAAGAATCCATTAGAATGAGAGTCCGACCGAGAGTTGAATGGCAGTCTGGCGAGAAGGAGGTCTCACAAGAATGACAGGCCATCGCGTGCGAACGGATTCGCTAGCAAAGGACTTGGGGTCGCTGGTGACGGATTTCGCTGTCGCATGTTAGCCGGCGCCTGATATATGAGCAAGAGCAACAATTGGGTTCTTTAATACGTGTCTTGGTATCGTATTCCATCTTGTCTTCAGTGATGGCCGAGTATTTGGCTTGCGACTGCGATCTGGGGGAATGTCGAGACCAAATACTACAGCAACGAACCGACTTTTGGAGGGGCTCAATACTACTAAGGCTTGGGAAAAGGTACAGCGGGATTGGCGGGGCACATGGCGGGGTCGCTTTAGGTACCTTGAGAGCGCGCAAGACTTAGCGGTGCATCAAAGTATATCGGCTGCTGCGTAGGGCGCAATTAATACCGCCGCCAAAGGGGCAATCCCGAGCTCGCGGATCCATGCCTGCGTCATACTAGAGGTGCTGATACTCCAGCCTGCTAACTGGCTGAGGCGTGATCAGCTTGTTGTCACGTTTGTGTGGTGGATCGAGGCATTAACGATGGTGAATGAGTTTGACATGTAGTGTAAAGATTGCTTCATAGTGCCTGAATATCTCAAACATAACCTCGAAGTATTGATGAAGCTGAAAAAAGTAGCCAAGGCCGTCAGTGATAGTCTCAATACATATTCAAGTACTATTTCAGGAGGGCCATGTCTCCCATGCCAAACCCGCCGTTGGATGATTAGACGAGCAAGCAGTAATGAAACTTGGATATCTCTTCAGCACAATGATAGCCTTCTAATTCGTTCGTTGAGACGGTGAATGCTATTCCAGCCGGCATGCCGTTTTCGTTGTCTGGGCCTATACAAGGTGAGATTCGATATGTGACATCTCACTTTCTTACGGTGGTCTACAGCCTTATTCAACATGTCAAGATTAGATTCGACGAGCTAATTTTCTTTACATTGATCAGTATTATTTAGAACTGAATAATACCAAAAAACTGCCGATAAAGAGGTGCTGTAATACAGAACGGTATAGGTACTTGGAGATGATTGATCTGCCAGCAGCAGCGAGAAGCTTACTTACAACAGGGGCTACAATTACTTAATGGAATTCAGACGCTGCAGACTCTCATACTGGCAGAAAGTATTCGCAAACTTTCGTATAGTTCAGTTTGTAAAAATGTGTGATTTATTAGAAAAACTAAAAGTCACAGAACAGCATTTGGGTACGAGCAAGCCAAGCCAATAATTCAACTACAGCATGTGAAATAGAGATCCGGAGCCCAGCATAGCACTTATAACAGTAAGTCGCAGCTCCATCAAACTCTTAAAATTAGCACAACTGCCGCTCGTACTAACTAAATGCAAACACCAAGATCTGCCCAAAATGATAAAAGCCATCTAAAAATGTATATCTACTAGTGTATAGAATTAGAATATACTTTCTTCGGGTTCTATACCTTAGTATCCTTGCAAATAAGCCTACAGAAACATGCAAACACAGCACATTGCCATGCCGGCAGCAGTACCATCATCATAAAGCTCATCCCGCTTACCAGCTCCTTTGTATTTCCCATTAATTACATGTACTTGTACTCTCGTTCCAGCATGCCAAACACCTCCAGCCCACGTGGTCAAACGTCACCCCATTCACCAACTAAAAATAAGACGCCATCCCAGCCCCTTTCTCAGTGTCTCTAACATCAACAGCAAACAAAAAGTTCAAACTTCCCTCTTCCATCTCCACCTCCACATTGCTTCTCCTGCAGCCCAGCCGCAGCCGCTTCCCCTAGCCGCCCCCACTAATAGCGCCCATCAGATCTCATTTCTGCCCATCTCCAATTTCATCCCAACCTCTTGCATCATACCGTCGCCATAGACGCATAGCTCTCTATATATCCAACACGACCAAATTTCAACATCCAACTTCACACATTTCAAGGAAAAAAGAGCAAAAACAACTGGCAGCTTCCCAAATCCAAAGCCATGTCCACCACAATGGCACCCACCAAAAATAGCAGCGATTCCAAAGCTGAAGACGCCCGCCAGACAGCTGCAAGCCTCCTATCCAGCGCATCGTCCTATGCGCATCGCTCCCTTGACTCCCTCATCTCGCCCTCAACTCGCCAACGCGCTTACGACACAACCGCTTCATTCGCCTCTGACCAGCCGATACTATTTGTTTGTGCTCCTCTTTCACAATAATTTATGAACAAAAAAAAAAAAATTACTTTGTAGCTAACAAAACTGCACAGTCATTCATCGCCTTTCAAGTCCTCTTCTCGCTGCTCCCCATCCTACTTTTCATCTCATTTGCCCTTTCCACCTTCTTTCTCACCCTTTGTGCAGCTGTCATCTTCACGCTCTTCTGGACCGGCGTCGCAAGTCTATTCTTGATTCCTACGCTATTCATCACATCGGCCCTTGCGGTGCTATGCTGGGGATCGTCGGTAGGGAGCTTTGTCGTCGCTAGATGGTTGTACCACCATGCGCCGGCAGGTGTTTTCCCTCACAGCAGCGGCACGTCATCGCCAGGAACCGACGTCACGTCTGATGGAGCATGGAAAGACGTTCAAGTCAAGCAATTTGACGATGTCAAGAGTCTGGAGTAATAGCTAGGCGAGAAAATATGAGTTTGGCGTGCTTCTGTGTATTAAATGATATCCTTGCGTAATTGGTCGTTGGCAGGCACACTATATGACAGAATTACTTTTTTGTGATTGCTTTGTGATTTGGTTTCTGATGCATTAACACGTACTTGAATGACGTTGCCGATAGCCTCAAGCACATCATGTTGCTATAAAAGATCCAGGCTATAGGCACCTCTCGCCCCATAAAGCGCTGCTACTACTACTATCGCTGATATAGTCCCGTTCATTACAGATATAGACCCTCCGGCTCACCCTCCTGCTTGGTACGCAATACCCGCTCTCGAGCAGACCTGAAATCCGCCATCTGAACGCGCATGCGCCGTTCACGCAGGGCCATCATACCAGCTTCTGAGCAGATAGCCTTGATGTCAGCGCCGGATAGATCATCCTTTTGTGAAATAAACTCGTCTAGGTCGACATCGTCGTTTAGGTTCATCTTGGAAGTGTGCAGGGTAAAGATCTTGCGCTTCGTGTTCTGATCGGGATTCTCAAACAGAATCTTTCGGTCAATTCGACCAGGTCGGATCAATGCAGGATCCAGCGTGTCAATCTTGTTCGTCGCCATAATAACCTTGACGTCACCACGGTCGTCGAAGCCGTCCAACTGATTGAGAAGCTCCAACATTGTTCGCTGAACTTCACGCTCTCCTCCAGATGTAGAATCGTATCGCTTTGTGCCAATAGCATCAATTTCGTCAATAAACACGATTGAAGGTGCGTTTTCTCCGGCAACCTAGCTTTTTGTTAGCATGACAAGTCACTGGATTGTTAGAATCAAGAAACAAAGGGGTTGACCAACTTGGAACAATTGTCGCACCAACCGGGGACCATCTCCCAGGTATTTCTGAATCAGCTCACTGCCGACAATACGCAAGAACGTAGCAGATGTCTGGTTGGCAACAGCCTTGGCCAACAGCGTCTTTCCAGTACCAGGGGCGCCATATAGAATGACACCCTTGGGGGGTTTGATGCCCATCTCCTCATACAGCTCGGGATGCAGTAGAGGCAGTTCGACTGACTCTCGAACTTCTTGAATCTGCTGCTCCAGACCACCAATATCGGCGTAGGATTCGGTCGGCGCCTTGTCGAGTTTCATCACGCTGACAATGGGGTCGGCATCATCGGTTAAAACTCCAACAATGCTGACGCTCTTATGGTGCAGAAGAACGCTGGCACCGGGCTCGAGAAGGTCTTTGTCTACAAAGCTCATGATGCTGACATAGTACTCAGGACCAGTCGTGCTGCTCACGATGGCATGGTCGTCGTCAATGAGCTCTTCCAGCGTACCGACGCTCATCGGGCTTCCTCTCATGTCGTCCACCCGGCCACGTTCATCAGCTAGACGATCAGCATCGACATCGGGACCGGCCGTTTGTCCTTCCTTGGCAGCCTTGGCCTTTCGTAGTCGCTCTTGGTTCTCGACGTATTCTTCTTCGAGGAGCAGGTGATCGTGGATTCTCTGCATGCGAAGCAGTCGAAGCTTGCATCGGCTCGTGGGGTAAACTGCTGGAAGCTTGGCAGCAGCGCTGCTACCGCCAGCCTTTCTCTTCTTGCGGCCGACCCGGGTTGTTGGCCTTGGCGGGGGTTCGTACTTGGGCTTGTCCTTCTACACAGGGTCTTAGTATTCGACTTCTATCGTCTTTCTCCGTCGATTTCAAGCACAGTAAAGGGATTGTATACCTTCTTGTCTTTCTCATTCCTTCCCCCTTCGCCTCCCATACCAGATGGTCCTTGACCCTAGAACAACAATTGTCAGCACAATGCAAAGGCAGGAAGGTCAAGGATGACGCAATAGAGCTCACCATTGTGACGAATCAAGCTCCGGAAAGCCCTGCTTTGAGGTGTTTTGATGATTCGCAGTCCTCCTCCAAGATGCACGTCTATATGAAAGAAGCGCAGTTGGAGAAGAGGCGTAATGGCTGATGTGATGGAGAGGTAACTCGCTACTTGACTAAGGCGATACGGCTCAGAGCATGCCAGGCTGCTCCGGCTAGGCGCCAGAGAGACACGACAGCTCCAGCCTAGTCACGTGCGTGCATCTGCCAGCTCTGCACGTGACTAGAGCAATGACATGAGAACGTCCAACCGTCAGCTTCGTTGATGAATTCTAAATTAGGTTCCAAAAGAGACCATCGACTCTACTAAGCCGCGATAGGACTAAATCTATGGAATTGAGATTGCCCAAATTGCCTGTCCTGTTTACCTATGCTTGTGTGAATGGATTCCAGTACGACATGGCCAACAACGTATCTACTCCCGCAGCTGAAAGCTCACATAAGCAGCAGCAGCTTGGCTAGACGCCTCCAATAAAGCTGCTGCAACGCACATGCATATTTGCATGGATTATATCTCCCCATGCTAATTGCTAGACTACCTCTACCTTTCCGCAGTAGAAAGCGCCAACATCTGCTACGCTGCTCCATCTCATCCAGCCACCTCGGCCGTGTTCGTTTCAGAGCGCACACGAGATTTTCCGATCCATGCTCGTTCAGCAGCCAAGGCCACTTTTGTCTGCTCTTGTAGGCGAGCAAAGACGCCAATTCGGAGCGCCGCAAAATGGGTTCCGCCGCCAGTTACCCACCTCGCTCTAGAATGCGCCGGAGAGTTTGCACCAAGCTCTTCGGTGATGATGCTCACATCTGATTCGGCGCAACGTCCGTCCCTGCGCTCGCCCACAGACGCACAGCCCGGCCAGCGTCAGCTCCCAGGCAACACTAGGCGCCATCCGGGTCGCTGTGCTCTGATTGCGAAGCCAGTGCAAGGTGCTGTTGACAAGCCTCAGCGCAGCAAAGTCAAGTCGCACCCCGCTAAGGCAAGTGGTGTCCCGCAGTGGGAGCTGGCCTGACGTCGATAGCCGCTGCCGCCCCTCACCCTCAGCCATGCGCTACTGAGAAGCTGCTGGCCTCGCTGCCTTTTCTGCTTCTACACATTCTGCTCTCTAAGGCAGCGTCTACACAGCGCCTCGACCTGCTTCTCGCCCCCAGCTGCTCAAGACGACTCGCTTTCCCGCCTCGACAAGCTCCATCAGTGTTTCGTTATCCAGCATCACGCACTCTGCTTCGACTGCGCTCCTTCGCCTTTTTTCTCCAACTGGAACCACCCGCTCCGTCCACGATAAACACGACGACCTTCAAACGCCATGTCGAGTAGCAGGGATCGCCGTGTCATCAAGGAGCTGCAGGACTTGACAGAGGACAAGGACAACTCGGGCATCCACGCCTCTCCCGTCAACGAGTCACTCACTCACCTTCAAGGCTGGTTCCATGGCCCCGGAGACACGCCATATGCGGGTGGCAAGTACTTTATTCGGATTACGCTCGACGGCCAATATCCATTCAAGCCTCCGCAGATGCAGTTTGAAACAAAAATCTGGCATCCAAATGTTTCCAGCCAGACGGTGCGTCCTCTCATCCCTGGATTCGTTACAGCTAGCTCAGCCTAGACCCCGCCTCTCCTGTCCCTGTAGTGTGTGGTGTGGAGGAGTAGAGCAGAATGATGCTGTGGTTTTCGATCACCTAGAAAGCTATATTTTCTTTCCTTTCTGACCCCAATATCTTCTCTCAGGGCGCAATTTGTCTCGACATCCTCAAAACAAACTGGTCACCAGTTCAGACTATAAAAACGGCGCTGCTTTCTATTAGAATGCTACTCGAAAATCCCAATCCGTCGGATCCGCAGGACGCCGAAGTTGCCAACATGTTATTGACCGAACCAGATGCTTTCGTTGTCATGGCTCACGACTGGGCTGTTAAATATGCTGGCGCTCCCCTACAGCCGCGACTAAATACAGCGAGATTCAACGGCTTGGCTAGGGTACAACCCCGGGGTGAAGATCAACGCCAGTATGTCCCGAGTAATGATGATGATGGAAAAGGTACAAGGAGAAGCTAATGCGAAATGTGTCATAGTTATCTTGGATACCACCGAGCGTTGGTTGAAAGATTCACAAGTATGGGCTTTGAAGTTGATAGAGTCGTGGAAACATTGGTGTATTTCGGTATTGATCGCAACAACGGCAGAGATTACCAATTGACAGATGCGCAAGTCGGTGACATTACTGCACGGCTGCTTGGCGAGCAGTAGTAACTGCAGTTAACCAGCGTCACTTATTGAGACAGTGAGAGGGCGACTATGGGCTGGAGTTTTATTCAAACTGATGCTTGGACTTTGATTATGAATTTTTTTCGTCTTGTTTTTTCCTTGTTCTTTTGTCATAATCCATATGATGGGGCTACTCCTTTACCATGAGACTACTGATTTGCGAAGCAGGTCAGCAGCCAGGCAGCTTGAAATCTCCAAGCGGTGTTCGGTTTTGAGGAGCCAGCATGAATACCTCCAAGAAGTGCATTCAATCGGGTATATCGTTCACAAAAATGGAGTTATGCGGTCCGGATTAGCATATTACACTTCGATAAAGCGTCTGATAATTTTAGTTATACTCGATTCTTTGAATTACAATAAATATTTTTTTGAAATCTGTTTGTTTTACATTCTTTAAGTGATTACCTCATCAACCTTTGCGTTTTTGATAGCAAGGGTTCGACTTTTTGATATAACTATCATCAGGACTCACCTGTTAGGAATGTAAACGATCTACTGCTAGACTTGAGAACGCGTAAGTGGTACAATTGCTCTCCCATGACACCTAATCTATCACGAATCTACGACAATAGACTAGAGTGAAAACAAATACAGCCCTTTTTCTATGAAGGAAAGGAGCTTGTTCTTCCGTTTCCCCTTCCTATCCACATGCTCCAGGAACCTATCAACATCCATTTTCTACAACCTCCACTCCCTCCATGTATAAACTTTTTTTCATGTATTTAATGAATTTTAAATTATGAATATGATTAAGTTAAAAGTCCACTGTCTTCATTTTTCTTACTGTAAATCATCTCATTTCGCCAATTTAAAAAAGAGGAGAAGGAAAAAGAGAGACTTGTAATTTTACAGCAGGTCGCGGCGGACAAACTCGTTGTAGAGGGCCTTGCCCAGACCAGCGGGCGAGCGCTCCACAATGACGCCGGCGTTCTCCAGGGCGGCAATCTTGGAGTCAGCACCACCCTTGCCGCCGGAGACGATGGCACCGGCGTGGCCCATTCGGCGGCCGGGGGGAGCGGAGATGCCGGCGATGAAGCTGACGACGGGCTTGCCGCCGTTGACGGTGTTGGCCTGCTTGAGGAACTCGGCGGCGTCCTCCTCGGCGGAGCCACCAATCTCGCCAATCATGATAATGCCGTCCGTCTCCTCGTCCTCGATGAAGACCTTCAGGCAGTCGATGAAGTTGGTACCGCTGAAGGGGTCACCGCCGATGCCGACGACGAGGGACTGGCCGAGGCCGGCCTGGGTGGTCTGGTTGACGGCCTCGTAGGTCAGGGTGCCGGAGCGGGAGACGATGCCGATGCGGCCGCGCTTGTGGATGAAGCCGGGCATGATGCCGATCTTGCACTGGCCGGGGGCGATGATGCCGGGGCAGTTGGGGCCGACCAGACGGGTCTTGGACTGGGTCTTGAGCATCTGGGTGATGCGGACCATGTCTGAAATTCGGAAACGTTTCGCCATGGTTAGCTATTGGGACGAAGAGATATAGACATCTATGGTGGGGCTAAGCTCTGACCATGTTGAGGAATTCCCTCGGTGATGCAGACGGCGAGGGGGATCTCAGCCTGGAGAGCCTCTTCGATACCGGCGGCGGCCAGAGGGGGGCTTAGCGATAGAGGGTCAGTATCAAGCGGCGATATAATATTCAGGATATACGAGGGTCGCATACGGGACGAAAAGCGCAGTGGCGGTGGCTCCAGTCTCCTTGACGGCGTCGGAGACGTTCTTGAAGACGGGCAGGTCGAGATGTGTCTGGCCAGCCTTCTTGGGGTTTGTTCCGCCAACAACCTTGGTTCCTAGACCGGCGCAGTGTGAGCATTCGCATCCAACGTTTGTGCGCAGCGATATTCCGAGGCTTTATCGTACCGTACTCAATGGCTTGCTGGGCGTGGAAACTGCGCATTTACACAATTAGCATCCACTTCGCACCATCATAGCCGTTCCCCCCTCCTCAGATCTCCTGTCTGCGAGCCGGTGCCGAGCAACATACGTTCCCTGCTTTCCAGTGAAGCCTTGGAAGATAACCTTGGTCTCGCCGTTAATGCGCAGGTTCTCGATGGTCTTGGCGTAGGGCGAGCTGGCCGAGCTGTAGCCACGGCGGGCAGCGTTGCGCAGCGCCGCAGAGCGCGCGGCGGTTCTGGGAATGGCCTGCATGGTTGTGAAGGAGGGAGGAAGAAAAGAGGGAAAAAGGAGAGGAGAGATTTCCGAGATTTTTTGGGGAAAAGGAAGCGCCGCGAATGCAACGCTGGAGGGGAGGAAGAGCGAATTGGAGAGGTTTTGAAGCTACGTCGATACGGCAGCAAATTACCGGCTCTGGCAGCTCTGAATTCGGGTGCTGCCGGGGGCCCGGCAGTTTGCTTTTTCCGAAGCGGCACGTTTTTTTTTCTTGTGGTTGATTTTTGGCGCGGAGGGATACGGTGAGGGGCAACGTGCATGAAGAGAAACGGAACTAAGCGGGTTAGGATTTACAGTTTCAAATGGATACGCTTTTGGCGTCCGTTTCAAACCTTGAAAAATCGCCCCCACTAGAGCGATAGTCCACCAAAAGTTCTTATCGAACATCAACGGGAGGGGCACTAAATATCAACATTCTGTTGCTTCAAAGACGCCTGAGCCGACCTTTTGAAAATTGATTTGTCGCCATCATTGAAGAGTAAACAATCAACTGGAAAGAAAATCAACGAATATGGCGACGGCCACGATTACGGCGACTGCTACGTCGCAGAAGAAGACCGTCGCACTTGCGCCAGAGAGCGAGCGCTTCTTGCGATGCTGCGCAGATCTCGCCAACGCTTTGATTGAAGATCATGAGGCAACGAAGAATGGACGACCAGGAAGAGATATCAACCTCAACTCTCTGCGAGCGAAGCTGGCGAAGAGGCACAAGCTGGCCAACATTCCTCCTCTTACGGCCATCATTGCTGCAATTCCCGAACACTACAAGAAATACATCCTCCCTAAGCTGATCGCAAAGCCGATTCGTAAGATTAAGATGAATTCGAGAATGTACTGGAATATAAAGCTAATTTGACAACAGGAACATCTTCTGGTATTGCCGTTGTCGCTGTCATGTGCAAACCGCATCGATGCCCACACATTGCATACACTGGCAACATTTGCGTTTACTGCCCAGGAGGACCTGATTCAGATTTCGAGTACAGCACACAGTCTTATACCGGATACGAGCCCACTTCAATGAGAGCTATTCGCGCTCGTTACGACCCATTCGAGCAGGCGCGAGGCCGAGTGGACCAGCTCAAGTCTCTAGGACACTCTGTGGACAAAGTTGAATATATCATCATGGGAGGAACCTTTATGTCGCTGCCTGAGTCATACCGAGAAGACTTCATCGCCCAGCTACATAACGCCCTGAGTGGATATCAGACTTCCAAAGTTGACGAGGCGGTCGAAGCCGGAGAGATGAGCAACATCAAATGCGTCGGCATTACCATCGAGACACGGCCGGATTACTGCCTGCAGCCGCATCTTACGGACATGCTGAGATATGGCTGCACACGGCTAGAGATTGGAGTGCAGTCTCTGTATGAAGATGTTGCTCGAGACACAAACCGAGGCCATACGGTGGCGGCCGTGGCAGAGACGTTCTGTTTGGCCAAGGATGCCGGCTACAAGGTCGTCAGCCATATGATGCCTGATTTGCCCAATGTGGGGATGGAGCGTGATCTCGACCAATTCAGAGAGTATTTTGAAAACCCTGCTTTCAGAACTGATGGTTTGAAAATTTACCCGACTCTAGTCATTCGAGGTACCGGTCTTTATGAGCTGTGGCGGACAGGAAGATATCAAAATTACACACCCAACGAACTTATCGATCTGGTGGCACGGATAATGGCTCTCATTCCTCCGTGGACTCGTATCTACCGTGTCCAGCGAGATATACCCATGCCACTGGTGACCTCTGGTGTCGAGAACGGAAATCTGCGCGAGCTGGCCTTGGCAAGGATGAAGGATTTCGGTACCACATGCCGAGACGTAAGAACCAGAGAAGTCGGAGTCAATGAAGTCAAGCACAAGATTAGGCCAAATCAGATCGAACTGGTCCGCCGGGACTATGCTGCCAACGGCGGATGGGAGACGTTCCTCGCCTATGAAGATCCAAAGCAAGATATTCTGGTCGCTCTCCTGCGACTCCGAAAATGCACCGAAAAGTATACTTACCGGGAGGAGCTTATTGGTCAGCCTACCAGTATGATTCGAGAGCTTCACGTTTACGGCACTGCGGTACCAATTCATGCGCGTGACCCGCGCAAGTTCCAGCACCAAGGTTTCGGCACCCTGCTTATGGAAGAGGCGGAGCGGATAGCAAGAGAGGAGCACGGCAGTGACAAGATTAGCGTCATCTCGGGTGTTGGTGTGAGGAGCTATTACAAGAAGCTCGGCTACTGGCTAGATGGACCGTATATGAGCAAGTGGCTCGACGGACGTGAGCAGAAGCCATGAGTAGTATACCATGACGGTCATTCGGGGTTGCAAGTTGGATATCAAAATTTGCGGGTTATATGGCGCAATGGGTAAAGATACTAGAAACATGCTTGGACGGTTTTGTGGAACATAGTTAGCATATATATGGTATGATGGAATTTGAAATTGACATAACGAAACTTCCCAGTTCCGCTTTTATCTCTTGCAACGTCCAAAGGTCTATCTACTGAAGTTCAGCAAAAGAAATACATAAATGCTGGCTCTTGTGTATGTATGCAATTGCATTTACAGAAGAAAAATATTCCAAAAGAAAAAAGAAAAAAAAAAAGAAAAAAAAACCCCCATGAATTCTCCGCCACATTTTTGTGGCGACCGCAAAAAGAATGCTCACGGCAGGGCTTGAACCTGCGGCCTCCGCATCACTAAGATTTCAACTGACGCTGAAGTATTAGTACGAAGCTCTAACCAACTGAGCTACGCGAGCGTCTCTTGGTTAAGAGACTCATCCGGCATTTAGCCTTATAAACTCTACGCCCCACTCTGTCGTACTTGATGGGCACTTAGTCTGATTCTCGGCTGTGAAGCGCCGGGATGGACCTAAATAAAGCTGTTTGTTATAAGTTCTTACAAGAAGCGTGCAGTAAACACAGCGTGAAGTTTAATGCCTAGAGCTTGAAAAGGAGGGTAAGAGGGATGGTAAACAATAGTACTCCGTATTCCATTTACAGGTAACTTTTGGCAAGTAGCCCATTTACTACCGATGTTGGACCCCATTGGTTCACGATCACCGGTAATTGCAGCTGTAACCTCCACCTCAAGCCTCCCAACCTCACGCCCTCACATTCCAACACCCCAGTACCTCATCTGCCCCGGATCTCATTCGAAGCGCCCTCCTACACTTCCGCTGCAACGCGATTGCCGTCGGTGTCTACACTCTTTCATGGATGACCCAGACCCCGAAACTTTTGGTCCCCTCGTGGCCATTACGGCAGAGTCTCTCGTCCTTCTCGCTTCCAACATTGCAAGCCGATGCCTGCATCTACCCAAGTCTAGTGGCAAGCTTATTGCACGAATTAGCGGCTCATACAACATCACTTATGTTGTTGAATTAGAGAGTGTTAAGCTCGTGATCCGAGTTCCTGCCACGGGCTGGGGTTCCGGAATGACACTGACTGCAGCACGCGCTATGGAATCACAAGTTGCCACGATACGCCTCATTCGGAGCAAAACTACGATTCCAGTGCCAGAAATATACGCCCTGGACACTACTGACAACAACGAGATTGGTGCGCCGTATCTATGCATGAGCTTTATAGCCGGGAAACCCGTGTCTAAGGTTTGGTTTGACGACTCAGGCATCTTGCCACGAGAAGAGTTGCGCTTGAGGATTCTGACAAGCATCTCACGGATCATGGCTCGGTTCTCCTGTTTTACCTTTGACAAAATGGGGTCTATTATGGAAGACGGATCTGGCTCAACTGTCATTGGGCCTTTGTACGACTGGCGCGAAGAGGAAGATGGCGGGCTTCAGGTTGCCACTTCAGGTCCATTTGACTCTACCTCTGCGTTTCTCCAGGAAAGTATGATTGCAAGCTCCAACGAAAATGTATGGGACAAAGCGGAGGCGAAGGTGTTTGAAGCCATTGTAGATTGCGGACCAACACTTGATTCTCCGCCTGGTTTTGTTCTATCTCTCCCCGACTTCGACTCGCAGAATGTCATGGTGGATGACCAAGGTACTGTTACCGGACTTATTGACTGGGACCTCGCCCAGACAATGCCACGATTTGTAGGATATGCCAGATATCCAGGATGGATCACGCGCGATTGGGATCCTCTGATGTATGGTTGGCCAAAGATAGCCGAATCGGAGGACTCTCCAGAGACACTGGGACGATATCGAGCATACTACAACGCAGAGCTGGGCAAAGCTCTTGAGTGGTCGGGCGACTGGCAATTCACGGAGAAATCCCACATGGCCGAGGCAATTTGGATTGCCGCACTACACCGCAACAATCGCATGGAGATATGTCGCAAATTTATTCAGGTTGCTACAGGCGATGACACTGAATCTCTAGACGCCCTCTACGATATCGGGGCGGGGTGTTATGGAGAGGAAAAGTTGAGTATCTTTAAAGACAACTTGAAGCGCTTAATACGCCGTGAAGCGCTTGATACGTCGACGTTGATTGGCGAATTATGATTTTGGCCGTTATTAGTCAATGCGACATAAGTATTTATCTTTATGAACCTAGGAAAGCTGTTTGAAGATAAATGCCACTTTTCCAAATAATCTCCTCATATTGGCAGGCGTCATAATGGCATGACCGGGAATGATAGGGTGTCTTCCATTCAACTCACTCCAAAGCACACTTATTTGTCGCGTCGACAGCAAACCCACGTCACCACCTTCGGACACAGAAGCGATGCCCAACACCTGCTCTGTCTTCTGTAGTAGATATTCAATAACTTCGCAAAACAGCATACCCTGTATACACGGTTTCTCCACGGGTGTTCCCCCAAACATAAGACCAGGAATAGGGGCGATGGGGTCAATATCGATTCGCTCGACCCGAGTGGTGATGTATTCGAGGATCAGCTCATAGATCGAAAGCATCTGGGTAAAGATACTCGTGATGGTGAGCGCGAGAGGCGCGGACAATGGCTCTGAGGTGGCGACAGGGGAGGATAAGATGGAGTTGGAGGATAGATTGAGGTGATTGTTTTGAAGCAACTTTGAAAAGGGTGTATCTGCGGTATCTGAAGCACACAGTAGGCCAAGTGATGACCGGCTGCCGAGAAGCCTCGTGAGAATCAACAGAAAGTCTTGAGATGTCTTGAGCATGAATTCGGCCAGGGTCAGATTGTCGATGCACAATGGGCTTTTCTGATAGGTTACGCTATTGAAGTCTAGAGTAGTTATATGCATCTTGATAGTTGTAACACAGATGTGCAAATCGATGTTCATCTTGGAAAGCCTGCGTAAATCATCGGAGGCATCGAGGACGTCTGCTGTTTCCGGCCCTGGTATGGCTATGGTCTCGATCGGAGCAAAGGGAGGGCTGTTGGCGGCTGATGCCGTTCCCGCGGGCGTCTGGAGCGAGCGTGGAGTTGGGATTGCGATGCCTGGGTCGTAGCTAAACAAGGAGTTGGTCTGATCAAAGTTAAAGTTGGTATCCCATGAAGTCGAATATGGGTCGAGTGAGTCCATTCCAGTGGTTGGCCACGTCAGGGCCTGAGTGAATGCATCATCCATTGCCCTAGCAGTGACTTGGGCTGGGGACATGGCCCTGCTCCAATCCAACTGCGGTCCCCCTTCGTGGAGTGAATCATCTCCCTGAGCTATGCCAGAAGGCTTTGGCCGCCGTGGTCTTCCGATTTTCCTCTGCGATCCGGTGATGCACTCCACGCTGAGCATGGTGCACCTTGCGCATTTCAAGTCATCTCGATCCAGGCGCTGGCATCTCGACTTGTTTTTCCTGCAGGCCTGACAAGAGAAGCGTCTTTGCGATGGATGAATCGATGTGAGGCCCATGACAAGATGCTCCTAGCGAGATACTGAGTGAGGTATGTGAATGTGAATGAGCCTGGATCGGGGTGACACGGGATGCGTGCTAGGGAAATGACATGGAGTCTCTTAAAGCCTCCGCGGACGGTTTTGCAAAGCCGCCGGCAACTCATCCTAGTCGAGCCTATCGAACTCTGTTTGGATTAGGCAAATTGATGATTAGTGATGGTTGGGTATAGGGCAGATAAGCTCTGTTAATGGAATATTCCGATTGTATTTTCGATGTTAGATTGGCGGTATGTACCTAGTAGAGCTTTACCGTCAACCACTTAGAAGCTGAACCCTCGTCGCGCGATCTGGACGGCGGGACCAGTGGATATGAGATCCAGCACGCTACAGTGCAGCGATATCATGCAAAGCCTCCGGTGCACGCTCCACGCTCCGGAGGCTTTGATGCTGAGAAATTGATCAAAGTTCCGCCTTCCGGCGACAGAAGTTCTTACGTTGCCTTTGCAATCACAAGCTATGGCTCAATTACAATCAGGGCGCTCCGCATGTCCGCAATCTCGAGGGCTTCTTATATATGCCGGTATGAATCTGCCGGCCTTTGCATTCGGCCCATACAGCCATCGCTCATTCCACATGGCATGTTCTTTCGAGAACAGCTTCCAAATCTCGAAATGAGCCTCAGTTCGTCAGCCGTGGATAGTGATTCCATCACAGCCAAAGGAACACCTTATACCCACAAAGTCGAGTCTGATGGAGAGAAAGCAACCCCCTCCCGCAGCCAGACGACATGGCACATGGCACCCGAGCTTGAATCGATACGCATACGAGATGAGCAAGGCGGCGAGAAACCCAGGAAACTCGGCGTGACCTGGCAAAACCTCACTGTCACAGGCATCAGCAGCGACGCCACGTTCAACGAAAATGTCCTCTCCCAGTTTAATCTCTTACACAAGGGCAACAAAGGAGCTCTCACGAAGAAGATTATCGATAACTCGTATGGGTGTGTCAAGCCCGGAGAGATGCTGCTTGTTCTTGGACGTCCTGGATCAGGCTGCACGACGTTGCTGAGCGTGCTCGCAAACAATAGGCGCGGCTACGAAGAGGTCACCGGAGACGTCACTTTCGGTAACATGTCCGCAGATGAAGCAAAAGAATATCGCGGCCAGATCATCATGAATACTGAAGAGGAAATCTTCTTCCCAAACCTGACTGTTGAGGATACCATTGACTTCGCCGCCCGCATGAAGGCCCCCTATCACCTGCCCCCGGGAATCAAGACACACGAGGAATACGCCCAGTCCTATAAGGACTTCCTCCTACGGTCGGTAGGCATCTCTCACGCGGCCCATACCAAGGTGGGAGACGCCTTTATCAGGGGTGTCTCTGGAGGAGAGAGGAAGCGGGTGTCTATTCTGGAATGCTTGACGACGCGCGCAAGCGTCTTCTGCTGGGACAGCTCTACCAGAGGCCTCGACGCCAGCACAGCTCTTGAGTGGCTCAAGGCAATCAGAGTCATGACAGATGTGCTCGGCCTCACCACCATCGTCACGCTCTATCAGGCGGGCAACGGTATCTACGAACACTTCGACAAGGTACTCGTCCTTGATGAGGGCAAGCAGATTTTCTACGGGCCTCAGCGCGAGGCTGTGCCGTTTATGGAGGGCCTCGGTTTCATGCGAGACTCCGGCTCCAACCGCGCAGATTTTCTGACGGGCGTGACAGTTCCCACTGAGCGCCTCGTTGCCCCTGGATATGAAGATACGTTCCCGCGGACTGCGGATGAAATCCTTGCGGCATACAACCAATCTCTGATCAAGCTGAGCATGCTAGATGAATGCCAGAGTTACCCAGTGAGCGAGGAGGCGGCGGAAAATACAGCCGTCTTCAGAGAAATGGTCGCTCGCGAGAAGCACAGGGGCGTGCCCAAGAGATCGTCAGTTACTGCCGACTTCTTGACGCAAATCAAGGCGGCTGTTATCAGGCAGTATCAGATCATGTGGGGAGACAAGTCGACGCTGTTCATGAAGCAAGGCGCAACGGTTATCCAGTCTCTTCTCGGCGGCTCTCTCTTTTACTCTGCTCCCAACAACTCGGCTGGCCTCTTCCTCAAGGGCGGTGCGCTGTTCTTCTCCATCCTGTACAATGCTCTGATTGCTTTTTCGGAAGTTACAGACTCTTTTACTGGTCGACCCGTTCTAGCCAAGCATCGCTCCTTTGCCTTGTATCACCCAGCCGCCATCTGCATTGCCCAAGTCGCTGCAGACTTGCCCATACTCCTATTCCAGGTTTCACACTTTGGTCTCGTTCTCTACTTCATGGTCGGTTTGAAGATGACCGCAGCAGCTTTCTTTACTTATCTGGTCACCAACTACATGACGGCCTTGTCCATGACGGCTCTCTTCCGACTCATCGGTGCCGCGTTCCCCACCTTTGACGCCGCGTCCAAGGTCTCGGGCCTTTCAACCGTTGCCTTGTTTGTCTATATGGGTTACATGATCATCAAGCCCGAGATGCATCCGTGGTTTGGCTGGATTTTCTGGATCAACCCCATGGCCTACGGATTTGAAGCTCTTCTCGGAAACGAATTCCATGGCCAGCATATTCCCTGTGTTGGCCCAAATCTTATACCCAACGGTCCTGGCTACACTGAAGGAATTGGCGGGCAATCATGTGCTGGCGTTGGCGGCGCATTGCCCGGTGCCACGAGCCTCACAGGCGATGACTACCTGGCGCATATGTCCTTCAGTCACCGCCACGTCTGGCGCAACTTTGGCATCAACTGCGCGTGGTGGGTTCTGTTTGTTGCCCTCACCATCTTCTTCACCTCCCGGTGGAGGCAGCTGGGAGAAGGGGGCCGCAATCTCCTTGTTCCTCGAGAGCAGCAACACAAGTCGAAGCATCTGTTTGCATCCCGAGACGAGGAAGAGCGAGTTACCGAGAAGCCCGCGGCCGAATCTGGAACCGCCACACCGGACGAAAACCTCGGCAACGACCTCCTACGCAACCGAAGCATCTTAACCTGGAAGAATCTGACGTATACTGTCAAAACCGCCGACGGTGACCTCGTCCTTCTTGACAACGTACAGGGCTACGTCAAACCCGGTATGCTCGGCGCGTTGATGGGGTCTTCTGGTGCCGGCAAGACAACACTTCTTGACGTCCTCGCACAACGGAAAACCGAAGGCACTATTCACGGATCCGTCTTGGTCGATGGCCGTCCTATTCCTATTTCTTTCCAACGCTCGGCCGGTTACGTCGAACAGCTGGATATCCACGAGCCTTTGGCGACTGTACGCGAGGCTCTTGAATTCTCAGCCCTCTTGCGCCAGTCTCGCAACACATCTACCGAAGAAAAGCTGCGATATGTAGACACCATTGTTGGCCTCCTGGAACTAAATGACCTCGAACATACGCTCGTGGGTCGTCCAGGTGCCGGCCTCTCAGTTGAGCAACGCAAGCGTCTTACTATTGCCGTAGAATTGGTAGCGAAACCGGAAATCCTCATCTTTCTCGATGAACCTACGTCCGGACTTGACGGCCAGGCCGCTTACAATACCGTACGCTTCCTTCGAAAACTTGCAGATGCCGGACAAGCTGTCTTGGTCACCATCCATCAGCCTTCGGCACAGCTTTTTGCGCAGTTTGATACTCTCTTGTTGCTCGCAAAAGGCGGAAAGACTGTATATTTTGGTGATATTGGCCAAAATGCAAACACAATCAAGGACTATTTTGGTCGTCGTGGAGCTCCTTGTCCTCCTGAAGCAAATCCTGCCGAGCACATGATTGATGTAGTATCAGGGAATGGGCACCCGGATTGGAATCAAGATTGGAATCATATATGGCTGCAATCACCCGAACACGACCAGCTCTCCAAAGACCTGGACCGGATTATCGCAGAGGCTGCCGCTCGACCTTCGGGGGCCAGTGATGACGGACACGAGTTTGCAGCTTCCATGTGGACGCAGGTCAAACAAGTAACCCATCGCATGAACATCTCCCTCTTCCGGAACACCCAATACGTCGATAATAAGGTCGCCATGCACATTAGCCTGGCGCTCTTAAACGGCTTCACCTTTTGGATGATTGGCGATAGTCTCACAGACCTTCAGAAGAACCTCTTTACCGTTTTCAACTTTATCTTTGTTGCGCCAGGCGTCATTGCCCAGCTGCAGCCTCTCTTCATCAGCCGCCGCGACATCTATGAGGCACGAGAGAAGAAGAGCAAGATGTATCACTGGGCCCCCTTTGTGACCGGTCTCATCGTCTCGGAAATTCCATATTTACTTGTTTGTGCGTTGTTATATTACGTCTGCTGGTACTTTACTTGTGGCCTTCCTACCGCACCAGAGCATGCTGGCAGTGTCTTCTTCGTCGTGGTAAGACCTCCTCCGTACTATTGCAGGGGCATATTTAACAGTCTTGTAGGTCATGTACGAGTGTCTTTATACTGGCATTGGGCAAATGATTGCCGCGTATACCCCCAACGCCGTGTTTGCAGCTCTTGTCAACCCCCTAGTTATTACAAGTCTGGTCTCATTCTGTGGCGTCATGACACCCTACAGCCAAATCCAGGCGTTCTGGAGATACTGGTAAGTGAATATTCTACTGTTACATTGATGATACCTTGGTGGTTCCAGCAGTTTCTAACAGTCTCACTTGCCAGGATCTACTACCTTGATCCTTTCAACTACCTCATGAGTTCTTTGCTCGTCTTCACTTCCTGGGATAAGCCTGTCCGCTGCAGATCCGATGAACTTGCTGTATTTAATCCAGCCCCCAACCAGACCTGTCAAGAATACCTTTCTGTTTACCAGCAAGGCATGGGCGCGGCTATAAATCTCCTGAACCCAGAGGACACCGACGCTTGCCGTGTGTGTCAGTACACCCAGGGTGGCGATTATCTCCGGACCCTTAACCTTAATGAGAAATACTATGGATGGAGAAATGCCGGCATTGTTGTTATCTTTGTGATTGGCTGTTACGGGCTCGTGTTCGTCATGATGAAGCTCAGGACCAAGGCGACCAAAAAGGCCGAGTCTTAGATCAAGGCGCCAAAGTGGGAATATGATGATAGTCATCTATGCCGCCGCACCATTTCTATTCTATTCTCTTCGCTCTCATTATATTTCCACAGTCGTTATCATGGCCTATATTGGAATCATTGCTTACTATTACTGGGATTACTGGATTATTCGTTTTTCCTCGGAACTCTCTGTATTATAGATAGACTACACCTCTTAGAACCGCCACAGATAGAAATTAAATCTAGTTCCATGCGCTTATCTAGCTAACCTTCAAGGAGATGCCTTCTCCCACTTGCGATGGTATAATGAGTCCTTCACGCAGCCAGTTGCCAATACGTCCAACCGTTACAGGTTAGCGCATGGCATCCTTTCCCGATCATATGAATATAATTGCTAATTCGAGGGCGTTGCTGTTGCTGTCCCTTGCATTCACACCGTCGTACATGTGAAACATAGCGGAATCGAAAATACCCAGTCTTAATAATGACCATTCTCCCGCTGAGGCTTTGCCATAGCCAAGTTCATTTGGCCGGTCACTACATCGAATGCTTCAATTGCGACGGTGGCAATCCTTGCTTCACGGAGAAGGGCTTGAAATAGATCTCCTCGCGTATTATAAGAACCCGCTCCATGCTTAAGACTAGCCTAAGTGCGAGGATCCCCGGCTATATTTTGTAAGTTTGAGGCCATATGGTAGTGCTCCCGCCACAAATTAGAAATGGCCGCCGTCAAGACAAAATCTCCTAGCTACTGCCTCTATAGCATTTGATACCTGAGATGATGGATACATGTAGCCACCCTCCACATCAAGTCGTTTCTTTACCGCGCTTGATGGGATCGCCATCGGATGGTGGCTGGGACGCCCATGTTAAACCGGGTCTTACACGGATTTGCTTGAACCAGGGTCTGGTTTGGCGCGCAACGGCGATGGTGCTGGAGAGCAGGTATTGGGTGCAATGGATAGACAAAACTCTTTACAAATTAGAGACACTTTTGAAAAAATCACGATATTTGGAGATGTCCAAATATGAGTCGCAGCACAAGCGTGGAAGCGCTCGAATTGGCAAATCTCTTGAAAGTATTATGTCATTAATTACAATGCCATAAAATTGCTATTTGCTTTTTACTTTTCTTCTTTTCTTTTCGAATCCAAAGTGTTTTCATTGCCTTCTATTAAAATTAATATATATTTAGCCGCCGCCCGATTTCTCATTATCGCCAACGAACCAACGTATATACACACCCCTTATTCATCCCTGATATTGACGTATTCCCTTTTCACTCCTCATTCAACCCATTCATTCCAAGAAGTTCTAAAGACTCCGCTCAAGGCCTCTGAAGATTTCGCCGCTGCACCCAGCCCTGCCAGGATAACGACCATATCTTCCCGAGCCGACCACATCGCCATCAGCCCTTCTTCAGCTACGCCGCTGCCTCCGACCCTGTCAGATTAACGACCATGCTAGAAGATGAACCAATCGGCATGCGAGCCGTTAGTCGAACAAGAAAGACTGCCCGCTGCCCCCGGCCCTGCCAGGTTAACGGGTATGACTCCAAAGTCGACCAGCACTTGGCGCTGAAGCCCCTTAGATCTTGCTTTGAATTTCATGGCATGATGAACAGAGACCAGAACTATGTCCGCTTTATATTCCCAACGGCGCGGGCCACGGAATCATCACCAAGAAACCACAGTTCCTGTCCAGCGTCTCTTCTAGACGACCGTGTGGAGCGTAAAAGCCGTTGTGTGGGCGGCGAGGGGTTTCGCTCTTGGGGGGTTTTCCGTCGAGATTGTTTCTTCGGCGATGATGGATTTTGCTCTTTGATTGAGCGTCTCTTGTCGACTCGTTGTCGGTTCGAGGTTCGAGGCTTCTTTTGAAGCTTTCTTTTGGGTGATTTCCGTTCTGCTGCTCTAGTAGAAGTCATGGTAGTACGTTCATCCGCAAGGTCATCATCATCTGCTTGTGTAATCTCCTGATTTGCTTGAGTGATCTCTGAATTCCTCCCTGATGGCGACCGACTAGGCTCTTCTGTGTAGAAGGCTCTGTTTGGGTCAATGAATTGGTGCGCCGTGTGTAAGTGGGCAAGTTCTCCGTCGTAATCTTGTACGGGTATCTGCGTCATATCATGGATCTCAGACAGAATAGACGGGCTGCGATCCACTGTATCTCTTTGATTTCTGTCTGAAGGTGATTGGGTGGGCTCTTCTATGTAGAAGGCTTTGTTTGGTTCGAGTACAGGGTTCCCTTGTATTCGATCCTCGTCTACCGCCTCTGGATCGTAGTTGGAAGGCACTGCAGTAGAGGGAATACTAGAGTCTCTCTCAGTTGACGAGGGGGCTCTACCTGGTTGATCTTGATTAGCTGATCGTCTTGGAGATTGCCTTAACCTCTTGCTTGGACTGTCAGTTGTTCTAGCCCTTTTCTTCCCTCTTTGTCCTGAAAAATCGTCCACTGATTTTCGCTTCTTGCGACGCGCAGGAGTCGGCGCAGCCTCTGGAGCCCCTGATTGGTCTTGCCCAACAGCAAGTCTCTCTGAATCGACATCTTCGGCGCCAACGTCTTCTCTGGCCATGCGCCGTCTCTTTCCAGTAGATCTAGGCGCATCTTCGTCAATTCTCTTCTTTCCGACTTTTGAACTCTCGGCTGTTTGTCCCGGCGGCAGCCTGTCGGCTTGGTGCGGGCCGATCCGCCTCGAGGACGATGCGGGCTCTGGCTTCTCAGTAGCAACTGCTGAAGCCGCCGGGCTTTGTGAATTTGAATACGGCGCATTGCGAGGCGACTTCCGCTTGCTGCGTGTTATTCTGGAAGATGCACTGCGTGGTGAGCCTGAAGAAGTCGCCTCGATGGCTCCAGATCCAGACGCGGCGGCTGCGCGCTTAGCGGCCCGCGCCCTCCTCATCCTCTCGATGCCTTCATCTGCCCGGCGTCTAATCCTCTCCTGTTCTTCTCTTTGGTCTCTAACATAGCCGTCAAAAAACGTTACCAGATTGTCAAATGACATGCAGCGCGCATATTGAAGAAAGGCGAACTGCCGCTGGGCCATCGAGTCATTTTTGGTACCTGGCTTCATCTTGACATCACGGGTCTCTGGATCGTAGCACAACTGGCAAGATAGTAAAGTAGGGAACGACACAAGTAAAGTACTGACTTCATCCCACCCTTCAGACATTTCTTCTATTCGCTGAGCCTTGCGTTGTTCTAGTTGCGAGTAAAACTCGTCTATTGTATCTGAGTTATCAGCACATTCATACACATCTCTGTGGAATGCAGTAGGGTCTTGTAAAGGAAATGGTCTGGTATTAAAGCGGTCATGAAGCGTGGTAAAAAGATCGTTTGGGTCGAGGGGGAATTTGGCAAAAGGCCAATACCACTCCAAATCACGTAGATAATCGGGCTTGGGAAGTACAGGATCCATTTGAAATTGAATAATGATAATCAATCGGCGTATATACAGCTTGCTGGAATTGATTGGGGCGGTGGTAGCACAACAACAGTCGACCCCCATAACTCACGTGATGGAAGCTGGGGATAAGCGCGCGCACATATTGGAAAGAAAGCGCAAAATTCAGGAATGTTGGAGGGGAACAGAATAGGAAGTTGGATGTTGGTTGGAGACTGACTGGAAAAATGTTGGACTGGATACGAATCGGCTAATTCATAGACCTTCATGTAGTGAAAGCATAAACCCAATTACAAATATCATACAAAATAAAGTTCAATTTGACTAAAACGTCGTGGGCGATTAAACGAAGCTATAACCAGATTCTCGAGCCACTTTATTGTTAGCTCAGGTCTTATTTAAAGTTTCTACCGAGACAAACAAAATAAAGTACATATCGAACACATAAAGATAAACGTGTGATTGAAGACAATATTTGGTGTTTCAACATACCTCCAAGCTTTTATCAAGATTTTCAATCGTTGTTCCAGTAAGTATTCTTGAATTACAACCTTGTCCATTGTCTTAGGTATAGATATCCACAACAGAGGTAGCTACTAATTCTGTGCCTGCAAACTATTCTGACGATGCTATTCAATCTTCGGTTCGACCTCTTGAAAGATCCAAAAGTGCTTAAAAGCCCTGTATCAAGTATAATCAGAAAGTAAGCAACTATAAATCTATTTTTCAATCTATTATTGCAATCAACAGCTGATCAATGAAAGTTGCCAATATTGTCACTACCTAGAACTGTCAATCGCTTGGATCGAAATCTTATGGAGCCCTGGTGTGCTAAAACCTAGAATCCAGGGGCTGTCATACTCGCTAGCAGTGCCCACACCACGAGCAGAACATCAATGGCTAATGCATACTGGAACAAGTGTAGATGTGGCTATATCTGCGGAGGAGACTAGTCGAATCTCGCAAATGTTACCTTTTGTGCCACGTCAGAGAAACTCCTGCAGTCATGAGCTGTTATGCAGCCACGGCAACACATATTGGTCCAGCTGCATTAGGATGGCTGCCACGATCGGCATCGTTGCCACTGAACCCACTCATTCAACTCTTGCAATTGCTCGTGCAATCTCGCTCTACCTTTCCTCCCTTGCTGACTGCAGCCATTCAAAGGCTGGCAGGTCTTGAGACCCCTCACTCCATGGCCAATGGGCAATGGGCGGTAAGAGCCGGGGCTTTTGCACAGATGGCGTAGCTCAGATTGAGGCAATAGCCTGCTATCCGAATATGGCGCTATGATCTTTGTAGCACTGTCTGTTCTGTTGCTCGCAGTCTGAAAGCATTTGAAGTTGACATGCGGCAGTCAGGCGCCAATTCAGAGTGTGGTTTCGGTGGAGAGTTTGAAACGCGACTAACATGACACTGTACGATTACAGCAACCTAAAAGTTGCCCTGCCTTTCGTAGAACGAGATGTCCTTATTTCTCTAAATCTTCTGTAAAAAAACCTACCAAGTATTAGGTAGTGTCAAGTTCTTTGTTCCATCCGAGATCACATTCTGCGTTATCAATGGAGCAAGCCATTCAGCAAGCAGCCAGCGAGAACAGCCTGGGAGCATCCCAGCATACCAACCCTTTCACCTCTTCCGAATTGAAAGCGAATGCTGAACATAATGGCTGGTGCAATACCCAGTCAAAATTAGTTCAATCGTCTGCCCAAAGCACCAATCCTTTAGCTACTAGCGAAATAAACGCGAGCACAACACACAACGAAGGGTGCAACACTCCAATCACCAATATCCAGTCTTCCAATGATACCAATCCCTTCACTGCCTCCGAATTGAGAGCAAACATCAGCCATAATAAAGAGTGCGCTACTCAGTCAAGATATATTCCACCATCCAATACTACCAACCCTCTTTCGGCGAGCGAGTTCGAGGCGATTCTCAAGCAAACGAATCCTCAATCCGAAAGGGTATCATCGCCCGGAGCCACAAATCCCATCGCTTCGGCCGAGCTTGATGCCATGGTCAAACATAAAAAAGAATTGAGCTCTCGGCCAGAGCAGAGCGCTGCCAATACTACGAGGGAAAAGGCAACAAAGCCGGACGATGCTACCCCCAACAACGAAGGTAGCGACGAGAAACAAGTGGCCATTCAAACGCCATGCCGGCAATGCATTAGAAGAGCCACTCTCAATTTCAACATGAATACGGTGGTCAATATCAATGCTCAAGCGCTTGGAATGTCCGGAAGACACGTCCCCCATGCCGCTGGCGAATTAACTCTTATGCAATCGCAACACGACGTCGGTTACAGTGTACAGATCGCGGCATCGCCAACGGACCAGAGACGTACTCGCCGGACCAGCCGAGGCAAAATCATCTGTCTGGACCTTGTGTTCGATCCGAGCAGCGACTTTATACTGTTATGCAACATGACCCAATCCACCGTGGAGCCGATAGCTATCAGGCCGCTGCCACTCTCCAGCCGGAATGAACCATTGAAACTCGGGCCTCTCGGAAAAGTCCCCCTTAATTCTTCGTACCGGATTTCTGCATGGGACGAGCATCTTTTCGATATCAACATCTTCCCACGCGGCTATGTTTCTGTCGCAGAGCCTCCCAGCCAAGTAGCGAGAGGTAAAAAGAGGGCTCTTGAGACAACATCATCCGAGCTCGGCCCGCCGGACGTCAAGAGGGCAAAGTTACAGGAGGCAACTGACGAGTCCAATGCTACCACCATCATCCAAACAACAGCATCACCACCTCCACCGCCAGCCAACGAGCTGATTACCGTTAAGACAATTTCAAACACGGACAGACCTGACATGAGCATTCTGTCAGGTATATGTCATCCACTGGAACACCTTCGGCTTGGCGACGCTGTGAAGATTGCCAGCGCCACTCAAGAAGAAGACTATACAATTACCCGCAAGGATGATATATCAGATCAAAGAAACTCGATTGTTTTCAAAGCACACCACTCGAGTTTCCCGGAAAAGTCAATAGCAGTCAAAGTATGGCGAAGCAAGTTGGATTACGATCCTATTTCAAAGCAAGGGGTGAATATCTCTGCTGTGGGCAAACATTGGTTGAATGAAGTGAGAAATCATTTCAAAGTAAACCAGCATGTGAGTTGATATCACGAATTCATCAGTCAATAGTATGCAGTGCTAACGCTACTCTAGCCCGCTATTGCAACTGTTTTTGGCTATGACGCAAGATTGCTGTCGATATACATGGAACATGTAAACGCGCCTAGTTTACAATGCTATCGCGAACATGGAAGAAACCCCTATTGCACGCTGAACAATTCAGACGCAAAAAAGGTGCTCTATGGTATTACCGATGCCCTCAATTTCATTCACAGCAAGGGCATCACGCATGATGACATAAAGCCGGCGAATATCCTCTACTCTAAACAGAGGGGACCGGTTCTCATTGATTTTGGATGGTCGTCCAATGGACATGTACACACTGCAGGATCACCATGGTACATCCCTCCTGAGTATGCGAAGAAAGGTGAGCGTGGAGCCGCGGCTGATATCTTTGCTCTCGGAGTCGTCACGCTCTTTCTCTTGGGCATGATCCCCCTCCCAGAATTGCAGTCGCCGCTTTTGGTATGGCATATTTCCCGCATAAGAGGCGGAGGGCCGGAAACTTTTGCTGCTGTGGAAGCAATGAACCGGTGGTACTCAATTGTTCATGAGGCTGCAAAAGAATCCGCGGTGGATTTGGACGATTCTGGTGATGTGGGTGTTGGGGGCATAGTTGCTAGGATGGTAGATAACGAAGTCAAGAAACGGATTACGGGGCCTCAGATCATACGAGCGTTGGGTGGCACTAGTAGATGAGATATGATTGCAGAGATTAATAGATCAATCTTGGTACAAAATCAAACTATTTGGACAAGAGTAATGGGTGCCTTTATCATCAGTTTGATATGATATACGCTCGTATATAAGACACAAGGACCTTTGGATGGCTTGGCAGACATATCCGCCCAATGTATTTCAACCATTAAATAATAAATACATAGGTCAAACATGCAAATTGTAGATATTGAATACCTAAATATCGATGTACAAACCAACACGAGATTACAGATCCAGATATATTGCTTACTCATTTAGCCGGAGACGTAGCATTGAGTCGCCGTAAGAGAGATAGCGGATGCCGGCGTATAGTATTCTAGCGCTTCAACGCGTATCAATGCAACCCATTTTCCACTGCGCCGAATGCGAATTTTACATTGACAAAGTAACAGGTCCTTTTAGAAGTGCCATACAAGAAAAAATAGTCAATGGATGATGAAGCATACTCTACAATTGACGCTACTTTTATCTCCCCGCGTTATTATCCAGACCCCTGCGCTCCGAACCAGCCCCTCACCTTGCCCTTTGCGCTTCATCATCCATTGCCCTTGTTGGTCTCTTGTTTAACTTTACGCAGTATACAATTACTGATATCTTGATCGTTACATATATAGAGACTAAATTCATCATGACTTTGCGTACCATTGTTGCTACGAGCGAAGCAAAGCATCAGCCGCATTCTGTTGAACATAGTGTCACAGATGCAAGTTCTGAGCCGGATCTCATCAAGCCGTGGAAACTCCCTCCTCCAAAGAAATACATCTTTAAGAATGCAAATGTTGTGGATGCAGAAAATGGACAGATTGTTCCCAACCAGACTGTCAGGATATCAGATGGACTCATTCAAAAGGTTGACGCGGGTAATAGCGCGCAATTATTCTCTGGCGACGCTATCGTGCTAGACCTGGCGGGCAAATATCTCTGCCCTGGGCTCATCGACTGCCATGCCCATCTGTCTTCCGTTCCTGGAGAAGAAGGCCTTGCAGCGGCTGCTAATCATGCCGATGCTGCGGTATCTCTACTCCGTCAGCCATACATGGCCGCTCAAGTCCTCTACCGGGGCTTCACTACGATGAGGGACACTGGAGGTGCAACGCTGGCCCTCAAAGAGGCTATAGCAGACGATGTATTCCACGGGCCGCGGCTTTTCATCGCCAATAGAGCACTCTCGCAGACTGGTGGCCACGGCGATTCGCGATCTGCGCATGAGAGCTGCTGCAGAGCCACAACTTCTCTTTCTACCATCGTTGACGGTGTCCCAGCCGCAATACATGCTGCCCGAGAGCAGATTCGCACAGGCGCAGATTTCATCAAGATCATGGCAAGCGGAGGTGTTGCGTCTCCCACAGATAGAATCGACCACATCCAGTTCACTGCTGCTGAGATCCGGGCGATTGCTGAGGTTGCGGATACTTATAATACATATGTGACTGCTCACGCTTACACTCCTCGGGCGATCAGGCACGCTGTCGACAACGGCGTCAAGGGCATTGAGCACGGCAATCTGATTGACAAAGAGACTGCAGAGTACATGGCCAAGAAAGGCGTGTGGTTTACTCCCACTCTTGTCACTTATCACGCCATGGGTTCTGATAAGTATGCCGGTTTTCTACCTCCAGCAAACCGCGAGAAGAATCGCCAGGTGCTAGAACAAGGACTCCAGTCTCTACGCTTAGCAGACGAGGCTGGAGTCACCATCTGCCACGGCTCCGACCTCCTCGGACCTCTTTGGGCCGAGCAGAGCAAAGAATTCGGCATTCGAGCACAAGCTCTAAGTGCACCAAAGATTCTCCAAGGAGCCACCGTTAATGCGGCGAGGATGCTGAATCAAGAGAATTACCTGGGCCAGATCAAGGAGGGATTTGCTGCAGATGTTTTGGTACTCAACGGGAATCCGCTGGAGGACATTACGATTTTAGATGAGCCGGAGAAGAATATTCTTGCAGTATTGAAGAAGGGGCGGGTTTATAAGAGCAGGTGGACGAAGTTGCCGGAAGACGTCACGAGAGCCCAGACGTTTATCGAGTGACTCTCACAAGGTGGAAGAAAAGATGAAAATAATTAGATAATTGCTAATTTCGAGAAATAAGAATTCTTCTTCTTATGACTTGTGAATATTTCCGGGAGTCAGGTTGCAGTGTGGAGATGAGAGATCGATCTGACTAGATCGATTGCCGTCTTAGTCAGCAAGATCCGACATCGACCTAGGTAGGTAGTTCCCGATATTAGGCGTCGACATAATCTTCTTCTTCAACTTCTTTTAACGAGTCATATCCTCTCATGCTCAAGCTGCGCAGCTTAAACCCCCCGAAACGAGCTCTCACGCACCCACAATGATCCGCAAGCCATGATCTCCGGCCGCTCTAATGCTCCCTCGTTGGATCCTCCTCTGCCCGACTCCACCACCGGCGTCCTCCCCGTGATCCCTCCCGGCGTCGAGCTCCCCGATCGCCATCCACGAAACAATGCCGCGACCGCAGCTTCAGCCGCTGGAGTGAGGGCGCTCAGCGCGCAGCTTGTTGCCTTTTACTTTCGCGCGCCCGCAAAGTCCTTCTTCCGCACCAGAGTCGACTATCTGGCGTATGCCCGGACGATACACCAGCAGCAGACCAAGAGGCTGATGCAGGCGGTTGCAGAAGATGCCTCGCCGTCGAGGCTGGTTGCGGCGCTGAGGCAGACGTGGCTGTGGATGCGCAGCACAACGCCTGGCGTGTTGACGTCGGCGATTAGACATGAAGGCTGGGGCATTGTGCCGCATCAGATCATGCCGCCGCTGATTGCCAATATTGGCGTCAACGCCGTGCTGTATACGGGCTATCTGCACATCTTGGGGCATCTGCACGAGGAGAGCTCCAAGGCTACCAAGAGGGTGTATCCACCGCCTCCTCCGCAGGCCACCTTTGCGGCTGGATTCCTCGCAGGTGGACTGCAGAGTATTTTGGCCGCTCCACTGGACGCACTGCAAGCACGATACGATCACCGTGATATGATGCCCAACGACGGCAGCAACCGGGTTCGAAGCATGTGGACGTTTAGCGCCGAGAAGCTGAGAGAAATCGGACTACGGGGCATCTTTGCCGGATGGGGCGTATCGTTTGTCAAGGACAGCCTGGGATGCGCCATCTTTTTCAGCACATTCGAGTATATCAAAGCCCAGTCGTATTATCGCTTCGTGGCGTGGTACTACGGAGGCCTAGAAGAGAACATTGTCGATCTTCTTGCGACAAAACGGCCTGCAGACAAGCCTACGGATGGTGGGATTCAGCTGATCCGACCACACTACGCTATTGAGCCCGCGTTCCTCCTTGGTGCTGGCATAAGCGCATCCTTCACTCAGCAGCTACTGCTCCACCCTCTCACGCACTTTCAAGTGAAACACTGGGACCATCTGGAAGAACTCGACGAGAAAGCCGCCCGGCTGCGCGCATCCCGCGCTGCTAATCCAGAGAAGCCACATCGCCGATGGAGGATGCTGCGGGCTTACTATCACGCCTATCAGGAGACTTTTGCTGCTTGTACGGCGGAGGCTTCGGCGGAAAGACTGAGTCTGGGAAAGTGGCTGTATCGCGGATTCTGGTGGAACACAATTCGGCAGGTTCCGAGCACAAGCGCCGGTTTGATCATTTTTGAGCTTATTCGCCGGAAGTATGGGTTTGGAATGGACGAAGTGCGCATTAATACCGAGGATGGATACGACATCTTGCTGCATTAGAGGATAATACGAAGATTCACGATGCATGTAATGTTTTGTATTAGAGTATATAGCATACACATCTCCCCCGTTAGATAAAGTACACGATAGAGCATACTACTCCACTGCAAATGAATCTCAATGCTGATTTGACAATAACGTATGGAGCGTGAGACGAGAGTTGCCATCTTCTGCCATATCAAGTGCGTTCCTACGTTGAATAATCTCTCAACTGTCATTCTTATTCTCTTGCAACAAGCTTTACTTCTTCTCTGCCTGCAAAAACTGCTCAAACGAATCCTCTATGCAGGCTTCCAACGGAATATACTTGATTCCCAAATCCTCTCCGCCTTGCTCCCAACAAGTGGTACACATTCTCTACTTTACCCGCACCAGGCGTTCCCACAGGTAAGCGACTTCGCAGATGCGGCATCGTTTCGCGCAGAGGAACCACCTCGCTCGTAGCCACGGGACGCTCAAAGGCCTCGAGACGGGCCATGGCAACGACACGGACGTCGGCAAATCCCGAGAAATCGGCCAAACGGACTTCTGTAGTATCAATCATCTGCCACAGCATCGCAGATGACGTGTTGAGAGTTGTCAAGTCGGCAATGGGCGTGAGATGAGGCCCGAATGTCGACGGCGAATTGATACAGGCCAGCGAAAAGGGGGGGCTTTTCCGCCTCCATCCAGTTCCACACAGTTCGTTCCGTGAGAGCTTTGGAGGCGCAGTAGGCCGCTGCACCGCCCATCTGGATGGCTTCTTCCCGTGTCATGGGGTTCCAGTCCTTTTCTTTGTACGTGTATCCGGGGCGCAGTCTTTTGCCGAGATCAAGCATGGCCACAAAGCACGAGGTGAGGACGAAGCGGCGGACACTGGAGCCATATTGACGGGTTGCCTTGAGTGCGCCGATGGCGCCTCCAAGAGCTGGATCCAAGATATCAGCTGCGACATCTGCGACGGCTACTTTGAAGGGTCTGGCGACGTGTATGACGCCTGTAATGGGATGGGGGTTGTTTGCAAAGCCGGGCTCGTAGAGTTCCTTTTTGGATAAGTCGGAGATGATGACTGCTGAGAATTGAAAGCTATAGTCTGAAAATATGCGGTGGACTTTGTCTGCAACTTCTACGGACCGGACTGTTGCTTGGATGTTGTATCCTCTGTCTAGCGCTTGCTTGATGATGTGCTGGGCGATGAAACCGTTGGCGCCGGTAACGAGTAAAGTCTTATCGGACGGAATTGCCATTGCAAATATCTGATTAGTTGTCAAGAACAAGGAAACGTGGCTATAAATGGCGTGGAATAAGGGCCGGGGATTGTGAGCCAAAGGCAGATTCGAGGGAAGCAGAAGCTGCCTACTACCTTATACTAATAGCCATCTGCGTGGAGAGCATCTTGTACAGAGTCTGAAAGGACTGCTCGTTGGAATCAATATGGCCAAAAGCTAGCGATAGGGACGCCAGCATTGAGTGATTTTACATTATGACATTCTCAGGCTATTTGGAATCTACATGTACACTCCCTGTTGAAGCTAACTGTCCGAATTTCCTATCAAAGTATTAATAGTAACCGAGAGTCATAGTGCCTTAAAGCTAAGTTGTGTAATCTATCTCTACTCTGCTGGCTGCCTGGGTGGATGAGAAAGGGTCGTAAATATGAAATTCACAAAGAGGGATCTTTAGTAGAGGATGCAGCAATCTTACACACAGCTCAGTATCTCTCACAAGTTCAGTAGCTCTTAGAGCCCAAGCACTCTTCCCTCTTCTTGATAAATTGTACTCACAAGGATAGGAGACTATTTACAATAACCATAAAAACATTATTACAAAGGCATTACAAACCTATTAACAGGCCTATTACAGCTTGGCTATATTTTTTAATTTGTTATATATTGCAAATTTGCTCTGCCAGAGCATCCCAGTCAGATCACAAGACATCCCACGAGGAGTTTCAACGAAAAGACACAACCACGTTGGACGGATTATGTAAAAGAGGGAACAAATAGTAAAACCAATACATCCATTTCTCTATCTAGGCCATGAAGTTAGTCTGTCTAAAACTCTAGCAGACAAGATGTTGATATACAGAGTTTCGCAGCATAGAGAAGAATCACCACTCGGCGAAGAGGCTCTTTCTTCCTATCATCTTAGAAAATAATGGAGAAAAGAGGAATTTCACGGAATCTCGATAGCTTCTGTCCCTCGTTTTAGTATATCATCCGTGGTACAGAGCTATGATGGTGATGGTAGTTTGATGTGATATATGGCATCTTAGTAGAGTAAACAATCTTTCAGCAAGCTTATGAGCTCGTTAAAGCAAGATCAATAACCCCTGGCGGTCTGCTTGACAGCTTCCTTCTCATACACGAAGCTTATAACCATAAAAAAAACACCAATATCGAGAAGCGTACCTCAGCTTTCCGCCTTCAACCCAGTCATTCTCAAGCTCACATCCCAAAGACGCGCCGCACTCTCCCCGTCATGAATATGCGGCGCATGCCCCGGCGCAAGAACCGTCGCATCTCCACTCCACAACTCACTCTCCTGGCAATCCTCCAAGAACACACCACCCTTTCCCTCCCACTCCCGCGATATCGCCGCCCACACAGTCGTGGCAGCGCCCTGTTCAGCACTCTTCATCCTTTGCGCAATGAGCGGATCGCCAGTGAGGGCGTTGAGCTCCGACTCTGGCGTCATCCTGTTGAGTCTTGTGCCGCTGATGCCTCCCGGATGGGCCGCCAAGCCGTGCAGGCCGCTGGCGCCGTAGCGCTTTTCGATTTCGAATGCCATGTAGATGTTGGCTGTTTTGGATTGCGCGTATGCGAGTAGAGGTTGGTATTCATCTGGACGATCAAAGTTGAGGTCGTCAAAGCGGATGCCTGACTGACGATGACCTGACGCTGAGAGGCAGACCACACGAGAGTGGAAAGATGGCGTACTCGAGGCGATTAGAGCATCTTTGAGGGCTTGGAAAAGAGCAAAATGCCCCAGGTGGTTGGTTCCAAAATGTAGCTCAAAGCCATCTTCAGTCTTTCCTTTTGGATATCCGCGGATACCTTTGATACAAAGTTAGTACATAGAGATAAGAAAGGTCTCGTGGAACGTCCTAGGATAGGGCGCAACAAATCATAACTCACCAGCGTTGCAGACTAGAATATTGAGCTTGCCCGCTGTCCGGTTCAAGAAGTCGGCAGCAAACTCTCGTATACTCTTGAGAGAGTCTAGCCCCATTCCCATATACTCAAGCTTTCCCGGCTTATTGTCATAGCGCAGCTCTGCTTCAGCCTTTTTGCCTTTTTCAACGTCACGGCCGGTGAAGTACACATCAGCACCAGTGGCATGCAGCGCACGCACCGTCTCGAAGCCGATGCCAGAGGTACCTCCAGTTACAAGGATTACCTTTCCTCTAAGCTGACCATCCAAGGATTGATCTCTGATAATTCTGAGGGCAGTAGGGCGGGCGTCTCCGGGGCCATTGGTATCTTGGTGTTCCTTTGCGTACGGAGCAATGGGCGACATGGTTTGATGGACAGCTGTATCTAGGCCAACTGAAGAATTGCAAGATTGTTGGGCTGAATTTACGATAAAAGTAGAGTAAATATGTGTGTTGAATGCTGTAGATTATATAGGACAGCATCTCGACTTATATATACCCATCTATAACATCCCCATAGTAGAGAGTTTAGCTGCTTCAAGCATCTCCCTCCGCCATACTCCAGCCAGACTAGCTCAAGCCGAGGATTCCTAATCACGAATACTATTTGCGGATATGCATTTCCATCAGCAAATTGAACGAATCCGTTCCGAAGCAATGACGGGCAACACACAAAAGGCAGAAGCCCCGGCTGAGATCCATTGCTCGCCGGCAAAAGTGGGGCCGTGGGAAACGGACTTACCGGCAATAGACCCGTCCTCAAATAACGAAGTAGACGGCATCTCCCACGTATAAAATAAGAAAATTTTGACGTTGTTTTTTGGAATCTTAGAATGAGAAAAGAATTTAGAAGCTGCCTTATAGAAATCATAATCTTTAAAATAAAACGCACAAAAACTTGACTCAATACTAGCATAATGGCTACAGCAACAACCCACACGGAGTTTGGCGTTCGCACAACAGCCCTGACTGTTGCCGCCGCTTTCCCCTCTGCCATTGCAGGCAAGACAATTCTAATTACGGGAGTCAACATCAAGGGCCTCGGCTTTGCCACTGCTCAAGCCTTTGCCTCGCAAAAAGCCGAGCTCCTCATCCTCGCGGGCCGTACCCCCACCAAACTACAGCAATCCGCCGATACTTTGGCCAAAGAATATCCCGGCACAAAGTTCCGTATCCTAGAGCTGGACCTCAGCTCTCAAAAGGGCGCCAGAGCAGCCGCTGCCACGCTAAACGGATGGACTGACCTGCCCGCCATCGACATCCTTGTCAACAATGCCGGCATCATGAACATCCCCACCCGCCAGCTCAACGAAGACGGCATCGAGCGGCACTTTGCAACAAACCACGTTGGCCACTTTCTCTTTACGAATCTCATCATGGGGAAGCTGATTGCGGCCGCGCAAAAGTCCGATGCTGTAAAGGGTGCCACTCGCGTTATCAACGTATCCTCCAGCGGCGCAAACTTTAGCCCAATCCGCTACAGCGATATCAACTGGGAAAAGGCAAACGAGACGATACCTCTTGTTGAGCAGCCTGACTATTTACGGTTTTCCCAAATGCTGGGCATTGACCAGGATGTCATCAAGGCGGACAGTTTCATCTCCATGGGAGCCTACGGACAGTCCAAGACAGCCAACGTCTTGTTCAGCCTTGGCCTCAACGAGCGCTTATATAATAAATATGGCATTTTGAGCCTTAGTCTGCATCCCGGCTCAATCATCACCGAGCTCGGACGAGAAATGGACCCCGAGGTATGGAGAGAGAGAGCAGAAAAGTTCAGAAAAGGAGGCATGGTCTTTAAGAGCCAGGAAGAAGGTACCAGCACAACGTTGGTAGCTGCCGTGGACCCGGCATTGACGCTACCAACAAAGAGGCCTCTTGCAAGCGAGGCGGATCTAGCAAAGACAGGCAGGGAGGTGAAGGGTGAAGACGGGGAGTGGGAGGGCAGGGGTGTGTTTTTGAGCGACTGCCAGATTTTTGAAGATGTAAAGGTGTGGTCTACGAGCTGGAGCCAGGGGGAGAAGCTTTGGGCAAAGAGCGAGGAGCTTGTGGGAGAGACATTTGCCTTTTGAGTTTGGATAATGAAGCAGTAATACTTGCCATATATCTCATGCATAAAACACGTAACAAAAGCTCTTATACAGTTTATTGGCAAGACAATTTAGCCTCACTAATGTGAAAGAGTATCATCATATGATATCTGTAAGGTCCGTTGCTGATTTCTAATATAATTTCAGGCACACTCTCTCATAGTAGACTAGTGTGTATCGTGACAGATTTCGTCTTCATCTACTCTCGGATGTAAGCGGCCGCTTGAAGCCTACATTAGCATCCGGAGTTAGTTCACAGAGGCGAAGCCGCGCAGAGGTGGGGGAGCGATGGTGTCTTTAATCAACCGAAATCGCTACAAAGCAAATATTGTCTTGGGAGTGGTTCGTTAGAGATGACACATGATGAGGGATTTCATTAGCCTTGAATCTCGCAGATAACCAAGAATTCAGTTCCAGCAGAATAACGACAAGATTATCTTTGCTCGTATATATTTAGGCCCAACCTTCTTTCAACCTACATGTACCCATATAGCGACATCTTATAAAAGAAATCCAAGGTCAACTACCCCCTTATAACACGCACAAGGTCACGCTGCATACCGCAGTGAGTCTCAGTCAAGTCTACAGTTCAAACCAAGATTTAATAATAAACCAGCTCTACAGGTCTTTTGACTCCTTCAGATCTTCAAACGCTCGCTTGTTCACCCAAGTGGATCAGTCTGACGTGCTTCCTTTAGTCTCCAGCTAGGCAGACGCGGGCAGCCAATCACGCAGCGCCCAGCCAAGCCTCGCATCCGAATCGGGCCACTCACCGCGTGCCACCTGGACTTGCTTGTAGGTGCTGTAACAACAGCAATCTGGAAACGAGGCGCATCTCAGCATACACAAATCACCAGACTGCCACGTCACTAACCGCCAGCTTAACATGAGGTAGCATAGTGCGTAAGCCATCAGCGATTGCATACGACGTAGATAGATCAAACAATAGCTAGCACAGTCCTGCAGCCAAGCGTAAGTTGGACAAAGGAGACTACTCCAGAACTACAGATATCCTGCATATGCACCAACAAATGCACCTTGGGCATAAACGCTGCCCAACTCGCGATTCCATCTCCCCAATCTCCAACTCAACACTTCTCTCAACTCAATCTCTACTACACGAAACCATCATCACTTCTTCATCTCGAAAAGCATAGCCAAAAAGACAATTCAGCACACCCGCCTCAAACACCAACAATGCTCCCCCCCAAACCACAAACCCAATCCACCGAAAACCTCCTCCTCAAATGCCAAAAAGAAGTCCGTCACCCTCTCCTCCTCCCACTCAACCAAATTCAATCAACCTACACATAAAAACTAACAATCTCCCCTCCAGACTCACAAAAAATGCCTCCCCCCAGAATGGTCCATCCACCCCGCCAACAAAGAAATCCTCCCTCCCCCGGACACCCTCGCCCTCGCCATCCAAATCGACGCATCCTCCTCCTCCTCCTCCCTAACCCGCATCAACTTCCTCGACGCCGCCTCCAACCGCTCCGTCGGCTCCATCCTCGGCGCCGAATACCGCGGCTCCATTGTCGTCGTGCCGTGGCGCCCCGGGCTCAAATTCGTCTGCGTCGCGACGGATCGACGGCGCAGTGGGTGCCGCATCGGCGTAGTGAGGGAGGCTAAAAGAGGAGCTGCAGCAGCAGTAGCGAGGATGAAGAAGAAGGATGCTGTTGTTGCTACTGCTGTTGCCGCTGCCGCAAAGAGGAATGCTGGCGGAGGCAGAAACATCAGCAGTAACAAGACCCTTGCCGTTGATAATAGCCATCGTGCGTCAATTGGCTCTTCTGCTAGTAGCAGTGGCAGTCCGACTAGGAGTCGCATTCCTACTCTTAAAGGACAGCGCATGAGCATCAAGAAATACGAAAACAACAGACATGTAAGCGTCAACGCTGCGAGGGCTATTGGGAACAAATCGAGAATTCCAAGAAGGCGAGTCGTAGAACAATGCTGCTAAAAGGTCATGACGGCCAAGCGCTGTTGACAGAAGAAGACGAGATATCACAGATTGCCTTACCTGATACAAGGTGATACACCAGAATGATTAATGAGTTACGATTATTGCTATACCAAACACCCAAATACATAAACATATCACAAGAACAGCCGTTTCGCACCAAATGGTTAAACAATAAAATGGTAGTCATATTATCGCTACCCGTAAGAGCTAGCTTTTATCAGACAAATCGCTCATCGCTATGCTAAGGCCACAACATATATCCATGAGTAAATGGCCAGCAACACTCAAAAGTAGTCCGTCCCTATACCCAGTTCCCCCACGCCTCCCTCGTCCATCAGCCGTAGATACTCCTTGGAGTGTTCCCACAGGCCCTCCCACGCACAAGATCGAAACTCCAAGAACCACTGGTACGTCTCAGTGTATATGTCGGGATACAGGTAGTACGTCAAGAAAGCCTGCATTGCGTCACACATATCCCGAACATCGTCCTGGCCCGCTCGAAGCGGCATGTGCATGGCAAGACTGATGTAGAAGCGGATTCCAAGAGCCCTGCCCAGAGCCCAGCTTGATCGATTCATTTCCGTCCACACTAGACCGTCATTGCGATTCCAGCATTTTGCAATGGTGTGAACGCTGCAGCACCAGATGAGCTCGAGGAAGCTTTGCACACCGTCACCAGGACACTCGGCAAATATCCAGGCGGGCATGGGATGCCCAAGTTCAGATACTCTGTCGCACCGCATCTTCAGCTCCGCAGCAAACATCTCGCGCTGAAACAGCACCATGGACTCTTCGTCATGCTCACATCTGGGCTCCGTCGCAGAATACTCGTCGAAGGCTGCGTCTCGGATGTCACACAAGCGCTGCGCTACCTCGTGCAGCCTCTTCTTCGTCCACGGACAGATGGAAACGGCTTCACGGGGAATATAGCCGTCTGGCCAGCGTTCCGAGTATTTTTGAAGGGCGTGTCTCCAGAAAGTACTTGGATGCTTTGCGTAGGCGTACACTTTGACCAGGTACTGAATGTGGACAGCCAGTTCGAGCATGTTGCCAAGAGTCTCGGCATCACGGATGGTGTCCAGCGACGGCTGCCGTGAAATCGCGTACAGGCACTTCCAAACCCCCTCTTTTTGGCGAGTCACTTGCAGAATGCCCATGGTCAGCAGGCATATGCCCATGTTCGAAGGGTAGATGGTGTCCTTGATGATCCTTTTGAGAATCGGGACCTTGTAGGCTTTGAGGACGCCAGCAAAGTACGGCGAACTTGCCGCAAAGTTTCTCAGATCGCATTTGGTAGGGAGGTAGCCCATGATCTTTTCGATCATCTCTGGCGGCAAATTCTCTACGGAAACGGTCGATATTTCACTCGGTCGCTCTAGGACGAGGCGAGGCGTCGGAAAGGACGCGAGCTGTTCGCTTGGTGATATCATTGTGCGTGTTTAGGATAATTTCATAGACAGACAAGATTTTCATAGCGATATTTCGTAGTAATGTTAGCTAGCTTGGGTCCTGCTATAGGCCTAGATGTTGATGGAGTTGGAGAGTGAGGAGCAAGAGATCTCTGTTTGGGGTTTGTTGTTTTGGACTGAAGAGAGCATGGCTCCTGCTCAATGCCAATGACTGATGCACTGCGACAATACAAGTAAAGAGCCACCATTGGGATGATAAGCATGAATGTAGATTCAGCGAATGCATTTCAGTGTGCCTTTCGGTACAGGGGGGGATGGAATCTTTATCATTTGCATTATAACCGTGGTATCTATCAATTTAATGACTTCAGGAACGGCTGCCCGATACAAATAAACCGTTAAACTTACATGCATCGCGGGTTCTTCTTTTGCAGATAAACGCCGTCATATCGTAACTCCATGTCCGCCACGCCTAGAGGCAGAAATCGTACCTAACAATGAACTTGTATGACCCATGGAAGCAGCTATTGCCAATACATCTTCATCAACACCTTGAATCCGCCTCACCAACCATGATTCCTTTGATCCGCAGTCATCATAGCAGTTAAAAAGGCTGCATTAACAATCGGCGGCAACATGTGTACTGCCTGTCTGATACCTGGTTGCTTCGCGCGCTATTCTCGTCTCTCCTTGTGTTTGATTCAGCATCTGGATGATTTCCGTAATCTTTGCATCCTTCATCAAGTGCGCCAACAGACTTCTAGCTCTTGCCACTTGAATTGTCTTGGTATTGTTCTCTTGGCTCGCATTCGCGCCGTGGTTGTTTGGATTTTCGCTTTCGTCTGCGTCTCGGATTGACTCATGAGTCTTTTGTCGTTTCGCCGCCGGAGCCGCTTGCTCCATCTCAGTATAATCCCCCGACGCGTTTGCTTGTTCATAGCGCCTCTTGTATCCAACCTTGAAGCCGTTTGCGAATCCTGCTTCGTAGGCATCCTGATAGCCGTTCTGATATTCCTCGTCAAAGGCAGCGGCAGGGCCATTACCGCCCAACTCTAGCTTTTTGCCGTTTATCCAGATGGACATGGCGTTTTTCTGAGTAGCAGGATGAAAAGTTGAGAATCCAACGGGGTTTGACCTCTTCGCAAATCTCCTGCGCATTCTCTCCTCCCTTTCTTTCCAAAGTCCGCTTTTCGTTTCCTTGGCCCAGATATCTAGATCTTTCGGCCATCGGATGCAGTGCAACACGATTTCTCTTGCCGCCAATGCATTTTCGAGAGGACAAGTCGTACCCTGTCTGAGCTTGATACCAAGAAAGTCCATGCAAACGTTCTCCAAATACGGTTTGTAGTCGTGCCCCTTTGCTGGCGGCGTGCAGATGGCAGACGTGGCAAGTATTCGCGAATCGACAATCTGCTTATGAAGCAAACGTAGTATCTCCAAATCATCCTGAACTTTGTGCCCGATAATTACGGTATCTTGATCGATAAAATCGAAGAGATTTGCGCGTGCCTCTCTCCAGCCGTGAAGGCTCTCGCTACGAGAGGAGCCGTTCCAGCCTATATTGGGCACAAGGCGCAAGTTTATCAAAACTTGTCCAGAGAGAAAGTCGACGGCAGCAACAGCTAGCAGCTCCATCGGGCAGTGTTTGGGCTGCCTACGGACACAATGGATCGCCACAGCTTTTCGTTTCTGGGTCGAAGGGTATGGCTTGGGCGCCCACACAAAGTCCTCAATACAAAGGCCTTTTTCGACCCTGTCTCTTGGAAGCGGCTCCTTTCCGAGGAGGAAGCACTCGCGTAGAAGGACCTCATGCGGGTGGCGTTGTACTAGGAGGGTTTTGTAGGTATTTGGCTGCTGCCCGTACTCGACTCTCGAGTACAGATTGCCAGCGTGATGCAGCATCAGCGATGATGCAGGCGCAGACGGAGGCATAAGAGGCATAAGAGGCTTGGGAGGCTTGGGAGGGATTGAAGTATGATAATGCATTGAATGATGCAATGAAAATGATGGCAATAAGTGTACGGAGTCGAAGCAGTCATCGCCCCCGACTATGAAGCGGCGAAGAGGAGCTGGCAATGAGAGAAATGGAGGAGCGGAGAATAAATATGAAGGCTAAAGAAAACAAGAATCAGGGCAGGGAAGAAGGGAAGGAGGGAAGAAGGTGTTGATAACGGAAAATCGCTACGCCGGATCACAGCTGGGAGTGTCTGGGCACTGCCATGCCACTGGCGGAACATCTTGCTTGTAAATTCATGTCAAGTCAAAATCCGCATTTATTTTCTATGTTGTGCCACAATCTCAACCATCAGCTCTCGAAGCCGTTACCTCTTCTGTGCCTTTTTATATAGCCGAAGGCAAAGAGATGCAAACTTCATTTCCCCAGTTTTCGTCTTTATCATATCCATCTCGTACATCTTGTTCTAAATGTGTCTTTGTGGATATGTTGTTCAACTACCAGCGCCTCATTTGGTTCTCTTGGCCCTCGGATGTCACATCCTAAAGGCGATCGAATCTGATACCGCTTGCGCCACATATGATAAGAACAACTTGTTCCTCCCTTTGTTAATCGGGCGAATAATCCTCGGTCATCCACACAGCCGTAACCTGGGGCCCAGCTAATGGTTCCAAGTAATTAAAAGCCCTCTTTTGCGAAAGTTCAAGAGGAATGCCCGTACAATGACACTTTCTTCGCCGCTGTATGAATGTATTGTATCCATACTAGATACAGCGGGCGCCTCTCTGCAGGCAACGCTAGTATTCGTCGGACCCCCTAGTCCAATCGGATTCCTTTTGTTTTTTATGTAATGAGTGCGCCGATATATTCGATATAGCCCCAGACTCGCCCCCTACTTGACTCGGAAGTTCATGTAGCACATATTCGGAGAATCTGGGACTACGCCTCACGCTTGGTTGTAATGGATTCTTCTACTACCCAATGGTGAAGTCTTTTCGAATATCACGACGACAATGTTTTTTTTTCCCCTCTGCGCGAGTATAAACTCGTTTTCCTGAGAGTGCAGCGGATATCTCCCAGCGAGCAAGATAGTAAGAAGAGGTTGTCTTCAGTAAGCGACTTCTGTGCGCGACTTCGACGGGTCTCGAGCCAGCAAACAAGCGCTGACGATTTGGCAAGCCTCACTCTCATCGCGGTTCCAGAGGGTGGAGGCGATAAAGTCAACTGGAAAATGGGGTCACAAAGACGTGTCTCCTTCGACCCCCGCAGTCGGATCGATTGGCCCTGCGCAGTTGGATCACCAATCACTCAGACTACGGGGGCCGAAAGAGGTACGTCGTCTTGACCCTCCAGTGTCCAAGTCGTACTGAAAGTCGCAAAAGAATAAAGCAATAGCGAAAAATCATAACACTTGATCTCTCGCTTTGCGTGAGAATAGCCCAAACAGCCCTAGGTGTGGCTGAGGATGCGGGATGGGTCATGTTTGAGCCTGGAAGCAAACGACATGTCAGGAATCATAAATCATAATAATGAATTGGAAATGGAATTCAATCCATGGAAGGAAGATCAAGTGTGTCTCAGTGGTGCACACCTATACCATGCCTCGTAAAACCAAACTCAAATCGCAACACATACCTCAGTAATATAAACTCATTTCAACTACGGTCACTCATAAGAGTGAAACAATCTAAGTGGTTCCTCAACTGGATCCCCAGACGGCTATGGGAAGTCTTATTATATCCGCAGATATGTCTCCATGGTGGCATAAAGGCCGTATGAGGTAGTCGCGACATTGAATTCCACTTTGTATGTATTGACATCCAGATTGTTGAAGGAAGCACAAAGATGACTGATAAATAAGTCATTGAGTTCGGTAAAGAAAAAAAAAAGAAGTGTCGGCTTGGAGCCATTCTATCGCTCGAATTCGGTCCTGCTGGAATGCCTGGTAGAAAACTTGCTCGATTCTGCATCCGGGCAGAAACACAGAGTATGCGCCGTACTTTCTGAGCTTCCAAAGCACCTGTAGACGACCCTTTTCAACTTGCTTATCAAGCTCGTTGACGACAATCTTCAAGAATTTTTGCAAGCTCTACAGCCTGGTCTTCGGTCATCTTGACAATGGATCGATAGCCATGTAAGTAAAGACGCCAAGGCAAGTCAAGGCAAGGCCCCCATGTAGGGTGAGCAGATGGCTTGAGTTGAAACGTCTTGTAACTTCAATTCTGGGACAATGTTGTACACAATGCCCAAGGACGTTTCCAAGGACTGCTTTGGCGCTTCTTCTCCAGCAGGACCAGTATTAAAGTATGTCGCTCGTTGATCTTTGCTCAAAGATCGCCAAATAGTTTCGATTTCAGCGGCATGATCATGCCTTGTACTTTGAGGCGAGGTCGCTCTCGCCAGCTGCTGCCCATACAGACTGAGATCGCGTGATATCCTGCTAGTTCTGTAAGGCCAGATTGCTCGCGGTCGTAAAGAGGTTGATTTTATGTTCTCGAACATGAGTCCTCCATAGTGTAAAGAAGAAACAAGATTGTCAACAGGGCAGTCGCCGCGCAAGTGAACATGACGGGCAGATGGGCGAAATCTGTTGTGGCAATAATATTCATAAAGGTGTGTTTCCAATTTTGGGGCATGATAAGTAGATTTTTCTACAATGAATGTAATGTTGCACCAGATATGCCGACCCGTATATCGCGGCTTTGGTGCGTTCATTTCATGGCGTGGAATGTAAAGAAAGGATAAAGACGATTGCCTCCAGAGTCAATATACAAAGTGGTGAAAAGCTCGGGCTCTGGAGACAGAGTAGGAAGAAATGACTGAAGTCATTCTGGGAAAAGACCGAGTCTCTATTCCAGATTCATCAGCCTGTAGGCGAAGCCGTTCTTTGCGCGCATGCGCCATTGCAAGGGCTGCGTGCAAGAAGGCCCGGGAGAATTCCATTAGGGCACGATAGGAAATACCCTCAAGATAGTTCAAGTGCTAGTCTAAGGAATCAAGTCAGCAACGGCATGTGGCAAAATCCACGAGTTCATGTAACATACATGTATTCGACAGCCAGAGAGTCGCATAAAGACAACTAGCCGCGCTGACCAGCTTGGACTATCAGCTAAAGCACCCAGTCAGCTAAATCAAATAATACAACCAAAAGGAAAGCATCTTACTTTATGGAAAGGATACATTACGCATTGCTGTGCCAAAGGCTCGGCTGCAAGAGCCGGCCCATAGTCAACGGGTAATCCTTCATAGCCCATAGCTAGCAATCAATCTTAGATAGTAGACCTCAAAAGAGATGAAAAGAAAAGAGATTGGTTTGAAATTTGTCTACAGACTAACTAACCTGGGGGGGGGGGAACGACAGTTTATATATCCGTACCTCCCGCACAAACACCATAAACAGCATCTCCGTCCCTCTCACACAAAACATACGAGCAACCACACTCCTCAACAAAAACACACGAAAAACCGTGTATTACACACTTTCCACGTCACAAACGCACCCTTCCATCCCTTCCCCGCAGATAAACACAACTCGCAACACCAAACCGTCAAATGAAATCGCAAGTTCGTGGAATTCACCCCCAACAAATACTACGCGTCGCAGGGTTGCCCGCTCCTGTGTAACCCCAAAATCATCCGACAAAAAGAGGGGGAAAGGCACATTCACCAATCACGCCTATACGATAAAGGATGGGCAGACACATGGAAATAGTAACGAAGCCAAAAAAGCCAATAATTTTACATATGCAGGAGGAAGATAGAGGAAAAAAGAAAGAGCATAAACTCCCTACCAGAAATCCTACCACACACCGCTTCAAATCCCACCCTTCCGCTTGTTTGTTTGTTACACCATACATTTGTTTACATGCACTTGGCTTTAGGCCACTTCTTCCCCTCCTAGTCTTGCGTCTCGCTGGACCTGTAGCCTACCGCGTTCAAATCCACGCGAAACAAACAAAGAAAAAGAGAGAGAGAGAAAGAGAGAGAGAAAGACAGAAAGAACACACAAAAAGAAGTACTTAATGAAAAAGTAGTAACGAGATTTCCGCAGACTCCATTTACAAAACCCAAAACTACATCCAGATTTGAGGCATAAGAGGTTTTCCATTCGTTCAATCACTAACGGCTTCGTCCTACCCTTTATATCCCTCTATCCACGCGACACCACCCACTTTGAAACAGCCAAAAAAAGAAAAAGCAAAAAGAAAAAAAAAAGAGGAGACGAGTAAAAACGGAAAGGTAGAGAGGTAGAGTGAGAGGCGATCAGCGCTACTGTTCGCGTTCTGAGGCCTGTTTCTTGTCTTTTCGGCTCTTGATGACGAACTCAGACATGATCTGAATGTGATCGGCTGGGAAGTGCCAGTTGGGGAACGCTGGGATTCGCTTCATATATGTCGGGTCGGGAGGTCCCAGCAGTTCAACAACCTCCAACGTGTTGGCTGAATACCAGATGTAATCAATAACGTCGGCAAATCCAGGAGTGTAATTAGTAAAGGGCAGCTCGTCTGGTGTGTTTTGTATGGGTGCGTAGGAGTCTCGTAAGCTGAAGGGGTGGTCGATACCGTCGCGTGTGAAGGCTCCGTAGTGAAAGCCGCCCAGCTCCTTGTGTTCTGGCTCCACGCGGCCCAAAGTCATGAGCTCCCACACCGAAGAGTCTCTGGTCGAGTTGAAGTCGCCACAGACTAACAGAGGGATCTCGGTATTGGATCGATATTCTTGACTCGGGCCGGGCTCGACTGGAGGCGGCGGCGGCGGCTCATCAGGATCGTCACCTCTCGGCAGCGTAATCATCTTCTTGTCTTTGACGGCCGGCCACCTTGCATACTTCTCTGCGAGCTTGGTCACGTGCTCCATGAGAATGCCCGTCTGAATCAGCTTGACATCTGCCAGAGCTGAATCCCAGGTCAGATGTGCATTGACCAGGATAATGCGAGCACCCGTCAGCCGGGACTCAAAGAAGCAAATAACAGCAATGTTGTCCTTGGGCATGACCCGATTGAATACATCGTGCTGGTTCTTCATGTCGGGTCGGTTAATGGCAATCGTAGCGAATTCAATTAGCTGCTTGTCGAGCAGAATGAATTTGCTCTGCTTGTAAAAGACTGCGCAGCCGTCGACGGTTTGTGCATCCTTTTCAGACATTGTCTTGGCTCGAGATTTGGGCCAATGCACGCCTCTGTAATCCATTTGCGCCAGCTCGGGGCTGAGATCCTCCTTGAAGGCGTCGGTAGAGACCTCTTGGAGAGCGAGGAAGTCGGCTTCGCGAATCCGGAGCTCCTCCAAGATGCAATTTTTCCGATACTCCCAGCTCAGGGCTCCAGTGGGTGTGTATCCGTAGGTCTGCGTTGTCGCATACTTGTCGCATAGAATATTCCAAGAAAAGACCTTGATTCTCTCCAATGCTTCGGGTACGTCCTCCTGGATAATGATTTCTTTACGCGGCGTGGGGGGTAAAGGAACTGTAGAGGAAAGATAAATTAGCAATCATTACCAAAGTAAAGCATCGAGAAGCTCAGTTAAGGCGAGAAACATACTAGGAGCTCCTTCCATTAATGCATTGATCAGGCTCTTGGTGCCCTTTTCCATGATTTCCTGTTTTATGCTGGGCTCTAATGGGTTGCCCTCAATGCCGAGCATCTCCAGCTGATGAAGAGAACCTAGCTCAAAGGGAAGTTCCTGGAGGTTGTTGTTGAAGAGAAGCAGCTGTTTCAAGAAAGTACACATGCCCAATTCCGGCGGCAGCTCATTGATTTGGTTGTAGGAGGCATCGAGGTGTCGGAGCTGGCGCAGCTCTCCAATGGAGTTGGGAATGCGCGTAAGCTTGTTGGAAGCAATGTAGAGTTCGTTGAGGAACTGGTACCGGAACAGTTCGGGGGCGAGATTTCTAAGTCCCTGGCCGCTCATGTCCATGTTGTGCCAGTCTTGGCGAGTCGTACCCTTCTCCACGTTCAGAGGCCTTCTCCTATCTGCGGGGTCGTTCTCGCTGTCTGCTTGGGTCTTGCCGTTGGACGGGGGAGGGCCGCCTATGCCTCTGTTTTCTGATGCCTTGAGCCTAGCATAGTAGTGCGGTTGCTGCTGTTCGGTCATGGCAGCGTGTGCCCTCTCAGCCTCCTTGTGAAGCCGCAATTGTTCCTGCCACATTTCATTCTGCGGGGCCTGGCCAGCCCTTGAGTTGGTCGCGTGCCCATTGGAGAGTGCGTTGGAGTTGAACGTGGCAGAAGTCTGGAGGATGCCAGCGGCAAAGGACGAATGATGGCCCAGTCCATTGGCATTGGGAATGATGTGCTCATGCTGCAGGCCTTGGTGATGCTGGGGCTGGGCGGGGTGCTGATGTTGTGTGTGTTGCTGAAAATTGTACATCATGTTGGGCATCCCCCGCCCCGCTCCATTCAGCCGGGCATTGTGTCCCTGCTGGTGGCTTTGTGAGTACATGCCGCAGGAGTGGTATTTGACGCTTAGATGCCGGCTTTGGAGCCGCGGCTTTTCACGAACCGCGCCGATGGGCCGTTCTACGGAGGACCTAAACTAGAGGACAGAGAGTATCGGTGAAGGGAGGTGGTTGGTGGATTTGTCGTGGCAAGCCAGTCGGAAGCAGATGGCATCTGTTTGTCTAGTATGTGCTGGGGAGAACTTGGATAAGAGTCTGGGAGGGACGAGTGGCGGAAGGTAGCTGTCCGCTAGACGCGCTGTTCGAAACGAGGGACTGTCGATTCTCGCGTTTGCGCATGGGGTCGGCGAGAGGCGAGCCACAGCATGTGCAATGGAAGAAACGCTGCGCAATCGAATCGTTGTAGAGCCGCTCAATTGTCCATAGGCAGCTGAGCTCGATGGAGTTCGAGGTGGTCTGCGTTGGGGAAGCTGGGAGCTTAGGTGAGGAGTAGCAAGCCGCGGGGTTCGGGGGCGTATAGCTCGAAACGTTTGAATGAGGGCGTGGAAAAAAAGAAGAAGAAGAAAGGTAAAGATGAGGCGGAGTTGATTTTTTTTTTCTTGAATTTTGAATACAACAAGTGCAAACGGTTCGCTCGGAGCTGAAACGGCGACCGGCCAGGGAGAGATGTCAGTCAATGTCTTTCAAAGGCCAGGACACGCGAACGAAAGCGGGAATTGGCGAGGTCCCACAGCGAAAAATGGAGGGGCCACGTTCTCCTGAGGGCGACGGCGACTCACAGAAAGAGAGAGATAATGAACAAGCGAGCGCAGTATGGAGATGCTATCACCAGATAAGATTCGACTAATATTTTGCGTGGAATAATAGTGGCTGTCGATACCGAGAGCGAAGAAAAAATCCGGGCCGCCTTGGAGTTGACGATGTGCATCTGCGATGACAAACTGCGACAAGAGGCTGGAAAGGCTGAATCACGTGCTGCTATCGCTCCGCTTGGACCGAGTGGCGGAAAGAGAGGTCATGTGACTTGGTTGATGGCGCCTTCTTGATAAGAACTGTCGATAGAAGGCTGCACAACAGTGTGAACTGAATTCATTTTGACTTGAAAAGTTGAGATTGCAGCAGTTGCATGGGAATGAATCATCTGTGGTGAACAGCCAGGGTTTGGAATTCTAGTTTACACATGAAGTTGTCATGTACGCGGTTATGTGGTGCCATTGACTTTAAACAGATGCTTATTCCCAGGTAGGAAATAGAGTTGCTCAATACGACGTTGTAGTTCTTGGTTCACTGTTTCTCACAAGAGCTCTCTGCTTCTTGATAAATGATTATAAACAAAAAGTAAAAGAATTTATGACTATCTGAAATCTCACATAAATTATAGGCTTTCATTTTCTTCTAATGGAGATTGACTACACGCAGCTAGAACTGCGATCAAGTCTAGATGCCTTTTCTTATACAAGAAGATGAGTCTGGGCTAATACTGTCAGTATCATAAAACAAACTGGCGGCAAATGTTGCCTGTCGAAAACAAAATTCTATTCAAGTATTAAGCGACATGTGTTTTTTTTATAGATCCATGGATCATCTGAAATTGCGCTGCATTGCCGCTCACAATCATCAAACTTGATCAGCCGTGTAATCGGTCTATTTCGCATGACAGACGCAAGCGAGAACGGGAAGTAAGCGCAGATTGCATTGTTTTTAACGCTTAAAAAAGTCTGTGCATCCTATTTTCGCATGAAATAGTCTTGCCGCCTCTAATCAAAAATACCTACCTAGGTGGCATTAGCAGCGCGAACTGATTGGGCTACGGGGCTTATTCCGCATCCGGGAGCGCAGCCGAGCCTGAGTTGAGATTAGCATCGTCGAACCCATACAAGCACTGAAATCTGATTTTTGGTGGTTTAAAAGGAGGCGTCTCAAGCACGGACCTGTCACTGAGCGGTGATGATGGCGGGTGGAAATTGTTATGTAAAGCGATGGGATACAGACTCTGGATTCAACGTTGTCAGTCTCAAATCTGCATTTGACTCCAGTTAAACAATCTAATGCTGGCTAGCGACTCGGATGATTCTCGATTTCAGGGCTAGATAGGCCGGGCCCCGCTCCGTAAATGTCCTTTTCTCGGCATGCACATGTGATCATCGGTTAGATATCCGCAACAGATTGTCACTAACGCTCTGGCCTGCCTTTCTTGAAACAAGTCCGAAGCCTAGAACAGCTGGAAATCGATCGAATAAAGCTGGAAACAGTCTACTCGCACACTAGTTTATGATACATAAACAAAGTATGTAAAGGAAGCAGCTGATACCCAGCGGGCATTGTTGTGGTTGGCTGGACAAGGCCAGGACGCTTATCGGCCACGGTGAGACGGCTTGCAAAGTGTCACGCGGCCACCGACTCGGTGAGTTTTCTTGGCAGAGCTGATCTGCGGCCAAGGATCCGACATTGTGTTACCTTTGATAGTCAATTGGGCAACAGCAAATGTGCCTGTTCATAAAGCCACGGTCACGTTCCCGATATCGCCTCTAGCCATCTACCTACCAGCAAATTCAGGACATACAGTTCCAGCTGCGAGAATGACCGCGCGAATACTACAAGTAAACAATGACTGCGTGGTTGAAAGACGTGCTCGTGTGCAAGCTCCATAAATCCAGCAAACTCCCCCACTTGGATTCAGCCGCGGATCCCAGCAGCCAAAGAGAACAGCCAGCCACGGCTCCAAAGCCAGTGGACTAAGTAAGAGCTGCAGCCCAGCCAAAAGGGCGAAGGCGCGCGAAAGCAAGCACGGACCTTGTCCAATTTGGCAAATCAACAATGATCCATGAGGTGCGAAATAACTCGAGCCCTTTCAGCCCGGACTCCAGAGAGCTCCAACGAACGCGGGGAAAGCCCATGGACCTGCTCCACACCTCCACCGATTGGACAGAAAGCAGCGAAAATGGTTTTAGCAAGAGGACGAAAAAGACGGTCTGGTTTTACTACTGGGTAGAAAGAGGGCCTAATCCAGGCAGTAGTGATGCCAGAGAGATGGCCAGTCTGGAGAGATGTGTCTGGTAATGGCAATGGCCCAAGTAATAGCGCAGTGCCTAGAAATGGTAGTGCAACTAGCAGTCTCAGAAGCAGTATGGAGTTGCATGGAGTGATACATGGAGACAGCCAATGGCACAGCATTGACCGGAGAGCTGCAATGTAGCTAGAGAGCGTGCTCGAGCCTATCAACGATGGCGAAACAGCCCTGTCATGCAGCGAAATTGTGCCATTTGATATAGCTCCGGGAGCGCTGCATGGAGGGTGGGCGGCGCAAAAAATAGGACGGGGCTTGGGCTGAGCAAAAAGGCCAAGAAGTGCCGAGATAAGACGGCCATTCATTTCAATGCGGGAAACGGCCTGGTCGGCATCAGGGAACTTTTCTACATGTACTCTCTTCTTCCCTTTTCTACCTCTTCCTCTTCCTCTCGCTCCCCTCTTCAATGATAGCAGCTCGGCAGGCCGCCTAAAGATCGGTGTGACGTCCGTCCTGGCTCTGCAGCCGCGCCTTGCACCTCGTCGTCGCTCGCCACCGTCAACCACCCCGTGCTTGCTGCTATTCCTGGCCCGATATACAGGCATTAATCTCCATCACCTGCCACGCTTGTCAAGCGCATAACGGCCAGACGACGATCAAACTCTCGCGCAGGCTCGCTTAAAAGGAGACCAACAGATACGAATCCCTCCCACGACTCCACACGGAGCTGCTTGGTTCGGTCAGAAGGGGCCAGGCCAGATCTCCCGTCTGCTGCAGCCTTGCTGTATATGCCAGAGGTGCATTTGGCAGCGTGAGGCCAGCCCCGAAAGAGGTGCGCGGGACGCTTAAAGCAAAGGACATCCCCAAGCCCATAAGCACGCCGCAATCACACACAAGCGTTGACGGGCCGAAGGCGTGTGTTTCAAAGGAATCAAAAGGAAGGCGAGGAGACATACGAAAGTCGGCACCGGTGGCGACTTTGGACTGTTGCATCGTTGCATCGACACAGGCTCAACGTATCTGCATCTATACAACGCGCTCACGCGCACACACGCACAGACTTGTCGAGCCAGTCGCGCTTCTTACATGTATCTTTTTTTTTCCCTTTTCGCGGTACCCAGGAGGATTGACAGCCAATCCGTGACACAGCTAAGGAGGCGGGTCTCTCTGGGATTGGATCGTCTTGCAAAGAATATTGCCTATTGCGACGACCGAACCAGCATTGCCGAAGGTGAAGGAGAGCCAGGAATTACATCCTCCGCGGTGCTTGCACAAGGCCTGAAGGGCCGTTTCTGCACATAATTTACGCGACTCTGGAGACTGTGACCGAAAGCCTGCAGCATAGGCCCGGGATAGCGTCTTTAACGTTGAAACTGTGCTCAGCCTGTTGACAGCTGGTTTCAGCATCCTCAGCCTGCCATTGGCTTGGTTCATCACCTCGCTTCATCCCGCGTCTCTGCTGCTAGTACTGGTAGCAAGCAGCGACGCCACTGAATCCGGGGAATCCTTAAAGGACAAAGGACAGGGAGTTTGGATAAGGAGAGGCAGAAGGATTGGAGAAGAAGAAGCACAAGGAGCCAATCACCACACCCTTTTCTGCAGATTGGGAGGACAGCAGCAGGGTATTGTTGCGAGGGTGCTTCCACGTACCAACGACGAGCCAACTGCCGAATCTAGACACACAGTCTTGCTGCTGCCAACACGAGCAGCACACACTCACGCACTCACACAAGTGCTCAGTACTATTTGTATACGAGCACACACTGTCTAAGTTCGGAATACGGACCTCGAAGCGCTCAGGGTAAACCCGCGCATCGTTATCTCCAGGCGCAAAAAGGGCGCAAACAAACAAGCACACAAGTCACTCTCTCCGGTCCGGTTCGGCTTGTTACCAACGACCAGGGCGACATCTGCAATCCGACGGATCAGGCAAGGCGACAAGAGTCAAAAAAAATTCTTTTTTCTTCAATTTTTCTTGCCGGTTTGGCTATCCGGGCGCTTGCCGGCGCAAAACGCGAGCGCCAGAGCAGGGCAGAGTTTTTTTCAACAGGCTGCCGGAAGTGAGGACCCCTGGTTCCGCGGTCTCAGATTTTGTTCTAGAAGGACGGATCGGCGGCCTTGGAGGGGATTCGCCGACGCTGGTGAGTTGCTCTGACAGCAGCTAGCAGGCGGGCTGCATACGCTGTGAAATCCGGCAAGACCGTTGGTTGATTGATTCATCGGCTGATTAACTGATTGATAGCACTGATACTGACTGGTGTAGACGCATTGAGTGCGTATTGGATTGGAGACTTTGTTACCCGATCTAGTAGCGGTTGACCAACCACCACTTGTTGCATCAAGCGAATTCCTCCCAGGAACAAACACTAAACTCGAAACGCGGCCTTGGAGAAAACAAAGGAGAAGAAAAAAAGAAAACAAAGAAGCACGCGCCGAGCCCTGAGTCTGACTCTTGTCTCTGGCCTTGTCGTCAAAGAGCTTGAGCCAAACGTGCCAGTCCGTGCTCCGCGATCCGGCCGGAGACGCACCGCTTGCGGCCATTTTGCCAAGACGGGCTGCGCTGCTGCAGCGGATTTTTCTGAATTGTGCCCCTGGACAGGCGCCACAGCGGACGAAACCCCCCCTTGGGAGTGCAGCAAACAAGGGGCTTGCCGGGGCATGAGAGGAGAGAGAAACGTTTGGCCTGATTTGATTGAGTGAATCGACAAGCCAGCCGGTCAGTTTGACGCAGAGTCAGGCAATCCGTGCATTATTCGACCGCTCCGTCGCTCAGCTGGGCCATACCGCTAGGACTCAATACTAGCAGCACTGCCAGCGAAACAGCCGCCGCTGGAGCCCCCGGCGGCGCGCAGTCCCACCCGCTGCGCTGCCCGCTGCCCTCCAGCCTACAACGACCATGTCCGACTACAGCGCCATCTACCTGTACGCCAGCACCATCGGCGCGCCAATGCCCCTCGACAGGGCCTCGCGACGGGAGAAGCAGGCCCGGCGCCCCAACTCCACGCCCGACGGGTCCCTGGCAGCACGGCGACACTCGCGCAGCTCCAGCAGCGACCAGGCGTCCATGAGCAGCCGCTCGTCGCACTACACGGCGCGCCAGCTGTCGCTGTCCGGCTCGTACTCGCAGGGCCCCGCCGCCTCTGCTGCCGTGGGGCCGCAGCACCAGCAGGGCAGCGCCAGCGCCAGCGGCTCAGCTGCTGCTGCTGGTGCTAGCACTGCCAGCGCTACTACTAGTAGTAGCAGCACGACGCCGACCGCTAGCACCGCGACCTCTTCTCCTAATCTTACCAGCAGCATCAGCAACAACAGCAGCACCAGCAGCGGAAGCTTCTCCAAACACCACAGCAATCAGCACCACCCGCCGCCTCTCGCGCCTCTCGCCTCGTCCGCGCAGCTCCCGCCGCAGCCTCCCACGCCTGGCCGCGCCGCCAGGACCCTCTCTCGCCTGCATCGCGCCAGGCTCAGCGGCTCGCTGCTCGATGCCGGCGCCGCGAGAAATGCTCAGGACCTCGACCCGGCAAAGTTTGTGCGACAAATGACGGGCTTCCCGGCCAGCCGCGCCGAGTCCATCTCGTCCGCCAGCGGCCAGACCTCGGCCTCGTCGCGCACCATCCTCTCGACCGATCCCTCGGCCAGCCTCGTCGCCGCCCGGCCCTTTGTGCAGCGCAATGGCCGCACCTTTCTCAACGATGAGACGCTGCCGTACCCGCTGCCCTCCGACCTCACAGAGCTGCACAGACAGGCGCTGCGGACGATGCTGTTGATCCAGGTCATTGGCGCGCCCGTCCTGTCGCCGGGCCTGATCAAGAAGCCGCCGCAGCGCGTGCTGGAGATTGGCTGCGGGTCTGGCTTCTGGAGCACCATGTGCCACCAGTACTTCAAGAGCCGCGGCCACGGCGGGCTGTCCTTTACGGGCATCGACATTGCGCCGCTGGGGCCCGACAACAGCTCCAGCGCCTCCGACGACGCCATGAAGCCCAGCGGCGACATGCAGTGGAAGTTTATCCAGCACGACCTCCGCCAGATGCCTTGGCCAATCCCCTCGGAAGAGTACGACCTTGTCATGGTCAAGGACGTGAGCTACGCGGTGACAAATAAGATGATGCCGAACTTTATCGAGGAGTGCGTCCGTATGGTCAAGCCAGGGGGCACGTTTGAGATGTGGGAGTCCGATCACCTTATCCGAAGCTTGCGGCCTCACGTCCCCACATCCACAGTCTCAGCTGAAGATGCCGAGCAGCAGGCAGCCGCTGCCAGCCTTGGCGCCTATGTCATCAACCCGCAGACCCCCCTTACCGCCCCGTCAAACGACTACATTAATGAATACAACTCTTGGTTATCAAAAGCGCTTGAATCTCTCGACATCCATCCCCTCCCGTGTACAATCATTGGTCCCACCCTCATACAAGAGTACGAGACGCTGGGCGACGTCCGCTCACGGCGGATAGCCCTCCCCCTGAGCGAGTTCCGCTGGGAGAAGGAGGGCATTGGCGGTGTCATCACTACCGACGCAAAGACCGACTCCAAGGGCAAAGAACCGCCGCCAACGCCGAGAGCGGACAAGAAGACGTTGACGGCGGGGCAGATTGCCCTGCGGCAGACGGCCTTGCTGACCCAGGTGCAGGAGATTCAGGCTCTCGAGCCCATCCTGCGAGAGGTCAGCGGCAAGAGCCAGGACGAGTGGGACATGTGGCTGGGGAAGATGATGAGCGACCTGATGGACGACAACAGGACGTCGTTGAGCGAGTGTCTCGAGTTTGGCGCCTGGTATGCGAAGAAGAAGAAGGTGACGGGGTGAATGGAGAGAAGAGAGATTATTTAAGCGATGGAAAGGGAAATGTTTCGAAAAAAAGTTTATACACGTGTTGTGATGGAATACCTTTGGATAATTTTGGGCTCTTCTTCTTCTTTTCTTGCCTCTTCTGTTTACCCCCCTCCTTCTCTACTGCGTTGGTGGTAAGAAGAAAGGGAACAAGAGTTTACCGGGATATGAATCATTTTTGTACATCTTGATATGCATTTATGGCCGCGAGCTTGCTTAGCGAGAGATGTTCTCTCTTTTTATGTTGCTTTTTTTTTTCTGTTTCGTTACCTACCTTATATACATATTACGTCTTGCCCCCTTTTCTTTGACAAGACCTTTTTTCCTTTTCTACCAATTAACATTTCCCGTTCCGTTTATTGGAGAGAAGAAAGAATATGATATTTTACTCTTGCGTCTCTCACATCCTTTTTCTCTCTCTTCTCTTTCTTTTACAGACACTCAGGCATCGCCGTCATATCGTTTTCTCAATGTTCGATATCGTTTCAGATAGTACCTGTTATATACCCCGAACGGCAAGGGAGGGAATTGCATTAGCGGATGGAAATTGCGGAATGGGATAAAGGGTGCGTAATATTTTTTGGTGGAAGAAGGCGAGTTTATGCTGTGAAGAGGAATGTTTTATAACACAGATTGAGGCTTTATACTCATATATTCACATTTTGCTTGTGATGTGAAGTGAAGTGATTGTGTAGATATGATGATTTGTGATACATGGCTTTCATAAAATGAATACTTCATGATGAGTGCATGTAGGAATTAATCTTACAGAGCTTCGATCTCTGTATGTATGATGTTAATGTCTCCAAAACTTGATGCATTTTGCAATAAAAAGATGTATGGATATTGAAGTTGAAGACGCACCCTTCTTAACAAACTCTGCTTGCTTGATGCCGGAGCGAATCTTGTCCTCGTCGCGCTCGGCGGCACGCGACATGAAGGCCTTGTGGAGGCGGGGGCGGAAGAAGGAGTAGCCGAGGGGGTATTCGCGGCCGAGGTAGAGGAGCTCTGTGTGATGATGGTTAATTGGAAATGAAGTATATGCGACTCAAACGGAACTGTGTATTTTGTCTGATGGAAAGGTGGTGGCGACAGAAGATGAGGTGGAGAGCTTTTGTCTCTTTGAATTCAGGTATGATGTAGTGATGAAGGCGGATAGCTTCAGTGCAAGACAATAATGAAGAAAGAGAGAGTCGTGCAGCGAACCTTTATAGATGGCGATGACCTGCCTCCTCAGCTCAGTATTAAGACTCGCCATATTGACTCTCAGCGATTCATATTCTTAAACGATTGTGATGCTGTCCAGTAATTTGCAGATGCTTAAAGCGTAAGTGACTAAGTGAAGCTCAGCCGTAATCATCATCATCGAGCGCCCCGCCCAATTCGAGCTTTAAGCTAAGAATTACAGCTGCTACCGCTAGCACGAGACCAACATGAACGGAAGCTCCAATCAAATCCACGCTCTAATGCAAGGCTGACGAAACGCCACCATTGAATGGTGCCACTCCATCGGCTGAATTCCATCATCTCTTTGAAATTCGATACAGAAGAAATGATGATTATTGCGACAAGTTCCCCTTGACGAGCCATTGCTGCTTCTTACAGCTTTTTTAGTATATAACCAAGTCCTAATCATCCATATTCGCACATACTCAACTCCAATATCATGCCGCGCCTCGCCCCAGCCCTCGAAATCTTCCCCACGCTCGCCCGCTTCCAGACCATTCGCCCACGGCGCCTCGCCGAAGTCCCCATCGGCGGGCCCTCTCACGAAGTCTCACCAAGAGCCCTACAGCAGAGCGCCATCCACCTGTACCACGACCTCGGCGTGATTGTTTTTGCGGGGTGTTCTGTCGCCGAGGTGTGCCGGATAGGCGATGTGCTGAAGGAGGTTGTCGCTCTGGGCGGGCCGGGCGGCGTGGTGGCGAGGCTAGATGGGTGGGAGGGCGAGGTGGTGAGGAGGAGAGAGAGGAGCTTGAAGGGGGAAGGGGAGTTGTATAAGGACTTGGACGAGAAGAGGGTGAGTTTGTTCTTTTTCATAAGAGAAGAATATTTATCCCTTGAGTTGAGCTAATGATTTTTTTTTGGTCTTGGTTACTAGACTGGGATTATCAGACCTGAGGTGCTGCTACAACTTGCGAAGACCCGGTTCGAAGAGACGCTCAAGGAAAGGATACCGGAGCTGAGGACGGCAAAGAATATCGACATACGAGAAACGCAAGTCATTCTCCCGGGTTCACCTCCCCCGAGAGGAATCATCAATGTACGTAGAATTTGCGATACACTACACCCCTCCAAAGCTTCCCATGAACAATACGTGCAACAAAACTCAACTCACACAAACACTTCTATAGAAAACGGCCAACGGCCCGCGCCGCCTCCCCATCGAATCCTTCACAACAATGGGCGTCAACCGCGTCAGCGGCTACACTATTGGCGAGACGCGCTTCTTCACCGTCGGCTCGGGAAACTACGTTGGTGGAGCACGAGTCGATTACCTGATGCTAAAATACGAAGAAGAGAAGCAGAAGAAGGATGGCGAGAAGAATAAGACCAAGAGTGCGAGCACGAGCACGGGCATAAGCGTGAAACCATTCTGGGGACATGGGAACCTCAAGCAGAGACGGAGGGTTGGCTATGAGGAGCAGACTGCGATTTTCGACCAGGTTATCGGCAGGCTGATGCAGCCGCTGTGGGAACTGGAGCGTAGTGTGTGGGCTGACAAGGCGGAGGAGCTGGAGAGGCGGAGGGAGAAGAAGAAATGGAGAGGCGACGATACCCAGGTGAATGATGCTTGAGCGCTTGTAACAACATATGCATGATGTAGTAGTACCAAGAAGGATGGAAAGTGTGTTTTCTGTGTATGGAGGGTGGCTTTGGCGATGGTTTCACGCATAGCAACTAGATGAGATGCTGTTGGCCCTGCACCTTGTATCCGGATATAAACATACCGTAGGTGTAGGTAGCTCGCCCCTCCCTTTTCCATCTGCAGCCTCAAACGTTCGAGTCAAGCGATTGCTACTCTGCGGGGGACAGGACTTGGTCCTTGCCAAATACACGCATATATCTCACGCTGTACTACCACACAAGGTAGCATTCGGCAAAGCCTATCAGCATCTCAGAGCCAAACTGCCGAGCCTACCTAAGTCGTAGCAAATGTCTTGCTCTAAATAGTCACTGTTTTCTACTTGTAGATAAATAGATCGATCGGAAAGGACGCAAGCACTCACAATTATGGCGAATAGTATCACGAGTTGAAGCCTCCAGATTAGCCCCATATGCCTCATCGGCGCCGCATGCTCTTAATGCCGCCTTGTCTGCTAGCCCAGAGCAAATGGCACCATCCGTCGTCCGGGAAGAGTCTGGAGGTCACGCTGGCCGTCCTGAAAATCCCTAGTCGGGCGACGATCAGTTTCCATGCTCAAAGCGTTTGTCTATCGCGGGGTATCGTGGCCCGAAGAGGGGCACGTCTAGGACGGCCGGAGACTGCTCCCAGCATTGTTAGCACGCAGTATATGCATCCTTCGCTGACAATGACTCGAAAAATCATCCGCTGGGGTTCTTGGATGGCTGTGCTCCTCTTTCCATATGGCAGAACTTGTATGTGTACATACGGAATGCCGTTTTAGGCACTATCTGTATGTTAATGTTTGTTACACGCCGCTCTCTATCTCGCAGGCTCATATGCTAGCTTCACAAGCCCCGTTTAGCGTTTTTGGCGGCTGAGAGGCTGGATCGGGAATTTCTGCCTCGTCGATTAGTCGTAGGCAGTACAATCTACATGTTTGCTGTAACTTTGACAGTGAGGCCACTGTTTGGCGGCCGCGCCACAAGGGAAACAGGCCATTGCGATACCCCAAGCAAGGAGCGGTCAGAAGCGGACAAGTGCATACGGATAGAGTCATCAATATTACGGCCAGCAGTTGTACGGAGTATTAGTAGAGCGCTGCCAGTAAGCTATGTGACAGCTCTTCTCACGCTGATTCTCACGCGCCCTGCCCGCCCTCTGATTCGACGCCTCCCGCAGCCTCCTTTAGTGGGATTCGACGCCCATGCCGTAGTTGGCAGTCAAACATCAAAGCCGCAGCGGCAGTCAGGGATAAGCGGTGGGGGGCTCATGGCAGAAGAGCTCAGAGGCGGGCCAACCAGCGGCAGCGGCAGCAAGTTTAACCAGCATCTAGGTATTTGTGCCTCCACTTCGAGTCGTTGTGATTGCTGTATATGGACAGGAAAAAAAGACGAGAGCTAGCATCGTACCATCTCGAGTCGGGAAATTGGAGGCTCCATCAGGATTTTTTTTTTTTTTTTCTCTTCCTCTTTTAGCGCTTTAGTGCGAGACAAGAGAAAAAAAAGAGAAGCTTGTGGGTGTGTGGGACGCAAATGGCCGACTCTTCTTTGGAGAATCTGAAAGCGGGGGGCCCTGGAAAAAAGAAGAGACTTGCACGTGCAAGCAAGGCGATGCACAAGTACCGAGTACATGACAGGACGCAAGCAGCACGTTTTTTGAAACACGGAGCGCGTGCCTCTCTTTTATTCTGACGTTGATTGGCAGCTCTTGAATTACATGCTGCGTATTTACCTGCAAACTGCATTGGAGCATCAAGATCCCCTCTTCTTATGCTGGATGCACTCTTCCCTTCTTACTTGTGAAGCGGCAGATGATATTCCCTTATTCATGTTAGTGCGTGGCAGCAATTATAGCCACAGCCAACAGCGCTGAACTGGGGTAACAATCGACGTCAGATCCCTTGCCGCTGGCCCTCCTTTCCGTGGGCAAAAAGCTTAACCTGCCCTAGCCCGCGGCCCAGCCTATCGACAGTTTTTCCGGCGGCCAACAGCCGACAGCCTCAATCCAAGTCCCGACGCGTGTGGCCGTGGCCAGACATCAGGTTCAGCTGCTGCACTAAAACTGGCCCAAGGATTTCAGTGCTTGCTGGCCCGCAGATCCGGCGGCTCCGGGAGCGACAGGCTGTGCCGGTGCTGTTTGTGAAGGCGGCTTCAGGCGTCTATGCGGTAGAGGGTACGCTGATATCAAATGCTTTGATAGTGCCTGTAGCACTCAGCAACAGAGCAGAGCACCCGTAGATCCATTCTCGCACGTTCTTGTTTGGTGGATTTCGCTCGGCATTTGCTACGGATGCTACTACAAACCTTGTACTAGAGCATGAATGAGTCTCTCCCCCTGTCTACTTTAGCTGCCGCGCTTGCAGTATGGCCTTTCTGCCGTGGTTGAGTCCTACTAACGTTGTGAACCTCGTCAACTAGCACTTGTTCTAGTGTTATGACATGCGTTCTGGAGTGGATTTGCATATAGGTATTCTGCCTAGCGCTGCTAATGCTACAGGTATAAATGATTGCGCTGCACAACACACGAGACTCGGGAGGAGATGTTGGAGCTTGGCAACAGCATTTGCATCTCTGTTAACAACTACATAAATGTAGTCGCTGGATAGGTAAGGTACCTACCTATAGAGTTAAACCAAATGACCGACCCTGGCAGCCCAATGATAATACTCCGTATAAGTACTCTATACTTCAGTACTAGCTGGCAAATACATAAAAGTGTCTTCTGCGTACGGCAGTACTCCATGTACCTTGGTATTCTTTCGGATGCCTTGGAGCGTTCTTGGACTTGACTGCTTCAGCTGGGAAGAAAGCAGTCAAAAGAAAAAAAAAAAAAAAAAAAAAAAAAAAAAAAAAGGAAAAATTACTAGCAACGCATCGTGCATTCTGACACCATTCCTCCCATCCTGCCCTCCCCTATCCCCTCCGCCGAATCTTGGCCTTGTCCTCTGTACTTTGCGACGCTCTCCACAAGTCTCCCAGTTAGCGTCTGTAGACGGTAGATCCAGGGCCCGCCCTAGCGCCTCCTGTGCCCTGGAAGCCGCCCAGAGGCCCTACAAGTTTCCAAGTTACACGTCCGCTACGGCCTAGCAATAATCCCCGGCTCGTGGGTAGGCGGCTTTTCTCTTTTTTCGCTTCCTCCACCACCGCCAACATCTTCTTCTACTTGGTCCAAATCTCACTCCTTCAACCACGCAGTTTCTCACCACCACCGGCCGCGACTGCTGGAACGGCCAGCACCTCGCTTCGCACCAAACGGTCAACAGGCGCTCGCCTTTGTGCCGCGGCCAGACCGCACCGCGCTCGCATGACGACCCCATCTTGGAATTAGCAGTCTTTTGATCCCTTATTTTTGTTCCATCTGTCTTGCAGACCAACTCTTAGTTCCCCCACCACACACATCCTCATAGACACGCACGCACTACACACCGGCGTCGAGGCCCGCAGACCGCACGCGAAGACCGAATATTCCTCCCATCCCGCTGCTGCTGGCCCTGGCCTTGGAAGAGGTTCCCAGGGTTGCTCGGCAGTCAGTGGGGGAGAGCACACGCCGCGCATGCCTCGCGCATCAGCATCGGGCAAGCGACATACAGGTGGCGCCGGTCATCGCGACACGAAGCACGAGAATGGGCTCGTAGGCCCGGCGAAACGAACCACTGGCAGGAAGGGCCCCAATCACTCCGAAGGCCCTGCGAGGCCCGCCGACAATGGCGCCGGCCACGCAGGGCCGCAGCTTGTGACCCAGGGCGTGCCCAACGGCAGCTCCAAGGCTGGCATCGACTTCGCCCACGATCACCGCACCGCCGATACCCGCAGGTCCTCTGTCGGCAACGATTCTGAGACGTCCACCTCCGAGTCGTGCACCTCCCACATGGCATCTGGTGGCGCCGTCGATGGCGGCCATCGCCAGATCGACGTCAACGCCATGAAGAACATCGATGTGCACCGCGACTCGAGCCCCCTCGACATCGTGGCCACCGTCCTCAAGTCCCTGCCGATGCAGGATACGCTCGCCATCCTCATCATCCTCATGCAGCTCCCGACTCTTTCCCTCTCCATCATCTACGGCATCTTTACCTGCTTGACCTTTGTTCCCACCGTCACCACAAGCTCGGGCATCAATCTCAACTTTGCCGAAATCTTTGATGGCCACTCGACCATGCCTTCCTTTGTCACCATGTTTTGCATGGATTTCTTTTTCCTCCTCATCTGGCTTTTTCTTTGGCAGCCAATCCAGGATGCTATTCTGGATCTAGCCAAGCCCATCATTGCCATCACTCTCGGCGGCGGTGCTACTTACCGGAATGGCAGCTCGAGAGGGATTACGACTTGTGCCGTCTGGATTGCGGGTAACCAATTCATCCGTAGTACACGAAGCCATTGGTCCCGCTTTGCCAGACACATCCCCGAAGACTGGCCGGTCCCTTCTGCCTTGAGAGGCACACTCGAATCCACATCACTCATGCACGATAAGAGAAGTGCATTTGCGTGGGTACGAAGCGGATTGGCCATTCATATCTTGACTCAGGGGCTGGTCAGATACATCCGAGAGTGGTACCTGAGGAGGGAAAAGGCCAGCGCGGCAGCTGGCCAGCATGACCCCGAGGCTGGGAAATCCGTCGCCACCATCTCGATCAATGGCGAAGTTCCGCACGACACTGGCTTCAACACTCCAGACACAGAGGCTGGGTGTGCTCAGCTCCCACCTCCACCCCCTACCAACAAGAAAAGAAGAAAGCAGGGTACGCAAGTCAGACTACAGCAGCCGCTATGGGCAGCGCTGGCTAGCACCAAGATTGTTGTAATGAAAGAGTACGAGTCGTCTCACGTGTCCTCCAAATCACTTGGCGTCAACACGACAGATATACACAACCTCGGGAATGCGCCTTTCAACACTCAGCCTAAACAGATATGGATATCCTATATTGGTTGCGACGAAGCATGTTTTAACACCAGCAATTTTCCCGACGTCGATGACGTGCCGCTGCCTCTGACCACCCCCAATGGACAGCCCATCGCGCGACCCACTGGCGTCGACACATCCAAACCTTTCTACGTCAAGGTCAATAATGCATTTTGGCAGCCAACTCGCATTTTCCCAGTTGTTGATGAAGATGACAGCGGCCGAGCAGGTGAAACTCGCTGGACGGGAGACATTTATGGCCTCCGGCCGTCGTCAAAGTACGTGTGTGAGTTTGTGGACACTAGGACTGACAAGGTCATCTTCTCAACCAACATCCGCACTGTCAAAGAGCCAGCACGCGAAAACGACGGTGCACCTGTTGCTGTGTCCGGCAACCAGCAATCCCTCCAGCCCGATTCTCCCGCCACCACCCTGCGTATTTCCATTGCGGCGGCTGAAGCAAAGCTCAACGACGAGAAAAATCGCCTCAAGACTTGGCGCAAGGAATGGAAGTCCAGAATTAACGCCCTCAAAAAGGAGAACGAGCTCCTTGACAATCAGATAGCCTCAGCCGGCCACAACGACGACAAATATAGACAAAAAGTTCGCCAACAAGAGATACAGAAGGCACAGGCCGAGCGTGAAACGGGAACCATAATCGAGCAGCTCAAGAAGTTTGACAGCTCCCCGGAACTGGCCGAGAAGAAGCAAGGAATGGAACGGACCTACACTAATGAGAAGAAGCTATATGATGCAGCTCAGAAGAGTTTACGCGAATACAAGGCGAAGTTGGAGGGTGAAGTTCATACCAAGGAAAACGAGAACAGCAACCTCATCACCAAGCGTAACAAGATCGCCACTCGCATCGCCAAAGTCGAAAACGAGCTTGCCAACATTGCTGATGCAAACAATCGAGGCCTCAACGAAGTGGAGCGGCGAAAGCGAGAGCGCGCCAACTGGCAGGAGCAGGTCATTAACACGGAAAAGGCCTATCATGATCAGCTCGGGCAGATTTATGCAACGAACAATGCAAAGGTCGAGCACATTCGCAGCCTCCAGAATCAGATACAAGGAATTCAAAACTTCTTGAGCCAGGCTAGCAGCATGCCCGTGGAGATGGCCCCTCTCGATCCTACCGCCGTGACTGCGCATCCTGCCTTTCAGTCACCGCGGCCGCCACAGCAGCAGCTCCCCCCGCATCAGGGTCAGCCTCAAACTCCCTGGCATCCCAACCCGATTGGTTATCCGCCCAACATGTACGTGCCACTGCCAAATGGTGAGAATCACTCAACTTCTTCTCTCCCTTTTACTCTGCCCGGTATCGCCGCATGGCAGTCACCGCCCATGACCACGTTCGAGAATCGCGGCATCAAGTCGCGCGGTCGCAGTTCTAGCATGCTCAGCGACGTCAGCGGTTTCACCCAGCCGAGCGATGAGGAGCCCCGGTCTCCCGTTGGCATGGGCATGAACATGGCGCGACGGCCCATGTACACCAAGCGGTTTGGCGTTCATGACAGCAGAGGGAGCACCGGTAGTGGCGGTAGTGGCGGCAGTGGCAGTATGGGTGATCCATCGAGCCCGTCTTGATCTTGCTTTTTCGGTTCTTCTCTTCTAAATGTATTCTTTTATTTGTCTCCGGTTGGGTTGCTTCTTTTGAGAGCTGAAGGGTGGGAAAGGAGGTAGTTTGACGAGGCTGGCAGTGTTTGTTTCTGTCTCTCTCTAGACTCTCTCTCTCTGTCACTCTCTGTCACTCTGTCACTTTCTCTTTGTCTTTCAGATTGGGCGGCTAAGCGAAGCTGGCTCCGTGTGCTGGGGAGGAGCGAAGGTGTACGTAGTTTGGCTATAGTCTGATTGGCTTTTGGTTTGATGAATGAAGCAGCGCTTTTATAAACCTGTGTGTGTGTTTGTGCCTCGGTGTTGTGTTGTGCTGCGTTATGTCCTGAGTGATGAAAGCGTATAAATTCCTGCTTGGCCAAATGGTATGAGGCTCGTTTGACGTATGTGAGCAATGACCGCCAGAATACAGCATGTGAATAATAGTGCCGTGTCAAAGATCTTCCTTTTGATCAATATTAACGCTATAGGTAGATTACAGTGGCCTTGAGAGGCGTATATGCTATGAGAGGAATTCCCTGTACTTCTAATCAGAGCGGATCAGGGGCGGTACAATGGCGGATCATCTGGTCTGACCAGTCTCACTAGATAAGTACATGTAGTGAGAATAAAGATTGAAAATAAGCTTAAGTTAAGATGGAACATGAACCGTTTTGAATTCTCGTTTTCCTCACCATGTTCCCGTGACATGTGACTGAAAATTGTGCATTACATCTACTTGTCCACATATTTTTTAAATCATTTCCATGTATAACATCTACAAAGACTCACTAAAGGAAATATATTACCGACGTCCGCTGAATGAGACGGATAGCAGTGAAGTTTGTAGCGGTATGTCTTTGTCACATACTGGGCTGCTTGTGATTATAATTACTAGCTGCGCATCTATCGATTCTTCTGAGTAAATATGGCAATCAGATGAGAAATAGAAATATATAGAGCTCCTAAATCAGCCTGGTCAAGGCTGTCCAAGGTCATAGGAAGTTTGTACAGAATGGGGAAAAGCGTTCCCCTGGCTAAGATGCTGTAGGAGAAGATAACTAGGAAAATGTAGTCTTGAGTCGTCTATTGAATGTGAATAGGGTTTTTTGTACAAAGGACAAGACGGAGATGGAGGTAAAACGAATGTGGGGACTTGCATTGCAAAGCTATACTAAATGGCAAACTAATCTATCTTAAAGGGAGAAAGCCTTGAAAGGCAAACCGATCTATCTCAAAGAGAAAAAGCCCTGGGGCATTCACGAACGAAAGAAAATAATCTTGTGGTGTTGCGAACAATTTGTTTGAAACCGGATCTAGACTCATTCCATCTGCACTCTAGTAGACAACCCAGTGTCAACACTGGGTATCTGAACCTCATTTCTTGCCCCAAAGGAGGTACATATGCTCCATCTCACCTTGGATACATGCACATATACCATCTTGAGGCGTATCCCCTCACAGCTAGGGAATCGGCATGGTACCCTTGCCTAGGGTAGTCGCGGCTGGCTGAGAGATGTTTCGTAGTTTTGGGAGAGTAAACGGCTCAGTGCCGCTCAGGCTCTTTACTCTTCCTAACAACTTCTCCAGGTGACGGAATGACGCCGCGGGTGCATAGCCGGGCCCTTGATGGCCAGCCAGTTTTGTCGCTACGAGCGTAAGACCACGTTCGTGGTGAGTCGTACCCAGAACGCCAAATGAGGCTGGGGAATTGGAGCCGTACCCAGTAAAGCCAGTACCAGTGCTGTTGAGCCCATAATTCGGGACGTAGAATGGATCTTGCGGTTGGTATTGGAAACCCAACTCGCCACCCCATGTCATGTTTTGAATTCCCAGCACCGCTCCGTTTATGGGAAACATCGCGTCGACACCACCTTGGGCAAGGATGACGTTCCTAGTTGTGTCAATGACGTGTGGGAGCTGCTTAAACCCCGAAAACGAGGAATTGTCTATTCCACTAGGGAAGACCCCAAGGAAACACGGCGTCCAATCAAACCCATCAGGGGCATGAATTGCCCTTTTGACTTCAGCGCGGTTGAAATAGGAGTTACTGCCGTTGGTGGGATTGGCAGGGTTGACAATTGCATCATAAGGATAGGGACAGCGATCGATGATGTTATATGGGCTGAAACAAGGGCTTTCTGCGCTGGCTGCATCCACGAGATTATCCCAGAATTTGTAGCAGGTATCATTATTTTGGACCGGAGTGAGGTCAGGTTGTATGCCCACAGGAGGAAACACGAGATATTTTTCAAAATAGTCGGTGAAACCGCAATCTTCATGAACATGGCGGAAGCTTGATAACATGGTGTCATTGAATGGAAGTATATCCTGGTAACGGGTGACGAACGGCAGGATGGGGATGGTGCTATGCACAGTCTGGCCAAACAAATTTCCATCATAGATGATCAACCCCTGTACGTCGAAGTAATCCGTGTCCTTGGCGTCGATGAAATGGCTGGAGATGTATGGACCGTACATGCCGGCCCAGGATTCACCCGCGATGTAGACTTTCCAGCCATGCAAACCAAAGGTGTCAACAAAATTGCGCCAGAAACCCTTGAATTGTTCGGCTAGTCCGTCTTCATCTGTGATGCTGGGATTACCTTTGGAAAACCCCGTGCCAACAGGCTGATCGATCCAGACGACATTGGTGAGGAGGTGCCAGCTGAAAGGATTGGAGATGGGCTCCAATGTCCCAGGTTGCCATGAGATGGGACCGTTCTCTAGAAAAAGAGCCATCATTGACGAGCATCCGGGCTATCACCAGCTCAATTCTTGGTAAGCATGCTAAACGAGCGAATAGATAGGAGGTTGTGCATGCAGATGAACTTACCCCGCCACTGAGCCAGATGACAATTTCCTTGTCGTCCTGATACTCCTGATTGACCGTCGGAAAGAACCAAAAGAAGAGCTCATCGCTTTCGTTGCGCTTGTTGCTGATAGGAAGATTTCCAGCATACGAGTCACCCACATCAAAGTCGATCTCGGGGAGAGTGGTGCCGTTGACATAGAAACCTACACAAGTTGCCGTTTAGTATTTTATCATTACAGTTTACGACAATGTTGCGAAATCCGAGAAAAGCGGCCACACGTACCTTTTGTGACAGAGTTGTAAAATCGCGGCTCGGGCTGTGGCTGAAAACCACACCCACCGTGGTTCTCCGGAGGGGGATGGATGGCAGCACCAGCGGTACGATTATCAAGACCAAGGGTGTGAATACCGAGGAAATCATTGGTAGGAGGGGCCGCGACGACGATGCCGACAGCTGCCAAGAGGCTCCAAATCCCCCAGAACTTCATATCTCTGGTCCACCGGGATATTTATCAGGCCTAGGTACGAATGGGTATATCGAGGCAACGAGACTGATAAGGTAAAGAGAAAATAAGATGGTAAGCGTGACAACGTCCACGATGAGGAAAGTCACCCGGTATTCCTCAATGACACACATGCAGATGGTGAATGTAGAAAAGACGAGATAAAATAGAATGAAGGTTGATAGAGAATGGGTGGCTGGTTGTGTTTTTGGTTGTTATAAGTGTTGTGTCTTTGTCTAATCTTCCGGGACTTGGTGTCTCTTCACTCTCTACTTATAGATTTCTTTTTCAGACAGGCAAAGCACTTCCGGAACCATCTTTAACTCCTTACTCTGTTTTCACACGTTTGCGCTTCTTGCCCTCTCAAAAGACGAGAAAAATCCTTACCAAACTGCTGTTTGACATCTCCTTCAAGAGTACACAAGGAAGAGAATGGGGCTGTTTCACTGGAACATTCGTATTAGTGCCAATGACAGGAGAGTATTGAGCTGTCTATCTTTGTTTAACCGCACCACATGTCCATTTACATGTTTTTATTATGCGAGAAGCCGTTCAACTGGGAGCGGTGAGTCCGACAATGCTTCAGCTCCCAGCTCATTTCAATTGTCATGCTGCCTGCTCCCGTTTTGCGTTTGCCAATCCCACACATCACGTATATTGACCATTTAGGAGAAGGACTAGAAACATGAATGTTGAGACTCAATACCAAGTGCCAGCCGCGCTTAAAGAGAATTGCGGCTAAGGATGAAGCGCAGAGGCCCATTTTGCGGAAGAGGCGGCAGAGGCTGTGTCGTTTGTACTACGGCAGCTTCCCGTGCAGGGCTAAAGATTTCCTAAAAAGTTCGGAGCTGCTTGCTGGCTTGACATGTAGCCACATGGAATATAGAACTACAAGTAATGAGATAACACGATGCTTGACACGCTTGAGTAAAATCCAGCCTAGCCTGCGGTCTATGCTTCATCACCTGAGACGCGGCATCGAGCCTTGGGTTAAAATTACATGCAGGTTTTCTCCAGTTGGGGATAGGTACCTATTGAATCTGCATATGGAGTGTGGAGAATGCTGTCGTGGAAGCTTTGTAGCCTATGATACATTGCGGTTTCGTTATACAAGACATGGCCTTGTGAAATTGATATGTGTGTATAGCAAGACCGCCATACGCCATATGGTTCATCTACTCATGTACATGTACTCAATTATAGATGCTAGGTGGCCAAAAACCAAAACAAACAGGGGCCCGAGACTATGTGCAGCTTTGCTTAGACTTGATCAGCTTTCGGACACACGTCATGACTCTTATTTGCCATATGATCTTCTGTTATGATACTCGGTATCAACCTACTGTCCCTGAGATTACTGTTACACAATGCCGCACCGGCCACGCTCTAATGAAGCTGAGCTGCAGCCGTCGGACTCGCAAAAAGTCCCAATCGGTCTTCCCGGGTTTTAGTAAACAACAGTGCTCAATAATGATCTCATCATGCAAACAATCCATGTATATACTCAAGGCAGTTTTAGAAACAAGTAGGCGCAAGACTGATGTGGGTTTCTTTACGATTGCGGGATATTGCTAACGGTAATTTTGACGCAACAAAAGCAATATGAGATAGACATACAGAGCCTTTTTTTAGGGAGACGTTATCCAGCACCCCAATTCTGTTATCCAACCCTCCAGCTTGGGCGTGGGCTGCTGCCAGTATTATTGCTATTGCTGCTGCCACTACTGCTAACTACTTACTATTATTACTGCTACTGCTGCTATTGCTGCTGTTGCTCTATTTCTAAATATATAATATTTAGCAGTTATGCACATGTATCTTCACATATGGAATAGCTGCCTTATTACGCTACAGCTGGGGTGTTGGATAATGAGATTGGGGTTTTGAATAACGTCTCCCTTTTTTAGTAGCTGATAATATCGTCTTCCCTTAAAATTAGATGAGCGCTGTCCTAGCCCATGTAGTTATCTGCAGAGCTAGAGGGTTGTCTGACGGCGCGAAGGGAAGAAGATCCCTTTCAATGAATCTCAGCGAGACATGTAGAGATTATTAAGATAGGTGCTTAAATCTGTTCTAGAGATGCAAGATTACATTATGGTTTTGCCACCGACAGTATCTCTGAAATTGCGAGATGGTTAATCAATGGAGATTATAGCGATTCGCCTTTAAATATGAGGTGCTTGTTAGTGGCATGTCTGTATTACTAGTATAGAACCTTGTTCGCGCATGTACTTATTGCCAAGCGATACCTTAAATAAAGTGCCTTCTCAAAGGCAATGTGAATTGCTGGGCTACGACAGAGACTTAAGTTAAGAAATAATACATATACCTATTGTCAGAAGTGTCACTGTTCGGATGACACGTTTAGGCTAGGCACTATCAGCAACGAATTATTTCACAATTTTACAAACATGTATCCAAATGTGCAAACGTCCATTCAAGTACCTAAATATGAAATGTACTCTGGAATGATTACGAATATAATTCAATCTTTGATTGCACGATAGCAGTTTTCAATGTTCTTTATCATGAGGCCGCTGTATTATGAACCTTTACAGACATTAGCTTCTTAACCGCATATCGTTCAACCATGGCGAGACTGATGTATTTTCGATCATATAGCTGCCTCTTCGTATGCGGTCTCTTCGCCTTTTTTTGAAAGATAATTCATATTGTAAAATGTCGTCTAGACGCAATACCGGTACTGACACCCTAGTACCTACCATATCAGGTCCCTGCGTACATGATACACGGCGATTGGTGTGTCGGGCAGCCGTTTGCCCGGAGCCGATGCTCCAATCAAAAGAGATGCTCAGTCATCAAATTATCTTGCTGTGACAATTATCTGTTCTGCATTGTACCTTACTCTTCATACTAGTACGTAAGCACAAGAGTTTGCCATTACAGAGCTGATTCAAACAATATTTTTACGTATAGTCTATTCAAGGAGATATTGCGTAGAGAAGCAGGCGGTTCAGGAAATTCGCTGCATCTACAGGCAAATGAGAAAACTCTGATAATGCGTGTTGATAGTGGCTGACCCACTAAATTGTGACGTCAAGCTGCCTAGGAGTGCTACGTATAAGCATGTATGTATTTCGTTACGCACCGTACCTACGAGCCAAAGATAGAGGAAGGAAAAGGTACAATGAGAAACAGAAGGCGTCTATGAAATGTAAACGCAAAGAGAAGCAAATGGATGTAGCTTTGGCTTTTTCTCTCAAAAATTCCTTTGCTAGAAGTATTTCGCGCTACTGCTCTTAATCCTACTGTCGTAAGATACAGCTGTTCATGCCTTAGTTTGATGCCTGATTGTGGCTCCCCTAAGCCCCCTTATCAGAAAGCCAAAATTCTGATACCGCGCCCCACCATCCAGAAAAAAATTCACCCCGCCCAGGTCGAGGAATCTCAAGCCTCTTAGCCTTAGACCGGCAACCACCGCCACCATCCTGGTCAGCCCGTAGTTTCGCCTCCCAGAATTTTCTTTTTTTTTCCTTTCCTCTCTACTATAACATACAAAAGTAGTATTCAGCGACGTTGAATACTACGCCTGGGAATTTGGGACTTCCTTTTTTTTGGTGCATCTTTCTCTTCTTTTCTCTTTTTACGTCTTTCCCGCTCTTTCGTTCCCTTCCTTCTTTTTTCTCCTCTTGAAATCACAAAATCAGCTGGAATAGAAGTTCCCGAACCACACCGCCACAATGCCTTCAGCTTCCAAGGAAAAGAGACTCGCGAAGAAGGCTGCCGAGGGCAAGCTGGACAAGAAGGGCGGCAAGGCCAGCAAGAAGCAGGAGCCTGAGCTCGATGCCTTTGGCAACCCCGTCAAGGATACCGACAGCCCTGCCACTACTGACGACAAGTTGGACGAAGTGAAGCGCCTTGCCGAGCAGATGGACCAGCACGGCATCTCAGACCGAGTCACCACGGGTGTGCTGTCTTCTACCCAGCAGAGCAAGGACGTCAAGATCACCAGTACCTCCCTCGTGTTCCACGGCCGAGTCCTCATCACCGATTCGACCATGGAATTGTCCTTTGGCCGCCGCTACGGTCTCCTCGGCGAGAACGGTTGCGGAAAGTCCACCCTCCTCAAGGCCATCGCTGCCAGAGAATACCCCATCCCTAGCCACGTCGACATTTACCTGCTGAACGAGGGCGCTCCTCCCAGTGACCTCGGTGCCCTGGAATGGGTTGTCAAGGAGGCCGAGAACGAAATGGAGCGTCTGGACCAGATGGCAGAGAAACTCCTAGAGGACGAAGGCCCTGAAAGCCCCGTTCTGATTGACCTTTATGATGTATGTGTCCCATCTCGATTGTCCAGCAGCGGTTGATTTCCTTTCATATGAAGTACTAACTCTTCTTCTTCAGCACATGGACAAAATGGACCCCTCTACCTTTTCCACTCGCGCTTCCCTCATTTTGACTGGTCTCGGTTTCAACAAGAAGACCATCCACAAGAAGACCAAAGACATGTCTGGTGGTTGGAGAATGCGTGTTGCCTTGGCCAAGGCGCTGTTTGTCAAGCCCTCACTTCTCCTCCTTGACGACCCCACCGCTCACTTGGATCTTGAGGCCTGTGTGTGGCTGGAAGAGTACCTGAAGAAGTGGGATCGCACCTTGGTTTTGGTGTCCCACTCTATGGATTTCTTGAACGGAGTGTGCACCACCATGATTGATATGCGAGACAAGCAGCTGCTCTACTATGGTGGTAACTACGACTCTTACGCAAAGACTCGCGAGGAGAACGAGACCAACCAGATGAAGGCCTACACGAAGCAGCAGGAGGAAATTGCGCACATCAAAAAGTTCATTGCCAGCGCCGGTACCTATGCCAACTTAGTCCGTCAGGCCAAGTCCCGCCAGAAGATTCTAGACAAGATGGAGGCGGATGGGTTCATCCAACCCGTTGTCGCCGACAGAGTCTTCACCTTCCGCTTCGCTGATGTCGATAAGCTGCCCCCTCCCGTCTTGTCCTTTGACAACGTCACTTTCTCTTACTCTGGCAACCCCGAGGATGATCTCTACCGCAACTTGGATCTCGGCTTCGACATGGACTCCCGAACCGCCTTGGTCGGTCCCAACGGTGTTGGCAAGTCAACTCTGCTGCGATTGATGACTGGCAAGCTCTCTCCTACCCGGGGATCTGTTACCCGCCACACACACTTGAAGCTTGGCTTGTACTCCCAGCACAGTGCCGAGCAGCTCGATCTGACCAAGTCTGCCCTGGACTTTGTCCGTGACAAGTACAGCGAGAAGTCTCAAGACTACCAGTACTGGCGCCAGCAGCTCGGCAAATACGGTCTCACCGGTGATTCTCAGACGGCCCTGATGGGTACGCTGTCTGAGGGTCAGAAGAGCCGTATCGTCTTCGCCTTGCTCGCTATTGACAGCCCCAACATGCTGCTGCTTGACGAGCCTACCAACGGTCTCGATATCCCCACTATTGATAGTTTGGCCGATGCCATCAACGCCTTTAGCGGCGGTGTTATTGTGGTATCCCACGACTTCAGGTGAGTTCTTACAACTTTTTTCCTTTCATTCATAAACGCTTGCTAATATACTCCGTTACAGATTGCTTGACAAGATTGCGAAGCAGATTCTGGTGTGCGAGAACCAGACCATCCGCCAATGGGATAGCAGTATTGGCGATTACAAGAACTACCTTCGCAAGAAGATGATTTCCGCTGGTGCCGTGTAAAGGCGGAAAATGCAAGACGAGCAGAACAAAAGTTTAAAAATTTTGCAATTGGAATCACAGTTGATTTTCATATAGAACGGATGATCATATGACAGGGAATTGAACGGCACATGGATAGATTGTCACACGCGGCAAAATAAAAATGAGAGGCAATCAGGGATGGGCACCGCACAAAAGTGCACATGAGCTCAGCCGCGATACCCTAGAGATGCAGGATGCAGGATGCATGCATTCATGATCAATGTTTTTTTTTTGTATGTTTCAAGTTACGGCATAGACTCGGTAGTGTCATGAGTTTTCCTTGGGGTTTACTACTACTGCCGCCATTTATGGTGGAGGATATGGGAGAATATTAGACCAGAATGAAATGAAACTAAGGTACTTAGGATGGTATATGACGTGCGAGTTTGAATCTATGAAGTGCATGGCTATGTTATATCCTCTACTGTCTATCTAGCCACCTACCTCCCTACCTACGTAGCCCTTATCTACCCTACCTGTAACTATGAACATTGGTTCTTCTTCCTCTGTTTTTCTTGCCTTGGTTTTTAGCAAATATAAAAAGAGTGAAGCTAGTGGAATTGTTTACCAGATTTGGCACCGTTGACTCACCCGGAGAGATTAGTCGGTAATTTTAGCGCGTGGTCGTAGTCCTTCCGGGTAACCTGTCAATATTCACAGGGCGTGGGAGTGATCAAATATACATAAAAAGGGAGGTAGGTAGATCATCAATATCTGCACGTCTTAAGCTTGCGAATACATTTAATTCCTTAATCCTCTCAAAGCCTGTCGGTGAAGTGAAAGCTTCTGGAGGGACATAATAACGCGCTCATCATGGCTTCAGTCAAACTACGGCCAGCTCAGCCAGCGGATGCAGCCGGTATCGCAAATACTCACTACAGAGCCCTGGATCGATATCATGAATTCTACGGGGCATTTTTTGTCTTGGATCCGAAAGAAATTTTGGAGAAATCGACGCCTGTGGCGCTGGAAAAGCCAGAAAACATTATCTTGGTTGCGGTAGATGAGGAGTCGAGTGGCGTTGTTGGGATTGTCAAGTATACTATTGAGGCAGAGAAAGTGGTGTCTACTGCTACTGTTGAGGGTCCTGCTTCTGTTGAGGATCCTGCTTCTGTTCCTGCTGGTCCTTCGCTTACGGCAGTCAAAGAGCACTTGAAAGAGCTGTGGACAGAGTTTGGGAGGAGGAGAGACGAAATGGATGAGTGTTATGAAAGGGCTGCGGATGGAAAGAGGCATATTTGTAGGTTTTGTCCTAGCCAAAGGGGAACGAGGATGATGGCTAATGAGAAAAAAGATATCCATACTTTGATGATCAACCCAGATTATCAGCGTAGAGGCATTGGAGGGAAGCTGCTCGCTGAAGTGCTGAAACAGAGTGACAAAGAAGCCATTCCGGTATTCTTGGCATCGACAGCAGAGTCAATTGGGCTGTACAGCAGGATGGGGTTTGAGAGCCTGGGAACATGGCCGATTGACAACGAGTACTGGGCGGGAAGAATAGTTGGGCTGGAAAGGGAGCTCGGGATTGCTGGCCATGAAGGGCTGCAGGAGACGTTTAAGGGAGTCGGCGAGGTTGAAGATGTGATGGTGAGATGGCCAAAGAAGCAGTGAGTGAGTGCATAGGTTAGGTATCTAATTGAGCCAAGCTACTGAGAGACAGAGTCGGGGGCATTCTCGAATGTAGCTGAGAAGTGTACTATATGTAACAGTAAGGGCGTGCTTGGCCACCAATAGCGGATGCTCTATTATCAACGACTGAAATGCACCTGATACCACGAGATTATCCACTGTATGTAGTCTACATCACGACAATATGGGCCTTATGGAGATGTACAGTACTCAAATGGATACTTACTGTCCGATTGAGTCAAAAAGACATTGCCAGATACAGTGCGCAGTGGTTGGCACACAAGGCGTTTGACGGGTGAGACTAGCGGCTGAAGTATGGGGATGGAGAGCTGCTGCAGAAACCAGGAGACAGATCAGGTGGTATCGTCGCTGTTCAAGTGCTGGAGTGTAGCATTTTGAACTGATGGCATCGTAGTAGGCACTGCATCCAATCTCCAATGCTGCTAGATCGCGACACAACCAATGCTCTCGGGTCTTTCATTCCGTGGCTGCACTTTTTGTGTGGAGTACCTAGGTACGCTACAATTTCCTGCAGGCGATACTTTGGCTGTCGCCGCCGTGATTGGCGCACGATGCTCTCTTGGAAGACCAGGAGGGATGAGGTGAATGGCTCTCCACCAGCCTTCACCGTCCAATCATCATGGCCGCTGGCGCTGCTTTTTCTCCAATTTGCTTAGCCCGCCACCAGCCAACGTCTAGGCCCCGGAAGAACGTGTACAAGGACAGGTGTAGATCCCAGATCTCTAGACAAGGCCCAGGGCGCGCGGCCTGACCGGCTCCAGGACTCGGGCTGAGCCAACGCATCAGTCCACCATTTGCAGCCGTAGTTTTCTCGTGAACAGTGAATGCCGTAGGTATATGTAGTCTGTCGCAGCGTCAATCCGGAGTTTGTGACTGCCCGTGTCCATCTTGGAGCAGATCTCGATCTGGGGCCGTTTTTTGAAGCCATCGCCATCGCCATCGCCATCACCTTCATTTGTGCCCTCACAACTGGCCGGTCTTGGCATCCATTCCACATCGTCCCTGCCCTCCTTGGGGAACACTCCATCTTTCATTGACCACCTAATTGATACTGCTATCTGGCGGCATTCTCTTATAGACTCATCCTCTCTAGTACTCGTATCTGCGCCTGCACCTACACCTGCCTACTGCTATCGACTGCTCGACTTCTTTTGCGCCGTCGGCAACACACGGCTCGGCGCTCATTCGCTGCGTCGTCATCGAAGCCTCGCAACATTTTTTGGCGAGGCTTTTCCTGCCAGCTTCTACCCATCTAGTTCCGGCTTTTGTCATCCGCCCACCCATCCAACGCGATCCTTGGCCGCCCTCTTAGCTCTCACCATCTGCCAACCCGATTCTCGTTTCTGCTCGAGCTGTCCAAGAATCCAAAGCTCTCTTCTCGATCGCCAGCGCGCGCGCGTGTGCGGAAAGATAAAAGACAAGGTATAGGAGCTCGCAACTACATTGGCCACAATCGCCGCGAGCCATCTCTTTTGCCTTTGCATTCTAGTTTTTTCTTTTTCTGCCTCCCCTCCAGCCTCGCCTTGACTCGACTCGACCTGCCTCGCCTGGCGGCTGGGCAGAAACCGACACAGCGCAATGGACTCGAGCTTTCGGTCGACGGTGCTGCACCGACACGGCGACGACGACAGAGATCGTGAGCGGGATCGGGAGCGAGAGCGAGACAGAGACAGAGACCGAGATCGAGACCGAGATCGAGAGCGCGACCGACGCGACGTGATGAACCCGGCCGGCTCGCACCGTCCCTCCACCTTCAGCCTGCGGTCTCCCTCGACCGAGTTCCATCCGCCGCTGCCCTACACGAGCCCGCATCACCAGTCGCCTCCTCGACTGGCCCAGAGCCGCAGCCCGTACATGGCATCGTCGACGCCGGCCTCATCCGGCGCATCTGCGCACCCGCTGGCGCCCGCTGGCCATCACTACGGCCCAGTCGCCTCAGCATCGCCGCTGCACCCCCCCAGCGCCTACTACCCGCCCCCGGCAACGACGCAGCAGCAGCAGCCATCAGCTCCGTCAATCTCGTCGCAGTCGCCCTCTGCCGACAGCCACCATCACCACCTACGCGACAAGCCGCCGCAGCGACAGTCGACGCCGGCCAGCGGCAGAGTCTACGACCCAACAACCGACACGACCAAGGAGCGCCCCATCGCCGACTCGAGGCATAACGCGCCGCCAGTGGCTACGCCAAAGGTAAGCAGCTCAACTCTAGCCATAGTGCACTTCCACTTTTCGGCCCTTACGCCCACCACGGCATACACTATTTGCCTTTGTGCTCGCTCGATTGAACCATCCATCCTTATTTTTTTTTTTGCACCACCATTTCTACCCACAGGAAGGGGAAAAAAAAGAACACGACCTCTTCTCCCCACCTCCGATGCCTTTTCCCGAAAACCTCCCATTCACCACCCTTGCCATGCTACATCATCGCCATCCCTGATTTTCCAACGCGTCTTCTAACGTGATTTTCCTCCTCCTCCTCTTCCGCTCTCCAGCCATACCACCCCCGCGAGCCATATCAGTACCCGCAGCCAATTGACCAGCAACACCAGTCGTCTTACCGCAACGGCGACAATTATCCATCGCCGCGAGCGAGGACCTCGTCCTTCAGCAGCCGTCGACCGACCAGCCCCCTCTCGCACTCGCACCCAAACCTTCCGACCGGCTCCCACAGTCCGCCGAGTCGACCTTCGCACATGACTTCACCGGGCCCCAGACATGCAGCCGCGACAGCGCCTTCCTCCACAAACGGCACGTCGCTGCCCTCCATGATGAAGACGGAGGCCAGCCACTCACCGCCAAAGCCGGCTCCCGTAAGTGCAGATCAGTCAATTGATTACGACTTCTACGTTCAAGCCTCACTTCACCTCTCGCTCACTTTTCTGGCCAAATTATCCGTTAGCTGTTCTGCTTCCGACCACTTCTTTTCCCTCCCTGCCTGTTTTTCAATTCTCGCCTTCCACACTTTTCACTATTAATATCTTATCGCTTCATCTTTTGGATTCTTTTGGCTTCCATATCCCATTCATTCCTTTGAGGAAATCAAGAGTACTGACAGTATCTTTCAAAAGACGCCGAGTCGCGCTGCGGATCCAATGTCCTTTTCCAACATCCTCTCCAACTCAGAACCCGCCCCAAAGCCAGCAGAAAAAGTACCCACACCCAAGAAGGAATCAGAGCCACCCATGCTTGAGCTGCGAGAGCCCGATAACGACGGCGATACTGAGATGGAAAAGGAGGTTGATACCGAGCCTGAGCCCGTTCCTGTCAAAAGGGCAGAAATCGTCATAAAGAAGAAGATCTCCAAGAAGCCTGCCAAGGGCCGTGCGTCTGAAATTAGAGAAGATGGCCTAAAGAAGAGCCGTCGATCGTCGATTAAGAAAGAATCTCCCACACCTCGAGTAACCTCAAAGCGACAAGCAAATGGCCAACCCAAGCCGAAGACTTGGTCTACGGAAATGGAAAAGTCAATCCAAAGCTACGAGGCACAGCTGGACAAACAGGCCGAGTCTCTCGACGACACCGAATTCAGCGACAGAGCTTACAAAGAGGGAGCCTTCAAGCGCCAGCGCCTCATGGCTCAACTGGACTCAGATAGAGGTCATGCCCGGACCGAGCAATTTGTTGGCTCTACGGGAAAGCGACTCGCCGAGCACTCCGACCTAGGCAAACGACGATACGACGACGTGTTTTACGACGAAGCTTTGCATGAAGTCCGCGAACAAGAGCTATATGCCGAGAAGGAGCGCAAAAAGGATATGCAGCGCAAGCGACGACGCGAAAAGTCCATGGCAGTCACCATAGAACAGAAAGAAGCTGCTCTTGCTCGGGCCGAAGCAGCTGAAGACGAAGAGGAGCGCCAAAAGCACCTACGTGATGCCGAAAGGGCGAATAAAAAAGCGCAGCAAACAAAGCTCATTCTGCAAAAGGGTATCAAGGGCCCTGCTCGCAACATCGAGCTCAACCTCGAAGGCGGCACCATGTCCAGCTTCCTGGCGTCCGATGCCGAAACCCCCAAGAAAAAGGGCCGCGGGGGCGCACGACCCAAGAAATCCAAGGAGCAGAAACAGGCCGAAAAGGATTCCGCAGAAGCTGCCCAAGCGGCCTTGGACGCCGGCGAGGAGCTCCCGCCCAAGGAAGAAGGCAGAGTCCGCATCAAGATCAAGGGCAGCAAAGCCAAGGCTGACGGAGAAAAAGCCAGCAAAGAAAAGGCGGAATCTTCCAAAGATAAGGACAAGGTCGATGACGTGCCAGATCTGGAAAAGAAGTTCATCTCCAAGGGTTACAACCAAATTTACGATCAGATTTGGCGTGATATGGCCCGCAAAGATGTCAGTAAAACTTTCAAGCTCGCTGTCGACTCTTATGCTACCCGAGGCTCCAATCTCAAGAAGACAGCCATTTTGGCTTCAAAGGAGGCCAAGCGCTGGCAGCTGCGAACGAATAAAGGCGCCAAAGATCTCCAGGCTCGCGCCAAGCGTGTTATGCGTGACATGATGGGATTCTGGAAGCGTAACGAACGTGAAGAGCGGGATCTACGCAAGGCCGCCGAGAAGCAAGAGATTGAGAATGCCAGAAAGGAAGAAGCCGATCGCGAAGCCGCTCGCCAGAAGAGAAAGCTCAACTTCCTCATTTCTCAAACCGAGCTGTATTCGCACTTTATCGGCAAGAAAATCAAGACGGACGAGGTAGAGCGTAGCACCGACAACCCTGATATTGCGCCAGATGCGCGCCAAATTTCTGAAAACAAACTCTCTGTTCAGGAGCCGGCCGGGCCGCTGAGTTCCAAGATTACCAATTTCGAGAACCTCGATTTTGACAACGATGATGAGACTGCCCTTCAGGCGGCCGCCATGGCGAATGCCCAAAACGCCATTGCCGAGGCCCAAAAGAAGGCCCGCGATTTCAACAACCAAGGTCTCGACATGGATGATGAGGGAGAGATGAACTTTCAGAATCCCACAGGTCTCGGCGACGTCGAAATTGAGCAGCCCAAACTTATTAATACCCAGCTCAAGGAATACCAACTCAAAGGTCTCAATTGGCTTGTCAATCTCTACGAGCAAGGTATCAATGGTATCCTGGCAGACGAAATGGGTCTCGGCAAAACTGTCCAGTCCATATCTGTCATGGCCTACCTGGCCGAGAAGCATGATATCTGGGGTCCCTTTTTGGTAGTGGCGCCCGCATCTACTCTACACAACTGGCAGCAGGAAATCGCCAAATTCGTCCCCGAATTCAAGATTCTTCCCTACTGGGGTAGCGCTGGAGACCGCAAAGTGCTAAGAAAGTTCTGGGACCGGAAGCACACCACTTACCGAAAAGACGCGCCTTTCCACGTCTGTGTGACGTCTTATCAACTAGTCGTGTCCGACGTAGCGTATTTCCAGAAAATGCGATGGCAGTACATGATTCTCGACGAGGCGCAAGCCATCAAGAGCTCGTCTAGTTCCCGTTGGAAGTGCCTGCTGGGCTTCCACTGTCGAAATCGTTTGTTGCTGACTGGTACCCCTATCCAAAACAACATGCAGGAACTGTGGGCTTTGCTGCATTTTATCATGCCCTCGCTCTTCGATTCACATGACGAGTTCAGTGAATGGTTTTCCAAGGACATTGAGTCCCACGCTCAAAGTAACACAAAGCTCAACGAGGATCAGCTGAAACGTCTGCACATGATTCTAAAGCCGTTTATGCTTCGTCGTGTGAAGAAGCACGTGCAGAAGGAGCTCGGTGACAAGATCGAGTTGGACGTCTTCTGTGACCTCACCTACAGGCAGAGGGCCTACTACGGCAACTTGCGCAATCAGATCAATATCATGGATCTTGTTGAGAAGGCGACAATGGGTGACGACCAGGACTCGGGAACCTTGATGAACTTGGTTATGCAATTCCGAAAAGTCTGCAATCACCCAGATTTGTTCGAACGCGCCGAAGTGACCGCACCATACTCATTTGGATACTTTGCGGAGACTGCCTCCTTCGTCAGAGAAGGCAGTACCGTTTCTGTAGGCTATTCTAGTCGAAGCTTGCTGGACTATGAGCTACCATCTCTTGTCTGGACCGAGGGCGGCCGACTTGACAAAGCCGGAAGTGACAACCAGACAGCTGGCTGGCGCGGCAAAGCATTAAATCACATGTTAAACATCTGGACGCCAGAGCATGTTCGAGCCAACGCAGACAGTGACAAGGCTTTCTCATGGCTAAGATTTGCAGACACGTCGGTAGGCGACGTTTACGAAGCTACGCACAACGACTTATTTGACCGCGCGGTGAAGGAGCTTAAGAAGCGTGATAGGCTTGGCCATATGAATGTTGTCTATGGAGAGGAAGACGAGAATTTTACTCCCGCTCACTGCTTGTTCAAGATTCAGGAGCGCCGCAATCGGCAGCCTCTAGCAGAGATTACCAGCGAAGGCGTTTTGAACGGCTTGATGAACGTTGCCAAGGTGGCATACCGGAACTCCGGCATCAACCGGCTAGAGCCTGCGGGAAGACCTCGCGCATCGGCTCCCCCCATCGAAGTTTCTTGCAACAAGCTGAGCGCAGTTGCCGAGCGTCAACACATCATGTTCAATACCCATATCCGCCAGACGTTGTATGGACCCACGATTTACGATGAGCGAGCCCTAGTTGAGAAGAAGGTGCCAATGGAGCTGTATCCCACCAACAAGATTTTCCCTCAGCCAGATCATGATAAGAAGCGATTTACCAACATCGCCGTGCCTTCCATGCAGCGCTTCGTCACTGACAGCGGCAAGCTGGCCAAGCTGGACGAGCTTCTGTTTAAGCTCAAGGCAGAGGGCCATCGCGTCCTGCTATACTTCCAAATGACCCGCATGATTGATATGATGGAAGAGTATCTCACGTACCGCAACTACAAGTACTGCCGACTGGATGGATCTACAAAGTTGGAAGACCGTCGTGACACTGTGCACGACTTCCAGACCCGACCCGATATTTTTATCTTTTTGCTATCTACTCGTGCAGGTGGTCTTGGCATCAACCTTACATCCGCAGATACTGTCATTTTCTACGATTCAGATTGGAATCCAACAATTGATTCGCAAGCCATGGACCGAGCACACAGATTAGGTCAGACGAGGCAAGTCACTGTCTACCGACTGATCACTCGTGGCACGATCGAGGAACGTATTCGAAAGCGTGCTCTTCAAAAGGAAGAAGTCCAGCGTGTCGTTATTCAAGGTGGAGGTGCCAGTGTCGACTTTTCTGGCCGCCGTGCACCGGAGAACCGCAACCGCGATATTGCCATGTGGCTGGCCGACGACGAGCAAGCTGAGATGATTGAGCGTCGTGAGAAGGAGCTACTCGAATCTGGTGAATACGAGAAGCAAAAGAAGAAGCCCGGAAAACGGAAGAGAACGGATGCTCCCGCCAGCCTGGACGAAATGTATCACGAAGGTAAGCACATACATATAACCATTTCGTGTTGGGTACCATAGATGCTAATCATGTCTCACAGGTGAGGGCAACTTTGATGACGGGAGCAAACCCGGCGCGTCTGGCACTGCTACCCCAGCGGAAAGTGAGTCAATGAGCAAAAAGACCAAAGGAAAGTTGATTGGCAAGCGAGCAAAGACGGCTAAGCAGCGCCTTGCTATTGCCGACGGTATTGTTGATGCCTAAAATGGAGCGAATTAGAGGGGGAAGGCCCCAAGTTTTTTTTTTCTCTTCTCCCCCAATGTCAAGTCGGCACACGATGTGGCCCTGTGACACAACCTCGTGGTTTTTATCGATAATATCTTTTCTTTTAACAATATTTTTCGGACTTTCTTTTTCTTCGCTCGGGGACTGGTATTTAGATGCAGGTGGAAACTATGGGAGGTGCATGGCGCAGAAAAAAAAAAAAATCTCGCGCTTTAGAGAAAAGGAAAAAAAAAAAGATTGTGAGAGGCATGGAATCGGAATTCATTGGTAATGAAAAGAGAGACATTTAAATAGGGCCAGGTATGCCGAGGACTCATGTGGCGGGCATAGGGCGTGGAATGGCGTGGAATGGCGAGAATTGGGACTGATGTATGACTATTATCTGTAGAAAGGGAATGAATTACATTGCACCAAGTATACCTGGCTCCTTGTGTTTTGCGTGATATGCTGTTGCAAGATGCCTGGATATTGGATACTATATGATTGCATAGCTATGGAAAGGTAAAGTCTTGTTTCCTTAATTAATGTTTAGATTTACAGAGTGAGGCTCGCTTAAGTGAATGACGAGAGTCAAAAGAACCAAGTGAGCAGGTAATAGTTCATACTAAAAGTTTTATTCGAAATAAATCCAACAGGCAGCTAATGTACTTGTTCCTTTAGTGCCAAGATTTTAATATGTACCTATGGATACCGGAGCTTGGAGCTATCATCAACACAAATGCGGCGTGTTGATTTACCAACCATATGGCGCAATCCCGCCAAATCTGCAGAGGTCATAGTCGGGATGGCAGTCGCAGGGGTTGCAACGACCTTCGCCATTGGCGATACACGCGTTCTAAAGCAAGAGATTAATATAACGCTCCTTATTGTTTTTGTCTTTGGGTATAGGAGTTTTCCATCTTTTTTAAACTTACATATTTAACGCAGCCGTCTTCTCTAGCGGCAAGCTTGGCCTTGAGAGTTCCAGAAGCGGCAAAAGCCACGGGCAGGACGGCGAGGATCGTGGAGAACTTCATTTTTGGGTGGCTTTTGGTGGGTTTTTTCTTTTCTGGTGATTTGAAAGAGCGAGTGCGAGTCTGAGTGTGAGCGATGAGGTGAGAGAGAAGTGGGAGAATGAAGCGGATGGATAGGGGAACTTTATAGAAATTGATGAGGGAATTAGCTGTATTGTCTTTATGTTTTGTTATTATTGTCTCTGGAACAACTGTTCTATTCAGACTGAGAAGAGCCCTCTGTGAATAGATGGACATGGCCTGTGCATGGCCGGTGCATGGCCGGTGCATGTAGCTAAGTATGTGCGCGGTATATGCATTATGTTACAGCAGTGCGTGCGTGTGTAAATGTATGTAAGTCTGTGCTTACATACAGTATATGTATTCCAAGAGGTATGACTGTTGGTTTAAAATTCATGCTGCATAGAGCGATGATTGCTACTGAACGTTGTTGCACTACACATGTAGGTAGCAGTGATGAAAACCTTTTCAAGTAAAACTTTTGAAAGTAAGAGCGCTACCTAAGTAACTAGTAGGTGCTTTATGAAGGAGTATAGAATCAAAGTACATACTATTACTGTAGTGTGGGTCATCATGGCTTATAGCAATTTCGCTCAAGGAGAAGAAAGACACATGAAATAGCAGGCTCTGACATAAATTAGGAGGGAAATAAGAGAGAAGGGGTAAGCTTGTAGTAGAGAGAGAGAAAGGGGGAAGAGAGAGGGCAAGAGAGAGAGAAGCAAATAGTCTATATTAACTGAATAGCAGGTACATAAGGTATAGAAGCTAAGGTACTGTATTCACTTTCTAAACGTAAACATAATCCTAATTGGCTACGTTAGTCAATAGTTCCACCATAGCGCCTACCCTATAGGCTTACCATTGCGACCACAAATGGTTGGGTTTAACAAAGCCTGTAGATTTACCAACCAAACCCTCTGCCATTTTGACATCTGATAATATTAGGATAGCATTCGCAGGGGAAGCATTCATGAACACCCTCCTTCATGCAAGTATCCTAAAAGAGAAGGAAAGATTAAAAACAAGCTCTATCTCTTTAAACATATAAGTTTTTCTTTAACTTACGTATTTAATGCAGGCGTCCTCTCTAGCAGCAAGCTTAGCTGCGTCTCTAGCGGCATTCTTAGCCTGAAGGGCCCCGGAGGCGGCGAAGGCCATAGGGAGGACAGTAAGAAGGATAGAGAACTTCATTTTGTTGTTGTTGATGAAACGGATGTAGGTGTGAATGCTGAATGTGATGCTGTAGGGACAGGTGAATAGACATGAGAGAGGAATGGACGTGATTTGAATTAATGACCCATGAGAGAATTAAATTTCATTTAACGTAAACAGCAATCTCATCTCAATAGAAAAGCATCTCCATTCAAAGTCACTGCGGCCTGTGCATCTGATCAAGTTCTGATCTGTGCATCTAGATACACTGCATTTTCTTGTATCCAACAATGCACCACTGGCATGAAACAAACACCGTGCAGACTAGCAGTACACCAAATCAGAGCAAACAAAGTCTGCGCTTTGTCAGGAACAAGGAGATATCGCGATGGGTTTTGCACGTGCACCGCGCATCGAAGGCCGGCTTGCCCTGCTACTGGCTGTAGTAACGACGCGACGAGAATATGCCAAGAAGGAAGTGGACAATTTACGGAGACACGATTGCCAAAGGAACGAGGCCGTCACGGTAGTTAGTTTTCGGTTTATGGAAAAGAACATGCACTGCTTTCTTTTCTCTACTAAATTTAATATATACTCGCTGCGCATCTTCATCCTACAGATACTTAGGTATAACCCTTGCAGCGTTACAGTACAGTAGAAGGCTAAATGGGTGTCGCGGTATCGGTAGATAAGATAAATAGTGAGACCCACCTTTGGTCTGAAAGTAGGTTAGCGTTAAAACTGCTTGTACCTCCAAGTCTTTCCCAAACACCGCAGACCAGACGAAATTCGTTGATGGCTCATTCCCGCACCGACATGTGGATTCCTTACAAAAATTACTATAAAGGCTTCGCTCCCGCCATACTGAATTCCTTTCCGAGCACCTTAGTCAACACTTGTCCTGAACCATCGTCTCTTGACTCCAGAGCATCCCACCTTAATAATGACGGTTCAGTAGTGTCTACACTATGTTCAGAAGATTCAATTCACCACGAGGAGAAGTTTTATTTTCGTTGTGTTCAATTGGATGCAGGTAAGGAATCAATGGTGAGGGCAGCAGCGCAATGCCTGCATATTGGTACAGTGAGAATTGCACACAGCAAGGCTTTTTTTTGGGGGGGGGGGCATCCAGGCGCTTGGCCAGTGATCGCCGCCACTAAGCATTGTGCCGGGCACCCCTTCAACAATCCACGACACGTAACGGTCTGTGCCGCGGAAGCTGGGAGGGCTTCCTGTGCGTCCAACCTCCTCTGCCAACGAAGTTTGGTGTGGGAGAACAGGATCATCACGCCCTTTGCTCCAAGGCGCCCTTTCGCCGCTAGCTTGATTGCCACTTGATCATCGGCATGCGGCATGGCTCTCAACCTGGAGGGTTTCCGTCGGCTCTGTGCCGTCGCGTTTCGCGTTGTAGTCCACGACTTGGGTCACGAGACCCAAAAACTTCACATTCAAAGATATGCTTCTGTCACCTCCGTGATTGACGTCAAGAGGA